CTCCTCTATACCAAAACTTGCATTTCAAAAGTGAATACGTTTCCAAGATACTTCCTCCCTCAATTTTTAGTAAGCCCGTTTCCAGAAGTGGCGAGAATTTCTCGCCTCTCTCAAGCCACCCTTTCTACGGTCCATTCACATCTCGCTCTCGTGAGCAGAATCAACACAAGGTCTCGCAAACTAGTATTTCGGTTTCACTAACCTCTATGTCAAGCCCTCCGGCGAGAATTTACTGCCGCGCGCTTCCCAAACTTCACCTGCCCTTTTTCCTACCTTCATCCCGCACACATCTGTTTGCGGTTGTTCCACTTAATAATCCGGCAACAATTGATCACTCCTTAACGTTGTGTACTTCATGGTCACTGAAATAATATTTTTAAATACTGTTGACAGAATGCATGGGTAGTCCCGGCGAGAATTTACCGCCACGCATTGTTGCCTTCAGGGTATTCTTTACGCTTATTGCAACAACACAAGCATGACAGATATTGACGTTCCCCCTCCACCCCCCCCCCACGGGGGACCGTCAATATCTGTCATGCTTGTGTTGTTGCAATAAGCAGTGACTTGGATGGAATTGCCTTATATGGTAATCACAGCCACCAGGGGTCGACCCCCTACCGCCGTTTTCGAAACTTGTATATAACCCCCCTAATTTATCGCCGGTCAGCGACGTACTCCCAAAGTATTGGTGTCAAACACCCGCGCTTTCAGTGTGTCTTGAACAGCATCGTAGGAACTGTCTGCCTCCGAGTCCGTGACAGTTACACGGACGTGGATCATGGTGTGAGGGGGGAGTTGTGCCCCCAGGGGTTTGCCTTCGAAGTTCAACGATTTATTCGTTCGTTTCACAGTATGTGGTGCAAGGTGGCGTTGAACCACTTTCACCATTCTCCCTGCAAAAAATGCAACCCCGGTTCCCTCTGTCTGCTCCATAATTTTGTCCCGCTCCGTTAACAGCAGAGCTTCTTGATGCGTTCGAACGGTTGACTTCCCCTTCAGAATTCGAAGATCTCGGGACATTCCCCGAAGATTGGACGTTTCGTCATCCACCATACTTGGCGGTCGGACAAGTAACGCAAGATTGACGAGATCCTACATGCGCATTCAATAAATGATTTCAGGCATTAAATGAAACTTACATTTGGTGACTCAAGGAGAGGGGTGGCCGTCATCGGGACTTTAATCAATGAATCGTCAAAGATTGCGGAGAACGCCTTCCACAGCGCTTTCCCCGTTCGCGCGTCCTGTACCTCATCCAGAAAGGTCGAGCAATACGGCATTGCATAGACAGTGTCTGCTTTCTGCTGGTACCTGAGCCGAGGAATGCCATCTACCTGCATAAAAGCAATACTTCGTTCATTCGCTGTAAACATTCGTTGAATTGTCTAAAAAAAGGTCAACACACATTGCGGCGATAATATATCGCCACACTCACTCTCGCTGCCACGATCACAATCTGGTTGATCCTCGGCACCGAGGTTGTGCCCAGTACCTTCGTAATTTCGGCCTCCCAATGATCGGCCCTGTTTGAAATGATGTGCAGATGGATAGCGTTACTTCGGAAAAACCGGGTAATCTCAGCTGTCCATTGATCCATCAAACTATTAGGAACGACAACGAGGTGCCGCTCATTGGGAATTCCGGACTCTAAATTGCCGAAACTCGGCGCTAAAAACAGCGTCAGTAGCCGGCGAGATTTTATCGCCGCTGTCACCTACCATCTCTCAAGCACGCAGGTAACTTGGACCGGTCCATTTCCTTCGCTTTCACCTTCTCCTGAATTTCATACAACGACTGCAGTGTCGCAATCGTTGCCAGCGCACACATTGTTTTCCCTAGCCCGACCTCATCGAACAAACAAATACCTGGTACTGTTGCCCACTGCTCACGCACTGGTCGAATCGTCCGCTCGTTAACAGGCCCACTGTGCAAAATATTCGGAAGGGCGGCTTTCTTCGGCGTCGTTAATGCTAACATCACGGCAGCCACAAACACAAACTGATGCCAGCTGATCTTCACCGGTGTACTGTTCAAAAACGGTTTGTCACCGTCAGGGTCAGCCAACATCCCTGGTTCGTCCGCCGTGTGTCTTCGAAATGCTAAAGGGAGTCCGTCGTCGGGTAGTCCTAAATATTCATGGAGTTTTTTGTCGTCGTAACCCCTGAACTCCCCGACACCAATGTCTGCCCCATCCGACTTGTAAAGCAGGAGAGCTTCATCCACCTCCGGATTCTCATACATCGAAATCGCCGTCCGCAGAGCTGAGTCATCTCGTTCAACCCATTCTTCTGCGAAGTCCGCTAATTCCAACGCAAACGCCTGGAAATCACTCTCACTAGGAGCTGGGATGTTCTCGATCTTCTTCCTCGGGATGCTTCTCGCTAACACCCGCCCATATCCCACTAAAATGTACTTAGCATCACATCACAATACATTTCCACTCCCACGTACCTATCTTTTCGTCATAGCCACCTGCATCGAAGTTCACTTCGATAGTTTTTGAGGTTTTTGCTTCAATGACTCCGACGAGCCACCCAATAATCATTTGACAATACTCTAACTTCTTTCCCTGGTCACTCAGACGTGACCACCTCGCCGCAATTTCCTTCGACGCTTCCGGTGATTCAATGTCAATTTCCTCCTCTCGAATTTCATCGTCCTCCTCGGTCGTGACTTGCCACGCTAATTGCGACTTCCAGTGTTGCATCTTCTTAAACACACTCCGCGCCTTCTTCACATCAAAGTTCTGCGGCACCTCGAAACTTTTCCAGAAGTCGGCACCGAGGATTTTCTCCAGCTCCGTTTGAGTGGCGTTGAGGGAATCTGTCGCTCGCTTGCATTCCTTCGTCGCCGCGTCCAAGTAGGTCTGAATTACCCCATTCAGCCACGTTTTTGCTGTGTCCGGCGGCGTAATATCCTTCCCCTTGATCGCATCTCCAAACACTTCTTCCAAAAAACTATCCTGCCGTCCGGTCCACTGCGTAAGCGGAACAAACCCTCTCACGACCCGTCCTTGTTCGTCCTTCTCCGCGTACAACTTCACCCACGCAAGATACCGGTCCCGGATACTAAATCCCACATTCTCCAAAGCGTCCTTCAGCTGAAATATTTGTCAGATCATTTCATGTGCCCATCCATTCAAACTCACAGGCCCGTCCATGCAACTACCCCATCCTTCGCTCTTATTCGACATTGCAACGTCATTGAGATCCCGATTTTTAAAGTTGTATTTTTCGATTTCCGCCCTCCCCCCCTTTTTAAGATCTTTCAGGTGTTCGTGGATATGCTTCCATCGCCCTCCCCACTTCTCCTGACACTGCGGTGGACATGTCGGCTCCCAGAAAGGTGGTACGTTGAATCGCCGTAACTGAGCAGTCAGGACGCTTTCCTTTTCGAACAGCGTCCCATCTCCATCGACAAGTTTCTCAGCTTTCAGAAGGTTACGGTTGTTGAGGATGAGATGAACGAGAAGCGCAAATTTACGGTTCGAGGACATTCTTATCGAGTGCTAGATGATATTATCTTAACTGAGTACCCCTCTTTCCTTACACTCACGAAAACGGCGAGAACATACGTACCAGCAGTTAAGGTTCGAAAACGGCGATTTTTTGCAGTTTACAAGGGTCTTACAAGCAACTTATTCTCTCTACAGAGATGGTTGTGGTTCGAGTTTAAGAGATGTTTAGCCGAGATGGCTTCTAATTATCCTTGTTTGTTTAACTATACAGTTAGTTCCCACGATCATCCAGTTCCAAGTCACGCGCTGACTATTCAATTTCAGCGTCCCCTCTGAATGATCTGGCGAGATTATCTCGCCGCCTGGGTGGCTTGCCCGACTTACGTAATTCCTCATTCTCCCCTCCTCCCGCACGTTACGTCACATTTTATATTTTTCCTCACTTCCCCTGGGGATTATCTCCAGAGCTGGCGGTAATTTCTCGCCGCTCACCGACTAGAATGTCTCACCTCACCAGCGTCCAATTTCGAGGAAGCGGAAGTAGCTGTAGCCTCATCTCGAACCTATTTCATTCTACAAGCCCTCTCATGTCACCTCAAATTTCTAAAGTGTTTTGTTTTTCCTTAATCCCATAACTGGCGAGAATTTCTCGCCGCTGCTTTACACCCTTTCACCGCCTGACTTTCACTTCCCCACCGCGCTTTTTACTTAAATATATCACGTTGCAACACGCAACTCGGGTATACACCGCTCACACTCCTTTTCTTTCCTACAGCCTGTGTCCGGCGTGAACTGATCGCCACGCACCAGCACAAACTTCATTCTTACTGACTCAAATTTTTCAACCTTTGCCGTGAGCATACCTCGTTGATACCGGCGAGAATTTACCGCCGCGCAAGGTTGCCTCCAGGATATTCATTACGCTTATTGCAACAACACAAGAATGACAGATGATGACGTTCCCCCCCCCCCGCCCCCACGGGGGACCGTCAATATCCGTCATTCTTGTGTTGTTGCAATAAGCAGTGACTTGGATGGAATTGCCTTATATGGTAATCACAGCCACCAGGGGTCGACCCCCTACCGCCGTTTTCGAAACTTGTATATAACCCCTAAATCGCCTTCGCATGCTATCCTGCTTAAAACGACGTCACATCGCTTTTATACTCCATGCCAGTCTTTCCAGTTTGTGTCATCGTTTAGCGTAACGCGCTTTCAAACAGTGACCACGCGTCGACCATCATAAGGCATTTGTGAACAGCCTGTATATTCTGCTAGCCAATATTCAGGACATCGAAGTTTTCTAACAATAACTACGACGTGGCAGTTCTCAATGAACTTTGGATGCCTGGTTCAAGCGGCATTTCCCACTTGACCCGTTGTAGATGATACTATCGCTATTGACGACTTCCTTGTAAGCCGGTCAGACTCTCCTTCTTCGTAATTGGCACAAGGACTATGTATCCCTTTTAATGGACCTACTAGCGGTCGATCTATTTCTGGTCGGTGTTCTCCTATCTCATTCGTCTACTCTATTTTTATGCTCCTTCAGGCCCTCTTCCTCCCTCCGGTAATTCGTACCCTCCTCGGTGCTTTTTGATCCAATTCCTGTCAACACAGCTGTATTCTGCCACCTTCCCAAGGGCACTAACACAGGTCCATCTCTAATTTGAATAACTCGTTCACTCGTGCAGATCATCTGCTATACGTCAGGGCCGATTCCCTATCTGTACTTGAAAAAAAGCCCAAGCAAGTTTTTCGTCGTTCGACCTGAACAATCTCCGTTCACGGAGGCCAAACCTTCTGAATTCAGTCCTCGGGTCAAGTCAATCAGATTCTTGCCCAACGCCGCTCCCGAAAATGGTATGCCTGCTCCTCTCTGTTGAATTTAGCACGCTGAAATTTTCTATCTAGAGTTAGATATGTTGTTTGTCCTGCACATATTTGACTATAGCTTATACAGCATCGTTCGGATCCCAGCCTGCGTCGGAAATTAAAACGTCCTGCGAAGATATGGAATTCGTCTGTCAAGGATTCATCAAGGTTTGTTCATCGTCTTTATTCAAACGATGAGAAGTTCGGACCTATTTCATCCGGTGCGAAGAGCTTTTTCTTTGGCTTGCTTGACAGGATTGATTCCATCTTCGAGGATGGACGTCAAGAATCTAAGTGCCGTTTCCGCAGGATCCTGTAGTCCGAATGCAGGACAGAATTTGCAGCGGCAATATGCCAGCCGGGTGACAATTGGTGCGTTCTTTCTATGCTATTTTCTCTACATCACCCACAATGATAGGGTTTTTTTCATGCAGGAAACAGGCATGAAAGGGCGTTCATGGCTACATTTCAGGTCGCATAGTTATCTAGTACGTCACTGTATTAGGACTTTGCCTGCCAGGCTGCCCCTCCCTGTGAATCCTTGGCGCGAGCACAGTCGGCTTTCAAAGATTTACATTAGATTCATTGACCACTTCAAGCGTTTGCATTTTGGAGTTTTCGATGGTTCGGAAGTACGTTCTCGAGCGCTTATCCTTCGAGTCTTACTGATGACGTCTTCTACTCTCAACCAGGAATTACTCTAAACCCTGTTGATTCAGTATATCCGACCTATCCCTCACGTATGTTCTGTATTCAATTTTTCAACACCCATCATGTACTTGGAATCGAAACAGATGTCTCGCCCACATGCACGAATGTCCTACTAATCGGCGGTTCTTCTGTAAGAACCGTAACGTTCCAGCGTCCTTGGTAGGCGGAAATCGCGGCTGATTGCTGTTGAGGGCTTGCGCTTACGCGTTCTAGAAAGTAAATACTCATTCTTCCGCTGATACTTACATTGTGCCAAATTGGATTTTCCATACCTCGAATCCATCCGTCGGTGACTTCCGGCGACTATTTGAACTTCAATGTCCCTCTCATTATCTATGTGGTTCCTTTTCTGATTCAGGTGCAGTAGCTTCTCGTCGGCGGCATTACCTGCTGGTACCCTGATCCTTGGTTTCTATCTCTGCTTCGCCTGCTGTGCCCTGTGGTTCAGTGTGAATGTTTGTTTGTTGACGCATCCTTTGTTATAACTCACTGCACCTTCTGAATGTCTACCTGAATCTAGCTAGAGTAACAGCTACCAATCAGCTCATCCGAAGCAAAAATCCAATTGACAGACTTTCGCATGCGAAGGGTCTCCTTCCTTCTCTTTCTGGGGTTGGTTATAAGGAATAAGTACAGTAAAGATCCAAGTGCACTATTTGTATAACCTAATGGAATCGAACTGGTTTGGCGTGCCCAAACTCTGTCCATTCTATCGGTACGATCCGACCCCTTTGATGTGTGCACCAACTACTACTACCAGCAGACCACCAGTACTTGATGGTACAATCCGCCGGAAAATACCCTTTCTGATTCCATGCCGGAGGTGTGCAGAGCAGTGAGCCATGGAGCCCAATCCTTCCCATTCGGAGACGAACCTCTGTTAGCACTGTTCGTGTCTTTTTTCTTCTTTTTCTGGCATTCAAGAGTCGGACGTTCTGTTGTACCGTTATGTTGTTATGTCGGCGGTGAATTCTTCGAACTATCGCCTGACTTGGGAATTCCTTCTAAATTTCCCATCATAACCCACTTTTTATCAATACCATTCACTCTTACTGTAACTTTTATTCGATCTCTTGCAGTGCCCAGTGGCCTATCCCCAGAGCCCAGGTATCAATGTTGTGAATGTACACACCAGGGTCCACAACTGTCGCTTATGCTTATCATCCGCTGTCCGATTTGCGACAGGTCGCCCAGTACCTTATGGCTGCTAATTCTACTAACGAACCAGAAATTGTCAGCTGGAAATAGATTTGCAGTCATTTGGACTGAATTTGGACCACACCAGACTGGCTTCAAGGGATGCCCCATAGGAACTTCTTGCAACATATCCGGATATAAGACTGTAGCCATTTTGACACAGTGTGCTAATAATAATACGGATGTCCAATAAATTGACGATGAATTCAGGTTTCTTATAGCAGATACTGCCCCTCACTACAAATGAAGGCACCAATTCTGAATCTTGATAAATGTGAAAGAATTGTCAGCTGCACCCTAGACTCTGTAATTCGAATATTTGAAAGCAAGCAACTAGGCTTCAGAGTGTCCCTTCAGTACCAATTTTCCCTGTGTAGAATCAATTTGAGCTGACTATGGCATTGGAAGGGAAGCAGCACGGTGATTATTGAAGTGTACACAACGTCATGCGACCTCTGTTCCGTCCTACATGTCCTACATAGATAAGCGCATGAAAATTCAGAAGAAATCCGAGGCCGTATCAATTGGACCCCGCGGCCATTTATGTTTTGTCAAATGTACAATAGTGTACAATTGTGTGTGAGTGACCAGTGTAATTCCACAGAATAGAGCGCAATCTCAGTGAAGTCTCAAAAAGGATTCAGCGCAAAGACCCGATTCCGGTCCATGTATCCATGTAAATATCGCCCATCTTCATTGCTCAATGATGTGTAGGCAATTGTCGATTGTTCGTATGTTCATATCGACGTACACTTCGGAAGCAAACACCTTGCGTGGTTGGGGATATTGATAATCTTGAATGCCTTGGAGAATAAGGGGCGGCGATAGAAAAGTGAACATTCTAAAGTCATTGTCGAGAACGAGTGTGCAAATTATTGCAAGCGGGTGATTATTTTCGGAACATTATTTCTGGAACAAAGACTCGAGCATCCATCCTCACCCGAAGATCGGAATAAAATCAACTTCGCTACTCCGGACAAAGTACCACCATATAATACTCGACCGACAAGATAGACGGTATCTCTTGACCTGAGCAAAACTGTTCTTTCGTTGTGTAATCACCAAATTGAGCACAACGACTCACCTCCGTACGAAACCCGGATAGCTGATCCGTGGGTTCAACTTGCAGATTGGGTTCGGACAAGAAATGCTACACTTGATACTCAACCAGCATAGCTGTTGTACATGCACCGAAGATAATGCGTGAGTTTCACCAATCTTTCATGTGGTCGAGGTTAGGCAGACGCAAGGCGCTGCAATAAGGTTACACATTAGCATTCACTAAAGACAGACGTGAGGTAAGTATTGGTGCAAAAATGATTTAATTTTATAAGAGAACGGGTCACGAAGTATGCCAACAAGAAGTCCATGTGCATGTAGCTATTGATGAAGATTAAGTCCTACGACCCAGGGGAACAATTGTTGCGAGAAAGGCAGTAATATCCGGATAAAATCCAAAAGTAAAGTAAGATGGTTCATGGATGGAGAGAGATCTCATCTCGTAGAAGACTTAAAGGAAGAAGATAGTGCCAACGATAGAGCTAAGAACTGCGACAAATACTCCTGTGTTTCCTGAATTGAAGGAAGCAGCACCATTGAAACTGCCACTAGCACTGGTGGTGGAAGCACCAGAGCTTGACGTACCGGTCGTTCCAGCGGAGCTAGTACCAGTGGTAGAAGCAGAGGAACCAGTACTGTAGGATATGAAATCAAAGAAAATAGTCGACTGACTGGCTGACTCACGTGGATGCACTTGCTCCGCTGGATGACAAACCGGTCGTAAATGTAGTACTGACGGTGGCAGAGACACCTGTTGTAGGAGCTTGTGCGATAGAAAATGAGGCTGACGAAGAGAAAACCGAGTTGATGTTGGAAATGTTTACAGCGCTCAGGGTATAGTCAGAACTGCGATTTGTCAATAGGTGAAGCACTGGGTATCCGGACAACGTACTCAGCAGGAACAATGGGCCATTCGATACTGAGCGGACTTCCCGAGGTGGGATTGACATTGTTGGCGAGAGCGAGAGAACTACTGAAAGAAGGATGGTTAAGTTCGAGGGTGAACGTACTAAAAAGAGGCAAATAATATGCTCAGTCGATACGAATTATGAGCGAAGTAGTAACGTACGGATCGCCGTCTGTTGCAGTCCAAGTAACATTCGAAACGAGGCCAGAAGTTACGTTGGTAGGTGTGTCGAGGGTCAAACCGAGGATAACAGGAAGGCCAGCAAAGAGGACGCTGACATGCGAGGTCTGAAATTGTGGAGTAGAGGAAAATGCTATAAAGACTCACAGAACGTTGGCAAACATCTTGAAAGTCGTTATGTCGAGAGGAAAGGATGATGCGAGGAAAAGGAAGGGTGGGAGGAAGACCTGAGGAAGACTGGAAAAGTTTGAACAGGCGCTGGGAATTTTATACGTCAAACATGTGCAAATTTAAAAGCTCTCATCGCGTGATAATGAAACGTGAGAAAATAATGGTTTAAAATTAAGTTCCCCAATGGCCATCCCGAATTCCGTTCAAAGACAACAGATCTCTTATGCTTTGCACACTCATAGGAACTAGAACATTGAGCAGTCCTAATCTCTCTGACAAGTACAAGAAAGCATATCTGGACCTGTCAGAGAACTTTTGTAGACGAGAAAGTTTGTCTTAATCCAAATTAAGTGGAATCTAGTGGAATCCAGCCTCGGAAGACCGATCTACTGCTCAATATGGTAAACATCCTAACAGAGACTCGCCGTCCTCTCACTTCGAACACGCTCTACAGTAGTAGCTCGCGTCAAGGTCGAGGCTTGGAGATGATTATTGTGATAATGCCAGCTCAACAGATTGTAAGTATGCTACAGCTCTTTTTTCCATATTTTAATCAGGCTATATAATTTACATACAGGAATTATAATTTCACCAAATATGGTCGTTGTTAAATATCCTCTCATGGTCTGACTAACATTGAAGTTTCAAGAACAAGCTTCAAAACGTACAGCTGAGTCTATCACTCAAACAATCAATAGGCTTCAATAGGTCATCAGCCAAGTTGCCCATTTCCACTTACGATTTGTCATCGCTAGGAGGCTTTATACTCGTATCAGTCGACCGTCGACGTCAGGAGGGAAACACGGAGAAGAAGTGCGAATAACCGGCTGCAAATCACCTGTACCAGTGTTCTATGAACTTTTGGAAGAATCCCTTTGGGCCTTCGGAGAATGTAATCAGCCGCCACGCGAGTTACACGAAGATGCCTCAAAATAAATCAGTACTGAATCCCAGGGACGGTGGCCATATAGTTCGGTCTTCTCCGACTCGAGGCTCAACCCGAAAACTCCTCAAATTCTCAAGATGAATATGTACTCACAGTACTAGTATTAACATATTACACGCTGCCAAAGAAGATATTTTCCCTCTTAAAACCGGCGTTGAGTTCTTGAACTATGCCGTGTAATAAATTTACTTTCCCTTCTGATCGCAGCTTACAGTGTGTTTGGAAAATATCGGATATACTATAAGTAGAGCGCGAAGGAACATTTTGAATGATTGTATTCACTGAGCTTGCCATGTTGAGAAGTACCCAAAGAGGTGCTGCAAATCAACCGCAATTCAATCACTCGACAGCTCTTGACCATTAGAGGAATCTTGAGATAGAAACAAAGGCCGACTATATCAAGAACCAACTGACAAACGGAATTAGTAATCTCCAACGCCCTCACACACGAATTAAAAATCAGTCAAGTGCGGGATCCTACCCTCGTCGCCAAAATTTTCTAGCAGATGTGTACGAGCCGCTCCCCAGCGCGAACGAATGTAGTCAATCAACGGTATTCTGCGATTTGGGAAGTCCTAAGACCGGATCTCGGCCTTAACTAGTATCGTGGACTACGGTAAATCGATGAGAAAAACTAGACAGATGATATCCAATTAATTATTAGACCAACAGTTTTCTCTTCAACTTGCATAATGGACGCTTTCTTTGACTTGGCAGTGTAGTCCTATCCTATCCTAATAACAGAGGTGAAAGATGAACGGCATCCGCTGGACCCGGTTGCGGTATATATGCTCGAACAATGAACATTCTTCTCGAGATCAGCAACAATCTATAATCTACTGATCTCGGGAGAGTCAGATGGATAGCTTCACGTTTGGCGTCCTCTTGCGACTGGTATTATTCACTGATCAAAGAATGCACTGAAACATGAACCTATTTGCTTCTCCCGCTTCGCTGAGTAGCCTTGAAGAAGTAGTAAGCCGCCGTTAGTAGATAGAGTGTTCAGCTATGACTCGCCACTGTGGTTGGTCCGAAGGAACATAGCTGGAGAATGTAATTTAAGTCCTTGATTAGTTGCGAAGCTCGGGAGCATGTAATGACGGAGTCAGATTCGATGAAGATTTTAACCTGGTTGGAAGGGTTGAGACTAATCATGATGACAGAGCCGTTGCTACTCAAGCTCAATTCAGCTCAATTCCGCCTTAAACATGTGGCGCACCAAAGATGGATTTTTTCAACTAGTACTTATTCAACCATCATTCGGTGTCCTCGGTACTCTGATAGTATAAGCATATGTTTTGCGACACTCTTCAAAATTTACTTGCGCTGAGCGTTCAACTTGAACGTCAAACAGAAGGGAAAAGATTACGAGTTCCCAAATAAGCTGATTCCTGTAACATACCAATTTCGGATACCCAGATGTATCTACTATCTGGAATCCTCGATATATACTAGCATCATGCAGAAATCATCTCAGTCATGCTTTCGCAGTATTCCAAGGAACAACCTCAGGCTATGGATCCGCAAAGAATATTAACTCGATATGAGCACCATATGAATGGTGACACGACTAGCCTCGATCCTTTTTTACAACGCCGAGCAATCAGATACGTATAACGTTCAGCGCCAGCCTCAACTTGAAAATGGAAAAAAGAATCGTATTACCTGTCCTGTTTATTGATAATTTCGTCAGTCTGATTTGTCTAGGGGAAGGAGTCCAAACTCTGGCGAAGTCACATTATAGTATGCACCTGGTAGCCGGTTACCTACTATTTAGTAGGTATACATCACCATAAATTTCATGATTCCACTGGGATCCAGCACTGGGAAGCAAAACAGAGTTCATATATTGTAACGTTCAGGCTATAGATTACAAGTCATACAGCCTGAGGTAGATGGTACTATGTATCCTAGGAGCCCATGACCTCCTCATGACCTGGTTCGTAGTATTTTTCTGTTTTATCCTGACTTGATTCAAAACGATGACTTCTATTGCTCAAGGTAATGTTGTTGCGTAATAACGATTGTTATCCTATCATCGTACGTTGGGCAGGAAGTATACCAAACCCCTTGTGGGGTTGCATAATGATAAGAATTCAAAACCGTTTGTATACAAGAAAAATAACAAAATATGAATATAGAGCACAGAAATTCAAGAAAAATGAGAACACCTAGCTGAACGTAGCCAGTGACAGCATTCCACGGGGTGTCCAAGTAGGATGTTTTCAGCTTTATTTACATACATAAATTGCATTCAGCTGGAGAGGGGTGCGTACTTGCTTGTGTGATCCACTGGAAAGCTAAACGCCCTTTTCCGTGAATGTTTCTCCATACAGTATAGCTTAACTTTGAGCTAACGGCGCCCTCTTCATCAAGCTGATTTGCTACCCGGATACCACTGCGGCAAGATGACTGATGCGAGTTCTAGTAAGACCTTGTTGCGTCAACTCATATTTGTGAAGTAAAGTATGTATGGGCTGCGAATCGCAGTTGGGGTGTGAAATAAAATGTGCTTACAACTTGCAATGACCGACCCGATGCAATAAGTTTCTGTAGAAGTACATATGTACGTAGTAACTTTTGGAATTTGATTGACATTCGCTTCACGTCGAAATTATGACACTATGCAGGCTGACATTTTCTTCTTGAACTTATGTTTTCGAGATTTTGTCGAGACTCGACTCCCTTCAAACTTCCCGCAAATGGCTTTTTTGAACGTACATACACAGGCTCTCAGGATAATCACTCACATTAAGCCCTATCGGACTGTTCTCTGTCTGGGTACATCTTTGCCATTTGGAACCCTTTAACAGAGCGTTAAAATTCATCTATCTAGATCAAAATATTATATTAGAGTAGTGAGATCGACTGATCAACAATATGGAAATCTGTATGCACAATACAACTCGAGGTGACAGGAAGAACGACGTACAGTCTATCTGCCTCCTTCTGCCTCCTGGCCGATAGGCAGACTACGGCGGATAGCCTGAAAATCTTTGACGTATTGTGGGGAGTGCACCAACAGCACCTACAACTTCGACGGGTTTTTCCATGCCGGCGAACGTTTCTGGAACAAATGGAAAACGGCGCCTGTCAATCAATAAACTGGGCTCTCAATTATTATACTGACTTCAATAAATGCCTTGAGACCCTCCTACATACGACCGGAAGCAATCGTAAATTAGGCCTTATGGTAGTGGATGAAGCGCCGGACTAACTTTGATATTTCCGCCTTTGTATACCCTATTGCTTTCTGCACTGAACGTTGATTTCAGAAACGCCTCCTCTGGATTATACTTCTGTGACAAGAGAAGCGCATGCTTTGTGCATTGGACTGCATCCGGTGAATTGGCAACAATGGACTGGGCAACGCGAATAGCTTCTAGTACGACTTCTGATGAAGGCACTACTTTGTTGACACTGTAACCAATGAAGTTACAATTATCATCGCATTCAGCAACTCTTAGAGCCTGACATATAAATTATACGCTCACAATCCGAACCGTTTGTGTGCCTCACTTGCACTGACAGTCTTCCCAGTCAGAAGCATCTCGGCTGCAATCTTAAAAGATATATATACAAAACTTGATTCAGGCTGCTGGGATAACATCGACAGCAATAAGACCATACATGGTGGCCCGCAATTTGAAAAAGACGGGGAATTCCTAGTGACGAATGAGACTACATAGATATTGAATCAGCGATGCTGGCTCACCTCCTGCACCAGCAACTACTCCTCGCTTAACCTCCGGGAGTGCAAACTTGGCATCTTCGCCTGCCACGACAAGGTCACAGTTTAAGACAATTTCAGTTCCGCCACCGTGGGCTCCACCGTTAACTGCAGCTATCAAAGGTTTGATGAGTTGACGGCGGGAGATTGAGCCAAATCCATTGCGATTGGCGGTCAATCGCTCTTGTTCTTCAATTTTACCACTTTGCTGATCTTTATTCCACCTATGAAAAGAGTGAGTATTACGAGCAATTCCGCTGGGCCGTGGAAATTGGTGGACATCTAGACAAAGCGCCTTTAATGGATTAAGGAAACCAAATCACGTACTCAACGAGGTCTGCTCCAGCACAGAAAAGCTTGCCTGCGCCAGTCACTATAGCAACCCTATCAATGACACCTCCTCAGCGCTGAGCAAGGTGTGCTCGATTCTAATAGCCCGACCTACCAGAGCCCAGACTCCTCGCTGAACCAGTCAAGTACAGTCTCCAAGTCCCTCTGCATTTGCGGGGTCATCGCATTACGAGATTTAGGCCGGTTTAGCGTCAGGAGCATGACATGCTCGTCAGGAAAAGACACTATGAGCTGCTCAGAATGAGGAGGAGGAGAATACATCACTACTATCGTCGTGGTGTAAACAGTAAAAGCTGGCGGTCCGGTCCCCGCATTCCTGTGAAAATTTTACCCCAGATCGGAGCTCACGTGGAATGTTCGCTTCTTTCTCCGTGTTCCTATGTTAGTATGTATCTGCGAAGTTATCCAAAGGCAAAGTCGACCTCTCGAAAGGGCAGTCGGAGCTAACCTCTGCTAAGCTGATCTTCAGAGTTCCGAGTCCCGCAAGGGTTGTCGCCCTTGTTTCGAAGTTCGGAGGCGGATGGGATTCAGGGCTATCCAGGACTAACTAGTGACGGGACCAGATGGTACGCGTTTCCATGACATCTTTGAATTATTGTCTGATCTAATCTTCGTCGTAAGTAAATTCGTCTATGAGAGTTACTGAGAAGATTTTCAATTGCATGTGTCGCTGTTACAGCAAGAGATATAGGAAAATACGAGCACAGGAAAAATAGTAAGTTCGAGTAAGATAATTGCCAACATTTTCCAAACAGTCCCCTTCCTTCCCCGCGAATAGCGACTTTAGAAGTACAACATCTTCAATAGGCTCAAGCGTAATATACAGAGTGCAAAATTTCGAAGTAGCAGCAAAAAGAGAAGAAGAACCAGAGCGAATCCTAAACTTGCGTTTAGCTCAAGCATTATGACTACAACGCAGAGAAAATACCTGGTAATTCCATTCACGACCTGAAGGGGCAGTTGGGAGCATGATCCCCGCGCCAGCCACAGTGGCCGCACTGAGGAGGTCTGCTGTAGTTATTGGGTATTGTCTTTGTCTCGTAAGAGTGAGTGGACGCGAGCGTGCTCGCCGTCGCTGATGGAAGTTGCGCGCGATGGGAAACGCAAAATGAGGATGCGACGGTGGCAGTAGTGGGTGTGCACATCGTTATTGGTTTAAGGAGTAGAGCAAACACAAGTCTGTATCAATGAGGGCTGGTTACGATGAGTGCGATGGAGAGGATAAGAGAGATCCCACTCCTTTTATCCTTTTAGCAAATTGAGCGGCATCACTCCGGCATCCGTTGGTCGTACCTATGTAGTATTACGCTGGCGCCCTGCGCAAGGGCGATCTAACGAACCGGGTCGAAGATCAAACTCAAGACTCAAAGGTCAATCCAAACAGATGCGTCACCAATACTTGACAAAAGGATCTAAGCTAAATATGGTAAGCTCACCGGAAATTGAACAAAGAAAAAACCTCACGTTAAAGGCTCAGTACTTGCCACGGAACCGCCAACAACCATACTCTCGGCCATAGGGACACCACGATGTGACCACGACTTGAAGGTTGTAAAAGCGAACCAGAAGTGTGAACCGGTGAACCAATCGAGCTACTCACAAGGTACGCAACTCACCGATTCATACATCCTTCCTTTGCTTCGGAAAAGAAACGGGTGGGGATTATATTGGGTCTATCCATATAGAAGGAAATGTATACTTCGAATCTGAATACGGTACACAATATATTGAAGGGAATTAGATATCATCTACAGCTAACTACGATATATGTATAAAACTCACCTATTCCTCAAGTGGAAAGCGTCTTGTTCTTCCGAATACAATACTATAAAATATGAGGGATTGACATCATGATGTTTTTTTATTCCTGTCATCATCGTAATCCAGGGGATAAGAGCATTCAAAGCCCGAGCTTCTAGGTATGTAGATGCACTGTGGATTGTTATTGAGAAGTCAAAGGCGACAGCGTCCCGTTAACACTAGGCTGTCGATGTGGAAAAGTAGCAAGCCAGAACATCCAAACTGAAAATTCAGAAGAACGATCCAAAAAATTGGGCACCGGACAGTGCGGAAGCAGGATATTTTGGCCGAATTTCTATTCGTTCCGCAGGTGCTTGATAATTCGATCATGAAAAAGTTTCGTATCGAGATGGGCAGTCAGATTTGTGATAGAGGTCATTGATTTACGGAAGGAGAAATCTACTTGCTTTCAACAGCAGTCAACGAGACCGAACACGAGGAGGCGAACAAAGGGAATATTTTGCACAGAATATATTCATGACATACGGTCAATTACAGATCAAGCTCAACTTGTTCCTTCGCTCCTTGGGGGCCGTGGTTCCTTTCGTCGTGGAGCGTCCTTATACCAATCCGGGACAGGATGAGCTTTAGGAATAGCTTTCTTCCGTTGCTCCTTGAGTTCCTTTTCCTCTTCCTCCGCCTGCTGACGTTTTCTCTCTTCCAACGCCTGTGAGGCCTGAATCTCTTTCTCCCGAATATGTTCATTGAATTTGCTTCTTTCACGAGCTCTCACATCGGTGTGCATCTCGACCGGAAGCGGAGCGACTGGCTTGATTCGTCCTTTGAGGCTAGTCAACAGCGCGTCCTGAGCAGCGTGAGAGGACTTGAAGTCCGGAACCGTATAGGATGTATGAAGCTTGCGTTTCCTTGGAGGCTCCTCATCGTGTTCTCGAACGCTGGCACTAGTCTTATGGACTTCGATTCGCATGTCGGAGCGAAAATCGAATCCAACAGGACGAGTTGGGTGTTTTCGCAACGTCTGCTTAAGATAGTGTGAAATGACTAATACGTCAGGGACTTGTGCAAACACTCACATGCGTAGAGCCTGCAAATCTTTCCCTGGCCGACTTAGAGCTCCCACCAGGGTTTGTTAAGCTTCTAGATGAAGATCCAGAAGCACGGCCCTGCTCCATCGAGCAAGCTGCGCTGGAAGTTCCGGAAGAACCTTTCGACGAGACCAAGGGATCCCGTAAAGTTCTCGACGTATGGGCCACGGCTTTGCCAAAAGATGAACTGGAGTTTCTTGAACGGATACGTTTCCTGACAATGGAACGGTTTCCCGGTGGAATAGTGCGAAAGGAGGCGGATGTCTTCTCTTTCTTCACAGGTTGAGCGTTTGGTAAAGGGGAACCGTGTCTCTTGTAAGACTGTCTTATTGAAGACACCGGGACATTAGAACGTGATTCAGGAATAGGCGAGGGCTCGGTGGATTTCGACGGGGAAAGTTGCGAAAGCGTCAGAGGCACGCCCACTGCTATTTCTGAACAAAGTGGCTTGTCATCGTTTGTACCAGAACTTGAACAACCCGAAGAGACAGGACTATCGTCTGCAGAATTGCATAACCTGATAAGAATAGAATTGATCAATCGCATACCCAGAGCAGAGAAATAGGTGACTCACCCGTGTGGTCTGACAAGATTTTCGCTGTACATTACTAATCGTTCAGCCAATCCGCCACCGTCTGTGGACATGGTGCTCGTGTCAACGGCCCCATTTAAGGAAGGACTGCGAGTTATCTTGTCCACCGATACGGGAGGGTTCTGCTTCGACTGAACACAAGATGGATGCGGCGCAATCGATGCCGGGATAGGAATGCGTGGTATCGAATCTTCGCCGCTCTTGACAGACTGACAAGCAAGATGATTGATTTCAGGAATTCGCTCAGTGTGGATTAACTTCGCTTACCCTTAAATTTGGCTTTCGAGATTCTTGCTCAGCGGAATCGGAAGACGTCGTAAATGTTCCTAGAGAATTATACCTCGTCTCTGCCAGATCCTTGATCTCAACTCTAAGTCTCTGCATTCTTTGAGGTGTAGACAGAACCTCATTTCGGGTAATACGACCCAGCTTCTGGGCCACGACAGGTTTGATTGAAGCCTTTTTGGGATTTTCTGGTAGAACAGGAGGTCGAGCGAAATTACGATGGGAGGAATTTGATAAAACGGTTTTCTCTGATGTATGAGTTCTAGTGTCGGCGATTCGTGCAAAAGTCCTCGGTGTGGCAAGAGGTTGATCTATAGTTCGACTGGGTGCTGGAGTTGCAAAGCTGTCGTTTGCGACACCAAAGAAGTCGTCGTCGTTATCTAATAAGAGCTCATTGGATCCTGATGGGATGTCGAAGGAAAAGGAGGAGTTAGAAAGGTCGGGGAGATGCCTGAGGCTGAGGTCGTTCCCCGAAGTCGTTTGCATTGTGATCTGTGTTGATCACTCAGTAAGAAGAAGAGAGCTAAAAATCTTTACATCGTACGCACATGCGGCTCTCAAGTTCGGACCTTGTGAGAAATGTCAGAAGAAAACAAGTCTTAGTGGGGGGATAGTGTTCACTGTTCAATTCAAGATGACAGTCGTGGTTGAAATCATGACACATCACGTGTGGTATCAATCGTAGACGCTGAAAATGAGATGTGTAAGGGTGCGACCAGGGTGCGACTCCCAGTCTCCGGCCCACTCGAGGACCTTTCTATCGAATAACACTGTCTTATATCCTATTCCAGCTGGCTCTTCATTTGACATGCTTAGAACTTCAACGCCAGACTTGCTATTCTGTCATTGCAGTCAGTCTCGCAAGTCATCTCTCAATATTTTTTCTACTGGTTCATTGAAACCCAAAATTACAAGATTCTCGTCGTAAAGGAAAGTGCACAATGCTGGGCAATGGATCACGAATCGCTAATGCGGACACGGTATGCGGGTCGTACATTCAATGACTTGATTGGAATGTTACCCGTCAGTACCTTCAACGATACTTTGACTGTTGGACTCTCAGAACATTGTAAGTTATGAATCTCGAAGGTACGTTTGTGAATTTTTACATATAATCTGCGGTCGGGCGGTGTCAATATGAGCTTCCTGGGACAGTGTTGACCTCACTGGGCGTTCTCCAAACGAGCTCTCTTTTCCGCCGAGGGGAAATTTATTGATTCCTTTAGATGGAATACTATTGTATTGGTTATCAAAAATAGACGATGGCTCTTACTTTCTCGATCTGAGCTAGCAGCGCTGAAGCGGGAGAAGCTATCCTCATCTCAATAGCGCTTATTTGACACAGTCCAATGAAAATTCTAACCGTCCTTTATCGAGGTATATTGCAATGGGTCACACGCAGATGTGAGCTTGCATTTTACGCCGGTCAAAAGTCGAAGCTTTTGTTTGTCTGTGATACCCTGTGATACCACTATCGTAAGCATTGTGCTCGATCGCTGGTTCATGATTACAGTTGACCAACACTGGAGTATTGGATTATACATACCCCACTCATTCAACAAACCCACTTCGCAAACCTATTCGATGTCTCTACAGCGTTGTCAGTCTTGCAGGAGAGCTCAAGTCACAATCTCTGTGTCTCACTCATCGTTGAAAAATATGAGGAATATCGAGACTCTGGGGTCAAACGGAACATCGGGAATCATTGAGCTATGTTGCTGTGGGCGCATGGCCCGTATGTCCGCAATATGGTCCAAGTTGTGAATGGACAAATGTAAAGCAATATACAAGAAGTATTAATCACCATCCTTACCGTCTTTTATTTACTTGTGGCTGTATGAAAGGTGATTAAATGGCATTTGAAGCTCACACTTTGTTCAATGTGCCCAAAATTCGGTCAAATTGTTCAAGTTCTTGAGTTTTAGAGTCTGGATCCATCCCATAAGTCCATCTTCCAGCTCAAGACTCCACCCAACGATAATACCTGCAGATGCCTCAGGGTGGATACTTGCATGCAAGCAGAGCTCAAGCCTATTAAGGATCTGTAACAAGTGGGTGTGGCAAAGAGATACCCCCATGCAATGACGCTGTAGCACACCGCAAGTTTTGGCCTCATGTTGATATTCAAGCCAATCAAATGTTCTGAACCAATACAGGTTGAACGGGGAGGAAGGAACGTGTAAAAGGAGCCTTTCCCCAATTCATGACAGGTATCATATGTCCCACTTTACAGCAGCCGAAGTTCAACATATAAGCTCGGGTTGTTACTGAGATTTCAGATCGATATCTATTTGAGTGGCGAGCTCTATAAGTTTCAACAACCCAAGGCTCGAATATGTAAATGCATGGTCAGAAATCAGATGCTTCTACAGAATAATATTTTGCGATTGTTCTGTAGCATCCACTTCCTTGCAGCTCCAAAAATGGAAATTTAAAATCAACTGGCGGCCCGGCGGCAAAGATATTTAGTTGCCTAATCTGGGTTCAAAAGGACAGCTTTGACACAACAATGTTGAGGAGACACGCTACATTCGGAATGCATCTGAGCATCTCCGGATTCTGTCGGACGTATTCCACCAACTCGGCGCTTGTAAATATTCGAGTTGCATATGCCATCTGCTATCTGACCCTCCGCTGAGGATAGAGCGTGCAGAACGTGGGGGCGACTGACCCATGAGGCTCACTATTGAGCTGGATTCCCTAGTATGATACCAATGAACTTGAAAAATGATTTTTCACAATCGAGGTACCTTGATATTTACTATGGCCGTATGAGAACAATACATAGTATTTCTCCTGTAAAGGAAATTTCCATGTCCTTGTATGACATCCTGTGTCCAACCTTACGAAAGACTTCTTTCTTGTCACAAGGCTTTTGCCTGTGTGTGGAACTTGGCCGGAAAATCTGTAAGTGCGGCTCGATAGCCATTGCTGTATGTACCTGATTTTTTCTGGAACTAATGTCAAGTTACAGCATCGTACTCACGTTTTTTTCTGTCCAACTTTATACACGATCCAGGATCGTGTTCAAAACTTCGGGTCATGGACCTACCACGGTGATTCAATTGATAAGTATTTAACACCCTCACTCTAATCTCGAAGGGTTTACAATATGTGGCTGTTACAGAAGGATGTTGAATACAACGATTCGATCCAATATGCGGTCCGAGAGCCCAGAGACAGGTGTGCAACATTAATTTATATCACTCACAATTATGGTACACCCCGAAAGTGAAATGACCAGAAGCCCAGGCCATGCCCCACGAACTATCCGATCTTCCTCCCTCATATTCACCGGATGTCGCGAATCGTGAGCTTCTAACTTGTGGGACGAGTTCCACATTCATCTCCGGTAAGAACGGTGAATGTTGAATGTGGTATTGTGGACTAATAAGGCTTCATTTCCGAAGAATTGTCGGGATACCATTCACTTGATGACATCTAGATCTAAGGTTTGCATTCCTCAGAAAATTCGGAAAGGCGCACCTAGAAGGAATAAAATGTTTAATAGTATCACTGGGAAATACTGATAAGAAATACTAGTAGCAAGTGTTATCTCCTGCGCACAACTTACAAATGAGCATGCAAGATAGGCTCGAGCTCGAACATTGTAATGGAAATGAGTCGCTATCCTTAAGCGCCAGAAAGTTTGCACCGCATTCCACAGCTTGGAATTATTTCTTGAACGTGAACTAATGTTGAACCAGCTTGGAACGGAAGATATTTCGTTGGACATGGACACAAAGTCTCGAAGAGGGTCAACAAACCCTTTCGGGAACTGATAAGTCCTGCATCGAACCAGACCTGAAGCTTGAAACTTACTTAAATCCCGCGCGTGTTCTTTATTACTCATTGGGTCAAGTTGAACTTGCCGTCAAAGTGAAGAAGCAAAGCCAATCTACGAAATGGCCAGCCTCTGAAAGTGGGAGCCAGGCGGATGAGGTGTTAAATGACTCTCAATACTTCAAAGCAGATGGACCTCACTCAGCTTCATGGTGCTCCGAACTTTTGGCGACAGCCGAATAAATCGCACCTTCATTCACCTGCGCCACGTCAATATTCAATGTGTTGTTACTACCGCGAGAAGAGGGCAAATCATGCATATTGAACATACTACGAGCCAGCTCCGGGCTGACGAAAAACGAGTACTTCCTTGAGAATGCTTTACAGCGGGAAACACAAAGCCGTGAGAGTGCCCTTGGTTTCCATAGAGAGATATCCTTCATAGTTTGTCAGCATCTAAGTCATGATCAGGTAAAGAGCGCCGCTATTTACCTTCGAGAGTCAATCAAGACCGACCTCGTCCATCGTCTACACCCAGTCGTTACCAGCACCGAACTTCCTTCCGATGTCCATTCAACGCCACTTAACGACTGTAAAAATTCCCAGAGGCTTCTAGGTTCGAAACCACTATTCTAGACAAGGAACCAGACGCGGCGGTCTCCTGGGACACTTGGAGTCTGCCAGTGAACTCCAAGAATTCGCCCCAAGCGAGTTTCGGTCCAGCCTTGATGGCGAAGCATCTCAATATCCAGCGCAAGCCTAGCCCATGCCACGCAGCTGTAATACGTCGCAGTTACGACGTTGACTGGAGATGACGAGGGATGAACTGGAGAAGTTGCAAATCGGTGGAGGGGTTGCACCGAGGTTGAACTTGGTTCAAATTGATCAGCGTTGGTCATATCGCAAATAGACCACATGCGAATTGATCTAGAGCAAAGGTCCTTGAAGGGCCTAGGTGGCTCGAAAATGGAGTAGTATCTCGAAATTGTACTGTCTTCGTCCAATAATTTGGCAAAGATAAAGGTGAAAGGTGAATTAATAAGCACAACGACGGTCGTTTCCGATGGTTATGGCCACAACCGCACCAGAAACGAAGTGTCATTTTTTAAAATATCTAGCAGGAGCCGGACGCCCGCAACAGCGCAATAACTCGCTTACTGAACTCGAATAACACTATGCAGAAGAGAGCGAGATGGGCTTGAAAGTCTCGGGTTTCACCTGGTACGTCCCTTCTTCGACCTTCTTCCCGAACAGAGGGAAACATTCAAGCTCATGTGAGCTTGGGTTTGATTATCTTGTATCACCAAGATCGATGGATAAGAGACTTAGGATTAGTGATTTTAATCAAAAATTCTGTCGAAGATCTGATAGTACAATCCAGAGGTGGGTTCGGTTCTTTGATCAAACATCGAACTGTGCTTCATTTCTAATGTTTGTTAGTAACTTGTTAGATTGTCTTATACGTCCATACCTTAGTGCGAATCGGCCCTAGAAAACATCTGCATGTAGATCTCAGGCTAAGGGAATGCGTAAGTTAAACCGAAATCTCACCGAGACCATTTTTCCGAGCGTACGAGGAATTTGCGAAGATGGAACTGGTAGAACAGATCGGATTTCTGAGTCTACATACGGATTGAATGAAGAGAGAGGGATTGAAGGCTCATTCATAGCGATTCCATCTTGTATCGTAGAAGTGATGAGGTATCTAATTTGGACGTCGTGAAGATGAAGAAAACCCATCATCTTGTCTCTGGGATCTGAACGACCCAGTCGTCAAACATCTGAAACACTTCTAGCACAACTCAAGTACTCACCGGTACTCACCAGCGGAAGAGAAAATAAGACTCTACTATTCTATCGGATCCGAGAACGGGTACAGTAATCCCGCCAATAATTTGTCGAAATAAGTTTCAGAGCTTGGGATGACGTAGTTAACATTGCAGTTGTTTGCGCTTCGAAAAAAGCACATTGAAATAGACGCCCACGATTTTGACCTCTTCCACAACGTCCATCACCTTCAATTGGTTGGATTTTTTTTCTGTCCTCGTCGCGTTACCGAACACAGGTCACCTATAGCTAAAGATAACCGGTAAGCTCCCAGCTCTCAATGCCGTCTCAAATTGAATCAAATACATTCAGCTTTCTTTCGTTTTCCTACATCGGGACTCGCTACCCTGCGGAACCACAGTTTTCATCATCGTTTAAACAAGACCTCGAAGCTCATCTCGTCATGGATAGCGGTGACACTAAGCTTCCGACGGATAATATATTGCGGGAATAAGTTGCAAGGTATTGCAAAGGAGCGACTGGTGATATAAGCTTTCCTTATCCCTTTGGTTTCTAATCCTGTGTTTTCAGAGGCTATGTAGAATATGCTTGAAACAACGCCACGACGATGAATGTATTGGCATCCTGTTTGTGGTATGATCGTTCCATCATTCGATGTGACTTGATATATTGATAGCAATTCCCTAGCTTTCGAGCATCTTGCATGGACCAGGCTCATACTTTCACCTACAAGGGCCGTCTTCCGATTCCCGAAATGGTTTTCGTCCAGGAATACAGAATTGGCTAGGAGAAATTGAGGAGTTTGCGCACTGGATATACTGGTTTACATCTTCAAGCTCTGTCTCGTTAGATGATATATTTCGAAGGTATGTACGTGAATCTTGTGTCCATTGCCTTTATGCTCATACTCAGAGGCGCAGGAATGATAGAGACTGCGTCTACGATCTGCGACTACGATAGTGAAGTGGACGGGAAGTTGATCAGGATACACGAGATCATACTGCCGGACGGCTGGGTGTGGGCTTCGTTGGTACCTTGGGCATGCAATATGATGGTCCGGTGGCATCTCTGGTTCGTGGCTTTTGAGACTCGCCTTATATTTTCTTATATCGAAATTCCTCTAGGATTCAAGCCTAAAAATTCCTACCTCGTATTCTCAACAATCCTGCGCGCCACTACCTATCTACCTTGCACATTATACTATACAGTATACGGTTTCTCTGGCGGTTCACTCCTCTCCAATTCCTATGCGCGAGGAGGCAGAATTATATTACTCTGCATGATTTATCGCTGTGTCCTCGAGTTTCAGACAAGGTATCACTCAGTTTCTTCTTTCGCCGACCAGTCACTGAGACTGCAAACTCCATCGACGCTCTTCACCGCCACTCCTCCTCCATGTCCTCTGCTCCTTCTTCGTTTGGACTTTGGTGGCTGATGAACGACTCGCCAGTTGGGCTCTGGAATAGCGTGTGTTTTTTCGAGACCTTAGTCATCATATCAGTTTTCTCTCTGGGCGACTACGTTTACTGTGGACTTCGATTGCTTCTCTATATGAATGGTGTCGAGAGAGGGTTGTTCCTCGCGGTCTTTAATATCTCTTTCCACCCAATGTCGACCTAGCGGTGGTCATATGTGGTTGCTGGACATTACTCATAATAGTTCAATAAGGGAAAAACAGAAAAGGGTTCCGCATCCAAGTAAAAATCAGTGAGGCGTGCGCGAAAAGGCGTGAAAGTGGTGATTGATTCTATGTCAGACTATCTTGACTAGTGCTTGAGGTAGTACTCAACGGATGTTGCAAAGAATATGCCAGAATTTATCTGAGCTTTAATCAGTGATAAGCTGTAGAACAAGTCCCAACGGCGCTTTGCCAACGATCCCATTATGACCAGGGCAACCTTCGTTTCTGATTCTTCCCTTCGTGTCCTTTCGCACTAGCTCCATCCTTGCTTGCGGCCTCTTTTCCTGCGTGAAGTTCGTTGTTAACTGATTGCCATAAGAATACCCATCGTTGCAAAAACCAGGCCGACTGTAGAAGTCATTTCGTATTGTCAGAAATAGACATTTGGCCACATTAAGCCTGAACGACTCACATACGATTTTTTGTCTGGTAATTTTGTTAGAACGGTGGGATGGCCCCAATCCACAATGTAAACGGTCTCCAATTCTGGGTCCTGACCATTCATGCTTGTGAATTTGACGAGGACATTTGACGGACTGAAGTCACTATGTAGCACAGAGCATTAGAGGAGAACCAGACAATGATATGAGTGCGCATACGCATGAAGGAACCCCTGTATGACCAAGTTATAGGTCAGTTGAAGCATATGTTGTGCAACCTTCTGGCAGATTTTTGCTTTGTGTTCTCTTGAGGCGCTCTTCCACACGTCGGTTTCCTGTAACGGCTCTCCAGACATTCTTTTCATGACGATAACCCCGATCTTGTTGCCATCCACAATTGTATGACCAGCCTCCAAAATCAGTTTGAACTTTCGCAAGGCGAAAACTTCGCATGATGATATTGGCTGGCTGAAGTCCACGAACTTCACAATAAGGCTGGCTGCTGCTATCGTCTTACTATCGATAGGGTAAGAGTCCTGAAGGGAGAAAACTCCCTGGTTGTTCCCGCCTTTAGCTCCCGAAAGTGGTGTACGCCGTCAAGTCATCTTCTAACAATTGGGATAAGCGTATAAGCGCAACCAGTTGGTATGTTAGAGTAAGCACGTACTAAAGACTTCCTGATTTTGGTTATATCCGTAGCACTGTGGTACCCAAGGCTTTGTCATATCAAAATTGATCCAAGGTTGCTGTCAACATCGTTCAATTCAATGGAAAGGACTCGAAGAGTAAGAAACATACACCAAGTTGTCTAAACCGCTCCGCGTCCCAATCTTCTTTGCTTAGTACACGCCGTTCCAAAGAGATTCCTTCCACAAGCTTAGCTATTGGAAGGTTCATTATCGCAGGAGTCCCGATATTTCCATCTGGAAGTACCCCCCTCGGTTGACCATGAGGTATGGTCCTCGCAGCAACCAACAAGCAAGTACGGATCACAAGCGGCAGCAGCAAGACTACACTGAAGAACATTAGTCGTGATCAATGAACTCGAAGGTCTGGAGCGGGATTCGTTGGAAGTTTGGATGCGGAGGGTGTGCAAAATGGATCTCTGACCAGCAGAAATCCAGACGATGCTGGGGTAAAATGTTTCAAAGAAAGTTATGGTAGTTATGGATTTCTTCGTCTGCAGGATCATTTCTATAAGCAGCGCAACAGCAAAAAACATGAACTGGTCTCCGTTGGATCTATTAATGACAACCCATCAGACTAATTTGTGCTCAGATGCAATTCCGATGTACATGATGACTGCGTCGGTTTCCTTTCTGATGGGACTCTTTACGCCCCGATTTAGTTCCTGTCGACCCTGGATTGAGGGAGTTTGGTCTGAGCAGGAGTAGGCAGGAGTGCGAAGTGGGTGCGACCAGGTGCGACCTTATATATAACAGCCTCACCCAACTCATGTCGGTTGTTCCAGTAGCCCCCTTCCTCTTTTTCCCTCCCCGACTTCAAAAATCTCTGCTGGTCAGAGAAACACCCGGGCGGAAAACCTCCATCGACATACGAGATCATTTCACACTTGACGCTACAATGCTCTTTCACACTATAGTGTCGCGGCTCGTTGTCGGAGTCTGCCTACTCAAATTCGTCACTGTCGGTGCCATGCCCACAGGTTCGGGGAAGGCTCCGCTTGGTAAAACTCTTGTGCCAGGGAAAGTTGTCGACCCCTTATTTGAGGAGAAATGGTGGAAACAAGTGGCGAGTATCTTTCCTCTGATTTGCGGGACTGGTTATTGAGAACATACGGCATTTATATTTATAGGAGGTCGATTGGATTGATATTGATCCTGACGAGAAAAAGCGCTGGATATGTCAAGGGTACGACAAGAACAACGAAGTATTTGGTGAGTGTAATCCCGCCATCCCCCAGATCTGCTCATTAAATACGCCTATTGACTACGCTCTATCCAACAGCAACGGACTTGAATGACCAATTAGAAGGAAAGCTCACCCTCGGCAGGTTATCAGGTTTTGCGCCTATTGAAGGGAACAACAATAAAGGCATCTATACACTATTCAATAGCGTCAAGGTCGATTCAATTCCAGGGAGTAGCCTTGTCGTGAAATTAGTGGAGCTCGAGCGTAAATCCGCTTCATGTGAAGTCTTTGCACTCAAGGCCCTGGCAACCCTTCAGCAACAACAGCATAAAGCGCCTTTATTCGTTACCAGTGGACATATGATGCATAAAAAAGTCAAAAGAGGTGTTATCATTCTGCGGAAAGTACCTGGAACGCCACTGCAGGATATTAAAGATTGGAGAAACGGGAGTAACGAGATCAAGTTGACTATGATGAGGGTCGTCTACAATTCAATTCTCAGACAGAATTATGACCTTGTTCAAACCAAGAAGCTCGTTCACATGTAGGCCTTAATTTTATCGCCGCTTGACTTCGACCTCATACATCCACATTTTCAGTGATCCCGATCCGTCAAACATCCTTGTTGACCACCCTGAAGATAACCTCTTAGATGCTAACCTCATAGATTATGGTGCACCGTCAGTCTATCCTGTAAAGAGGGATATCACAATGGAGGAATTTGTGAATATCTTACGCTTTCCTCATACAATTGTTCTGCTAAATGACATCTCGCATAGGAGAAGTGGTTTAACGAGCGATGGTATTTCTTATGGTTCCATGAGGGGTCATGAACAGAACTGACGAAGGGAGGAGGGGTGATGTATTAGCAGCGATGTCGATGTTATATATCTCCAATTCATACGGTGATCCAACGTTGATGCTAGTCAACATCCTCTACCCAGAAATCAATACTCGCTGAGTTTGAAGGAGTCTGATTTCTGGCGGGCCGTCAGCCTCCTATGCCAATGACGCCTGGAATGAAAGGGAAACCCGCAAATGGTCACTATGAACGGCTTCCATGACTTCGAATAAACTCTTGCGTTGCCTTAAATTTCCAACCGTTGTCCTCCTGTAACATTACTATTGGCAGCCTTCTCCTCAACCTTCTCCTCTTTAGACTTTCAGGCCCGACAATTCGATGGCCTATCATTACCAGAGAAGTACAACCTTCGCTCGATGGAGTAGCCCTCCGGTAATTACTATGCTCATACTCAAACCTACCCACTAATCGAACGTTCATGTCCCAAATCAGTAGTCCTGTCGAGGATTATTGCCATTCTGGATTTATTGTTTGAGTAGTCAAATATCCAGAACGTTAGGAAAGCATTGCTGCGGCTTATTTCCTCTTTCTCTATTAGCGCTTTAGGATTAGGGTTCCGTAACTTACTCAAATTCAAGTTACAAATGTAACTAATTCATGTTACTAACATGTTACTTACATGTCATGTTGGGGGTGTAGGATTTTCAGTGTAACTAATTGTAACTAAGAAATTTGACGCCAACTGGCGCTTAGTTGCTGGAAGAATTTTTTTTCGAATTTTGATACTTTTTGCCCAATCACACAATGTCGTCGCCAGGAGAATCTATCGATGCCCTTCTCAAGGCTCGGAAACATTATATCGACAACCCTGAAGCATTAATGCCCGAATTTTTGGATGTCGTCAATCAGAACACCCTGGCAGGCAGTACTGAGCGCAATCTCTGGATGTGCCATGTTGATGAACTGACAGAGGCAATCAAGGAAAATAAAGAGCTACCAGAGGTAGGTCCACATAACGAATCTATTATCTTGTATGTAAACCATTGATTAACACATTCTCAGCCTCCGACAAGGTCACCTGTACGGAATTCAGAAACATTAAATAAATGTTGCATTGCTCACATATCATATGTAGATACAAGGCAGAAACCATTCCACCAAAAGACCTGTGGATGATGATTTGATTTTATTGGGAGAGGTATGTACGGCCTTGTCAAAATTGACTCCTTGTGAACAACCATTTAGAGCGAGTCTGAGAAAGTTGGTCTGAAAAGTTCTCGAATTGGGCGTAAACCTGATGACTTGATGGCTAAACTTGTCACCAAGAGCAAAAATGAGGTGGGCAAGGAGTTATATGCATGTATTGCATGCCAGGAAAGCTGGATGGGCAAACCAACGAAGAAGAGAGTCTTTCCCCATAGCTCCACATGTGCCAAAATGCTCAGTGAGCACAAAGACCTCGCTTCTGCTGCTGCTATGGCTGCTGGTAACTTGTCTTTGGGAGCAGAAATTGATAAGGCTACAAAAGATTCCTTGCAGCAAGAGACTTCGGAGCCAGTCTCAAAACAGCACAGAATCCAGAAAAAGCTCGATGTGACTCAGTATCGGGTAGCTGGGAAGAAGGCAACTGAGAAGGAAACTGAGCTCTTCAATAAGAGGTTGGGTTTACTGCAGCTGAAACTTGTTACAGTTTGTGGTGTTGCTCCCCATGTCTTTGACACGGATGTCTGGAAGGAGCTTGCAACACTATCTAATCCCAGGTGGTCTCCTTATACTGGTGACCAGATACAGGTGGCGATCAAACTTGAAGCAGAGTTATGCAGGCAGAAGACAGTCGAGGCAGTGAGTAAGGAGGTGCATAATACAATCACCTTTGACGGCACTTCATTACGTCGCAACCAATCTGCATACACAGTGCATGTATCCACTCCGGATCGCGAAGAATATTTCCTTCATGCTCATAAGGGAGATAAGGCTCGCCATACAGCTCCTTGGGTAAGGGATAGGTTGATAGAGGTGAGCAGTATCCTTATTTGCATAATTATTTGCACTAAATCTTTCTTGTAGAGCGTTGAACTTATAGGACCCGACACTGTTGCAGCTACATGTTCAGATAGTACTTCTGTCACAAAGCTTGCGAAAGAACTTCTCGTCTGTGCATATCCTCATATTCTTGATCTTCGAGATGCCGTTCACCACCTCCACAACACAATTGGTGATATAACGAAATTAGAGTATTTTACTCCTGTGAGCACAACAATTTTCATTTTAACTTCATTTTACTGATAGAACATCTAATAGACAATGAAGCTTCTCAAGAGTACGGTCGCCCATTTCAGTAAATCAAATCTCTCTGTTGCAAGTCTGAAAGAGCAAGCTTCACTTGATGGCGATGATTATCGAGCTATCCAGAAATCTGGAAATACTCGCTTTGGGTCAAACTGGACCATGGCAACATCTGTGAGCCCAAAGCTTGATGCTATTGCAAAGTGTGTACAGGCTAAAGACATTGAATTCAAAGTGAGTATCATTCTCCAGTCATTCATATCATAAATCCTGATCTCAGTTAGTCAAAGTCAGTACAGGCGATGTTCAAGCACGAGCTCAATGGGAAGCTCGCCATGTTCAAGCTTACCCTTGGTCATTATGAGGCAATTGTTGCGCCATTCATTCGTTCTTTGTGGTCTCTCGAAGCACCAAAGGCCAATGCCTCTGATGTCTATGTTTTCTGGCTTTCGAGCGCCGCCGCAGTGACGGATCTATTCAAGAAAAGTTCTGATATTACAGGAATACCAAGGCATTTAAAGGAGCAAGTCAACGGCATCTTTAATGCACGCTTTGCTGAGTTTTTCTCCAATGATCTGTACTTTACCGCATTCATCCTCGATAACCGTGAGTGTATTTCAAACCTTAAAACAGTCCTTGGTCTCAATTAGTCTCCAGGCTACGATGAAGCCGAATTCTTCGTAGATGCTGCAAAAATCCGTATCATTCCTCGCCGTAGCGAGGTACTCTCTATCTCCGACACAGCAACAGCACTTCCTCGCCCACAGATACGAAACGTTTCTGCATTCCGCCGTGTTCGTCACTTCCTACTTTGTCTACTGAAACCCGAACTGCAAAGAGCATTGAAGAAACGCTCAGGATCCAATGCTCCTTTCATTCTTGATGTCTTTCCATGGGATATGGATGGGAAGGAGGTGGTTTCTACTTTCGAGCGGGAATTTGAAGCATTTTGGCGGAAAGAGTTTCCATTCAGTGATGAAAAATCCTCTCGCAACAAGGATCCTCTGATATACTGGCGAGGTTTAGCACAGATCAAGTTTGCGCGCGTTATTGGAGTAAGTCATAGTCAACATTGCCTGTTATCACGCATTACACTTATCATCATCCTCAGTATCTCGCGGTCAAGATATTTTCCATTACAATCAATTCTATGGCTGACGAGCGAACGAACTCAATGATTACTTGGTTCAATAGCCCATATCGAGGACGTCAAACTTCTCAGACAGTTGAAAGTATGGTAATGGTTGGTCAATGGTATCGTCGCCATGACGAGGTAAGCTTCGATTTGTATCTATTTCTATGCATGTTCTCACTGTTCTATAGGCATCAAAAGTGGTGCCCGCTCCTCGCAAACATCCTGTGGTTAAGTTTTCCAACCTCGACAAGACTTACTTGAAGAAGCTTCAGTTCGAGCCTCATCCCACACGTAATCTTGGTGACAGTTCCGACGAGAGCGAGGATAATGAAGAGGATGAAGAAGAGCAGTCCGAGGGAGAGAAGGAGGCTCAGATGCCCAAGAAGCGAGGCCGTAAAAAGCGAGTCATTTCGTCTGCTTCGTGCATTGTTGTTGATGAAAATGAGATCAACCTCGCATCTCCTGCTTTGCTGGCAATGATATCAGATGAGTTGCAGACTCTCTGTGATACCCCAGAGTCAGCCATGGCCTCTGGTTCTTCTCAACTACTGGTCAGTGAAGAGGTGAATCGAAGGGATGTGCCAGTCAACTGGGAAAGCCTTGGAATATAAGTTACACTTAGTTACTCGAATTCTTCAAGTTACAAATAGTAACACCATATTAGTTACACTGTTTCTTACACTAATTAGTTACTGTTACTTACGCGTGTAACTAATGGATTCAGAACTTCGATGTTAGAAACAAATGTAAGTAATAGTTTGAGAATTAGTTACGGTACCCTATTTAGGATATATCCAACATGCGTTGGTGGAGACCTTATGGAAGACAAATACCGTCGTTCATGGGGACCAAACACTTGCTTGAGGTATCCTATGGCAGTCTTACTTTCAAGGATGCAGCTACTCGAACGCATGCGGCGTTCATTTTTCATCATCTTGTCTACTACGAATCTCGTTGAATACTACGATCGCACTACACCGAGTGCGTATGTTTTACATCTGGCCCTACGCATTTTTGTTGAAACCATGTTAATTTCGCCCATCAATCGCTGGTTGGGAAGTGATGAAATTGCGAGAATGCACAGGTACTTGAGGCATTCTCTTCGCTCCAGTAATTCTATCCTGATATCGTTCTGTATTTTGATCCTGGTGTCCCGCTCGAGCAGTTCCTCCAATGTATGAATCATCTTGTAGCTCCTGCAGACCATTCCCAGCGGGCATTCAGTATGCTGATAATATACGATATATATTTTCATTAACCGATGATAAGGCTGAACTAGCTCTCATGGTTCGATGAAGAATGTATCCAGCATGAAGTTCGACCGCTCTCGTTACAGATCAAGGCGAGTCTTACTCTCGAGATATTGCACCCCCCCAGATTCAGAACTTAGCGATATCTGGACCTGAACAATACGCAAAGAACGCAAAGAAATTATTGGTAAAACTTTGACTATGAAATAGATAGGAAAACAATGAACCGGAGGTCCGTTGCGGCTGTGGTTAAGGTGATAGGTGAAATGGACTGTGTAACAGAACTGCAAAGATTATAGAGTACTTAGAAGTAGGTAGACCAAAGCCGACGATGTCCGTGCACAACTTGGCCCTGCACCGATTCCGATTTGAATGGTTATCAAATGTGCATCGGAAACACCGCGGTCAACGGCGAAAGTTGCGAAAAAGCACGAAAGAGCAGGAAAGAGTCGGTATATTGAAGCCAAGGCTTAACATCTCCTCAGAGTTGTGGCTTGTGGATGGTCGGGGTCAGATGAGCCCCAAAACGAATGGGAAAGACTTTGCGAGGCGATATGACTTGAGCTAGCGGATGGACCCTCAGGTAGGTGCTGGAGGTCGAGCACAGAAGTACGCACCGACAAGATCCTTTAGCATTTCTAAATACTGCCCTCGAACCTCACATATTTTTAGCCATCTCTGTAATGCATTGCTTTAATGACGCTCCGAATTCATTGAGGACGAGGAAACAGCGAAATAGGTATCGTATTCAGAGAGTTACTTAGAGATCGATAGAAGATTTATTTTACTGTAAAATTTAGGGTTAGGACTTGATCACATGGGGCAGTCAAAGCTGTATATATCAGTCCGGAAATGTTCCTAATGTTACTTACAAGTTTACAAGATGAAATTCCTGTGTCCTAACTTAAGGGGACTAAGGCTACATGTGACCCCGATGAACCAGATTGTGCCCGCCATTACGTAGATAAAATTATTGTAATGAGTTGTATAATGCCAGACCATGCTTTCTTACTACCGTTAGGCGTTCTTTTCGGATGAGTCCTTGATATTATTACAAGTCTGTCATTTTGAAGCTCAGCAGATTTTATCTTGAAAGAGTCAAAGGGGTCGACCCTCGCTCCCATAATTCTAAAAGATCAATAGCACGTCACAGAGCGGGATCATCCGGGATCATCCCAAATAATGGAATTCCGTGAACTCAAGCACATTGGCTCATGCCATGATTGTTCGCCATGTTGAGCGTCCGCCGGCCCGAGACTATTTATGTCAGAAGCCTCATACGTATGCAGACCCGGGGACACGTAAGTACAGATGGACTAACTTTGAGTCAACGGAATGGCTAGCTCTCCGAAATCCTGAAGGGTTACCGGAAGAAGAATATCCATGGCCCAGGTGCTATGTACTCAGACCGGTGAAGCGCTTGACCCAAGGCAGTGGGTTTGAAGAAGAGAGCCAATGAATAGTGAATGCATACGCCCAGTCTTCCTCGCGTTCATGTTCACTCGTCGGCATGAGTTCACCCATATTCTAGTAATGGCACGGATCTTCACAATGTCCAGAGCTAATATTCGATATTCAGAATATTCTACACCGAACGAAGGACTCTGCGAATTCGATATGACTGATAGCATGTACCGAGAAGTGTTGAGAGAAGTACCTCTCAATGCCCCAGTGCCAGATATTATATTCCACGACGGACATCCATACCCTTCCTTACATCTTCGAATAGATTTCATTTATGCTGTAGGTCACTATAAAAACCCTCGTCCTTAGGTCTAGAGGATTCATCCAGCAACAGCTTGCTTTCCTGTTGGGTATTCATCTTTCCGACTTAGCCTGTAAACTCGAATTCGCAACATGAAATTCACCACCACGACCGCCTTTCTTGCTAGCGCCATGGCCTACTTCGTTGCATCCAATGAGGTCAGCGCCGCTCCTCTAAGTCCTCTCGATGTCTGGGACCCTACTATCACTTCTCCCGTCACTGGGACAGTGTGGGTTATCGGTACCGAAGTTAATGTTACCTGGTGCGTTTAGGATTCAAAGCCGCCTTTTACGTTGAGCACCTCACGGATGATGCTGCTCCTCATTCATCAGGAGCACCGACAATATCCCCCCTGACGGTGTATCTAATGGCGGGCATGTTTATCTCGCCAAAGAAGAAGTCGAAGGTACGCACTCATATCCCAGCACGTAATCCAACTCGTAATTGCCTCTTCAGTGGTCTCGTTGAGTCCGACCTTTGACCTCGTTGCGGCCAATGGATCCTTTACCGTCACTGTTCCCGCTGTCGTTCCCGACGACGATTACCAGATAGTTCGTAAGTCCAGAGATTTAATTCGAGCGTCAAAGATGATTTGTTAATGGATACGACATAATGATAGTTTTCGGTGATTCCGGGAATATTGGACCTTCATTCACCATTGTTGCACCTTCTTCCTAAAGAATGGATGGATAATTACGGTTGACCTGCCGATATATGATGGATCTGAGTAATTGACATTAGTTTTATCGGAGATTAGCGTTGTATGAGTGCATACTGATTATCGATTGCTCAATGCTGTGTTTAATCACCATTGGGTATATAGAAGGTTCGTAAGGAGATTAGTTGAGGCGTCGATCCCCAAATATGACCAAGTTTCTCGCGTCCATTGATAAAATACCCTATGGAATCACCCATTTGTATCTACCAATGACTCTTCTTCTGCTACTGGGTGTGGGTCGAGTCGTCGGAGAGTGAAAAAGCGGATTTTCGGCCCGAAACGCTGTTCCAGGATTTGCATCTATTTGCGTAAACTTTTGCTTGCCTCGTTCTTCCACGTCAATTCTAGATGGACTTTCTGGGCAGATTCCCAAGTTTAACGCAACCGCTCAATGCTCTAATCGTTTCCTTCCTTCCGTTTGCCAAAGCTCAGGATCACTTCCATGGACATTCGAGGGCGTCGTCGCGAAGAACTAGGACGGTCTATTTCTCGTCCAAGGTCGTGATTTTTGGAGATTTGTCGCATGTGTGCCGCGATCGAGCATCTGCGTAAGATATGTAACTCATTCACATTTTCGTAGCATCGTTTCTGACTAATGTTCACGAATCTCACTTCAGTCTCGTCAGGATCCATACTCTGCAGAGTCTCTTCATCGATAATGTACAACAACAGCGATTATCAATAGTTCACGGCTCGGGCGTCTTTGCAAATGGAAGCATGATATACACATTCAATAAATCATCCCTGTATCTCGATTTTCTCCCTGAAGCTTCGATAGGAGTCGATAGGTCAGTTCAATGAACTATTTCAACTACTTTTTCAATACCTTTTTGCAATTCGCTAAAGAAAATGATGTAATGTCGTCGTCAACCAATGTCAACCCTGTCACCATAGAGCATCAAGATTATCGATGCAGTTAATGAACGGTAATTTACGCAAATTACACACTGAATGTGACAGCCTTAATACACTCTACGTTCTTCGAACTAGACAACTCCATTGCTCGATGCTGATTGAAATAGTTCTACTTAATACTTCACCACCATTGAAGGCTCGTGTCACTACATACAACAAAATGAAGGTAACAAACAACATGGGGAAGAGAAGGAATAGTACAATGAAGCGCCAGATTTTGCGCGAGGATATCAGGAAAATAGAGCGTATATTAAACTTCAGCATGTTGTAAAATTCGAAGGTTGCAAGCGAGAATGAAATTGTGGTAGGTTATGACCTGCTCAAAGAGCTATGCCATTCGAAATTCGACCAATGACGGCGTCAGCTACAAAGCCTCCGACAAGAATTTGCCCAATCAAAGGTGTTTGCAGGAAAAAGTCTCTGCAATCAGCGGGTCGATCAATGTCGGTACGCAGAAGTTTCGACAATAACAATCCCGCAGCTAACAGGACCCCAGCGAAGAATGGGTAACTGTGCCCATTCAAGTACCCTCCGTAGGTAAGCAGTCCGAAGAATGCTATGGCAGTGGAAAAGCACACAGGGATTGTGTATTGACCGCAGAGCAAGGCAGAAGAGCGAATCCCAATCTTCACATCATCATTTTTATCCTACAACAAATTGAACGGTTGGTTTAGCCCTACATGAATCACCGGAATAATGATCTCACCATGTGTTGGTAAATTGTCTCGTATGTCCAGACCCAGAAGCAGCCTCCGATGTAAATGGGAACAAGCATTTCGTACGGCATCTCCTTGGTGCGGCTCAACGTACTCCAACCCATAAAGACACCGACGGTGAACATGAGACCCTATCGAACACGGCGATTTAGATGAGGTAACTGAAATGTGGTTTGTTCTGTATTTACCAAAACGACCGGGGCGAAGTACATCCACCGCTACAGGTCAACATCAGTAACCTGATATGAGGATCAATTCCACGAATTAACCTTGCATGTAGGGTAAATGATGAACAAGGGTGCAGCGGCAGCAGCAAAACGGCATCTAATGTCACGAAGGCATCAGTGTCTTGTGTTTCCCGACGATGAAGAGTCCTTACGAGACAGGATCCAAAAGGGCTTGCGCAAGAAACACTCCGAGCACTACCTGAATTCCAAAGAACATCCAGGCACGTTCCAGAGATATCGAGCCTCTAGGAATGGCACGGCCTTTCGTGCGGGACACCATAGCGTCAATGTCTGGTGAAGATCAAACGGTGATTTTCGATTCAATTCCGACGTCGTTGATGATGATTCCGAGACTCACCATGATCTAAAATATCATCGATCGCCATTATCTTGAATATAAATTTGTGAATACGTGCTGTACATACAACAAATAATTGACACTTACGAGCGACTTAATTCCAGAACACAGCACCAGATACTTCGCAGCCCAAAGTAACGCTACACTTCCTGGTATTTCAGGCTGAGCGTGATAAACCATTGCGAGGGCCCAAGCTGACAGAACGTTAGTCAATTAGACGTCTACAAGAGAACATATGGACTAACCCGTTGGTATCCAAGTTGTCCAACAGCCCATATGGTTGTTCAGCCGGCAAAGGTCCCAACAAGCATTGATCTCCTCTTTCGAGGGTGGGGCAAAAAGATTAGCCAGACGCTTAGACATCAGAGGAGGGGATGGAAGAGGGTTGCTGAAGTTTCGATTCTTTTTCCCGACATTATAAGGAGTCGTAGAAAGATATCATTGGTAAGATGTCTACATACGCGCTCGATTCTTCTCCGAAGTTTCCATACTGTGACAGCTTAGGCGCAGTTGAATGATTTCTAACACTTCTATCTTTCTCAGCCTAAACAGATATAACTGGGCCTCTCTTACTTTATCCGGTTGACATGAAAAGAAGCAATCGACCATATATAGGTAAGGCTTCTTGATTGAGTTAAATCTCCCTCTAAAATAGTATGGATCGGCGGGCGGGAAGACTGGTCGAAGTTCTGTACACATCGTTTCCCATCTGTAATGCGACGACCCCAAATGCCTTAACAATTGTGGGTTCGACTGTGTGCGCTCCTTTGCCTTGAGGTATACGGTGCCATTGAGCCTTGATGTTTTTCCTTGGGGGACACATTTTTTTCACTTGATAGGAACCGCTTCAAACCTACAGTAACATCCTTAAAAATTTGCAGGTTCGAAGAAGGGGAAGGCCTATAAAATAATCCGGTTATGTTTTCACACTAGCAAGCAATTCGGTCGAGCCCGGAAAACTACCATCTAACCGACCTACATTGCCTCGACCCTGATAAGTAACCGTGCTGCAGCGTGCTGCACACACGATAGGAACCGATGACAACGAGTCCTCGGAGCTGTTCCCGGATTGTCCCCTCTGTAATGAATTATCGCATCAAGACGGGCAATGATCAATGAAAAAACGGGCATTATTGTATCAGAATGTTCACACTTTTTCTATGTCCGTTGTGGACAGTGGACCCACAAAACGGTAATGAATGTATGTGCTATAGGATATTGTAGGCCGGAGATGCATAGAATAAAGCATAGAAAGAGCATTTTCTTCCCTGACACTTTTTATCTCATCTAAAATCACAGGCATAGAGTAGGTCCTGAAAATTGGGTACCGCTTTTCCTTGCTTGCCTGGACCAGTACAGCTTGAACTCATTTCATGGCTCCTCATGATTGTCTCGCGATGCCCTCTCGCGATATTTTTCTCGAGTTCCTTTCTCAAACGTGGGGGTGACGCTCTGATTTGAAGCATTCAATCAGTTCCCTTCCATCTCTTCACAGCTTCACTAAACGAGCTATTTAAGCGAATGGCCTTCCGAGTCCTCCGAGTGATCATAATGTATTGACCTCAACATGATCTGTCATCCCCAAAGATTCATCTCAGTAAGGTAGCACCTTCTATCAAAAGCTAACATCTTCCTGGATCAGTGATGCAACCTGACCGAGAAGTAGGAGGAAGCAGGTAGCAAAATGTGGGTTGGACGTCCAGCTACGTCCAGCAGGACACCAACTTACGGTAACTCCATTTACTTATATTTTCGACTAATTCTCTTTTCCCCATGAGGATTTATGAAATCGATGCCGGCCTAGGTTAGGCCTTGATAGGCCCTTGGAAGTTGGTAAGACTACATCTGACTATCATTGCAAGGCGAAAACTTACAAGTGAACGAGTTACCGGTAACGGTTGTATTCAAAGGATATACTCATAAGTAAAGCGAAGCACAGTCATCGTTCACCAACTGATTGCTACTATCTCTTCTAAGAGCCATGCTCACTCCTATCTTTATCATCCCACCCTTCCCCACTTGATGTTATGTACAGTACCTACTTACAAGTTCGAATTTGAAGAACTCATGTTTTGTCCATTCCGACTTCGATCTCTGGCAACAGCGCAAAGCAGAAATCAAATTGAGTAATCTATAGTAGAAATACTCAATAAAGTTCATCATTGTCTGTCCACGTATGGGATAGTACCTTCTTACAATGCTATCTCGAGCGCAGGCGGGAGGCAAAAGAGTGTTACACATAGTCCAGTCGGTATTGAAAGTGACCAATAGTGATGTGCCGGCTCCGGCTCTGAGCCCTTGGGCCCTATGAGCCTGGCCGGAGCCGTCTCTAGGGCTGTGGAAAGCTGAGGGCCCGGCTCAGAATTTTCAGAGGCCCCAAGCCGGGTTCTGAGCCGGGGCTGAGTAGCCGAATTTTGTGCCAAAATTCCCACCTGGGAATTGGCAATGGCTGATATGCATGAAGCTAAATGCTCAATATTTACCTATATGGGCATCACTAGCACCATTTTTGGCTGCAAGGATAACTATTGGTTCATGCCATAATCACCTAAAATTGTTCAAGCATTACAATTCGGATACTTTTGCCATTGTAGATGGGTTGGAGCTTGAATCAAATCATCATATTCACAGTGAATCTCTCTTAATGAGGACTGGGAAGGTATCATGTTGTAGATTTTACTATAACATGGCAGCACCTTCTAATTTGAATGTTAGTCTACAAGCCTCAAGGAAGGAACCACTTTGATCTGATTTGGAATTGACAGTAGTTGAAACAACAGGTAATGATTTTGGTGCTTGCTACTCTGATAAGTCTAGTGTACTGGAATTCTACTATTTGATTGCTGTACACTATTATTCTTAATGTTACACCCCTCTCACAAAGTTAGAGCATTAAGAAACAATGGTGTACTCTGGCAATGATTGTGATACAATTTTCAGACCATTGTGGCAGTATTTTCAGACTCACATATTACATTGGATTTTGTATGATCCAATGGTGAATACTTGAACAGATCAAAAAAATTTTGAATCTCACAGTTTGCACCTACCACAGCCGGGGCCCAAGCTTGAGCCGGAACCCAGCCGGGCCCTGGCTTTCATGTAGGGCCCGGCTCAAGATTTTCATGAGCTTTGGCCGGGGCTATTTGAGCCTTAGCCGGGGCTTTTGAGCCGGGCCCCAGCCGGCACATCACTAGCACTGCCCAAAAGCTATTGACTCGGAGTATTAAACAGTGCTACACATGTAAAACAACGTCAATAGCACCACTATGGTCTAAGGTGAACACCTATTTCACCCACTAGCATTGAAGTTTAGTTGAGATTATGAAGCTCTTGGAAGACTTTGATTGTACATGGATTGAATAGTGAAGCCTGAAGCCTGAGGGACTGGAATCAAGGCAAACCGCGAGAAGTGGTGGAAGGTGGCGTTTATCAATAATGCTGGCATGGAGGTTTGAATGACTCAGAGCTCAGTGAACTCTGAGAAGGATGTTGAAATAGACTGAAAGCGTAAAAACATCGAGACCAGATATGAGGCCCAGACGCTTGGCTATGTCCAGATTTCTTCGCCTCGTTGCAAAGAACGATATGGTGTCTGACGCTGTTGCTTGCAATGAGTCTGGTCAACGGTACAAGCCTAAAAGTGACTTTATCAAATGGACGAAGGGTGGTGATATAACAAGCTTTGCTTTATGTTTAAATTTGAAAGAGAGAGGTGCTGAGACAGTGAGACTCAGAGGTGCTTGGAAATTTCAGCGTTCCGGGCCGGCTGGAATCGTTTGTTTCTTCCCACATCCGGGTTGCATCGGGGTTTTTGAATCCACAGTTCGAAACAAGTTGCAGCACAATTGCGATCTGTATTCGATGTATTCGATTCAGTTGTTTTCGTTCTTCTTTTCCTCGTTTTCGTCATCATTGTACCCTCCTCATCCAACTCCCATAACATATACGTTGGCTATCTCGTTGAACGGGCATCTATGGGTATAGAGTATGATCTGAGGAAACAGTGGGTGCCGTCCCCTAAATTCGAGACGGATCACCTGGATTGATATTATCTATCGACAGGCAGATAGCAAACTATGCGGCATTTGCAAAACTAGGTGAACTCAGACCTTCATTCTCTCCAATCGCCGAAGACTGTGACTCATGTGTTGAATTTGGTAGCTTTGCTAGTCTACGATATTACCATCAACATGGGTCGTGAAGTGCGGCTGGTCTGGAGCACTTCAGACAGATTTCGTTGGTCAAACGTTATCTACTTCACAAATCGCTATCCAGTCGTGGCATACCAGATATGGAGCGTTTGCTATACCCCGAATATACCTCAGGCGAGTGGCTACAGACATTCCCTTACTATGATAGCACTCAACCTCATCAACTTGTATGCAGTACGTCAAATCCGGAGCTATATTCTTGTCAAACAGAACAGCTGATACTGAGGCTGACAGTTGCGATGCACTCTACCAATTCTTCTGGTTTTTTTCATTCATCCCGACACGCATAGCGATCACTGGTGCGTAAGGCTCGTCACTCAAAGTACCTCTCACAGTCTCCAGATACTCATGATTCGCAACAAAGTATCATGGATCCTTCGAGTTTACGCCGTGGTCGATCACGGTTTAGTATTTGCTATCATGTTATCTCTACTTGGTCTAGCAATCGTTGGTTTCGATATCGTGCGTACTCGTGCTCACCCATGTCCGAGCCCGATCATTTAACCTTTCCGTCTGAAAATTTTCTGCTTCACCATGTAGCTTCAAGGCGTTCAATCCTCCTGTACTCACAACACGCTATCTTCAGAAACCCTGTGAGTACATCGTTCCTACTGTTCTAATTATTGTGGGCTTCTTATCTTATATATAGCTGTGAGCATGCTTCATTGAAAAATTTTTCTCGTTCCGTCCATCATTTTGTCATCCTGACCCATTTATTGTCTACTTCTATACCCAGCTGGAGTCATGACCTACATTTCCCTGGCTGTGTTCGATATCTTGGCGACATGTAAGTGCATGCATGGTAGAGTTATCAAATCTTTCAGAGAGCTGACTTTTGCTCGCTTCAGTATTGGTGACAAACCGAATGATACAAGCCATACGCGGATGTGGTGGGTTTCGCAAGCTGGCCAGACAAAATCTCTCTGAATATGTTCTGAGATCAGGCAAGCCAATTCGGTTTGTCCTTTCAAAGTTTGTCATGCTGATTCTTGAGCGCAATGCAACTAGGCGTTTTATATTTCGGGTACGGGTTTCCCACTGTCATCCACGGGACTCACTCAGACATTGGTATGAGCAGGGTCGTCACAATACCTCAAATCATTGCAGTTGTGCTTTATTTCGTAGGTGTCCCCCTTGTGAGCCAGGCAATACTAATTTTGCATCTCACAGGCTCCACAGGTACGGAAAAAATCGTTCTTTACTACCTTCGAACCAAGGCACGGCTCATATCGTTCTGATGATTTCAGGGACTATACAGCCCTATCCTCAACAACTTTCTTCTCGTGTGAGCTCCTGTTTCCCCTCCCATACTTGAGCTCACATCGTTGCTATGCTCGCAAACCTTCACTTGCGAAAAAACATCTTTTTTCTATGTGTCTAGGTTGTCTTCCATCATGATCGCGCGTTTTCTGCTAGGTTTGCGTGAGATGAACGAGTCTAGAAGAGAATCTATTCCCGACGAGGCCAGCTTGGATCAGGCCACTACGTTGTCCACATATGACCTTTTTAACGGTACTTACAGGTCGTCAGCTAATTGGATGAACGGATCGACTACAACTGTGCCAGTGGGCGGACGGCGAATGAATCAGAACGGCAGAACACAGTGGTGGGCCGGAGGGACTAGTTTGGTAGCGGATTTCGATGCGGAAATTGACATGAGATAAGGACTCTTCATTTGTTTTCGAACATAAATATCCTATGTAGTGTAAAAGAATTGCAAAAAGGAATATCGTTCAGATGGTGTAGACATGTTCTTCGTACAAATGAAGTTCTCTCAACACGACACCATAATGCTTCTATTTCCTTGAGCGGAGTAAACATACAGTGGTGGCGATGTAAAACAGTACTGGTAGAACGGTACCCCCACGTCGATATTCAATTCTTCTCCTGACTCCTATTTCTTGTGAGATACCTTTTGGGCAGCCACTCAGGCGTAGACCAAGATCTATTCTGGATGGCAGCTATGATCATATTCGCGATGGCTTCGGCGCTTCGAAGAAACAACGGGTGAGCTAGCTGACAGAAAAATGCACGATAAACTCACCAGGAGAAAGCCCTTGGCATTCCGTGCCCGCTATACCCTGCGGCGATATATTGGCCAACAAAGATTCCCGAAGTAGCGCCTGACTGTAAATGCTCAACGACCGGACCAACCTGGGAACAGAAGATTAATCATCGCACAATTAATACCGAGTGAGTACATACGAACGGGTCAGCCATTGACGTATATCCCATGATACCTGTCTAAATTACAGCAAGTCAGTCCACGCAATTCCAAAGAGTAAGATAGCAACCCTCACCCATTCCATTTCCGCGTCTTCACCTTTATTGAACATATGCGGAAACGTCTCGGGAAGAAACGCACGTAGCTCTTCACCAAGGGCGGTATTTACCACCGAATCATCTGTCTCGTATTGCTCAAAAGCGGGACCTCCAATGTGTCGCCCACCTCCAAGAATAACCACAGGATTCTCTTTCTCGTCCTCTGGGCCATGATCGGAAATAGACCCATTCACTGGTCGCGGAAACCAATAGTGGTCTAAGCCACCCCATGATGCTTTCCAAGAATCGTTCACAGGCGTAGCAGCCCGCATGACAACGATCTGTCCCCTCGTTGGAATGATCCCACTCGGACCGCCAAACTGGGGAAGCAGATGGCTAGCATAGCCGTTTGTGGCATGTAAGACATGCGAGCACTTGACGGAACCGCGAGAGGTGTTGACGCTCCAGATACGTGAGGAAGATAGTGGTGTGACGGAAGTAACGGGGGTATGTGTGTGGAGGGAAAGAGAGAAATGCGGAGTAGAAGAGTTTGCAAGAAGATATAACTGAGTAACGAATTTAAGTGGCCAAAAGTTGAAAGCTGGAAACTTGACGGCAGAGTAAGAGGCACCATAGATCTTTAGAGCATGAAAATCAGTCATATTGAAATGAGAGCGGAATATGTACTCTGTCGACATCCTCTTCGGGTAACCATTCAACATCTCCTACATTTAACCCTGCTCTACTGGCAGCAAGATACTCTTCCTTGAGCGATGCGTATTCCTCCTCCGAAGAAATGAGCATCAAATGCCCACCGGCAACGAGGTCGACGACATCAGCTAATTGATGCTCTTGGATGATTGAAACCATGGCCATGGCGGTACGATTCTCGATCTGAAGCGACTTTAACGCTTCAATGGTCCCATATTTTTCTTCGTATTCTCGGTAGTTAAAGAACGAATATGGTGTGAGATGTCCCCCATTACGCCCTGTTCTCTACATTAGTATCTCTATGAAGAAAGTTATCACACTGACCAGTCGCTCCAGAGCCTATCCAGAAAGAAAGAAATAAGTCGCTCCTCGTCCTGAAAAGGCTTCGCAATGCTAACAAAATTCCCTTGCTTCCAACACAACAGCTTTTACCTCCAAAGATAATCCTTCCAAACCAAGCTTCTCCATTGCTTTTGCTAGGTGATAAGTAGCAGATATACCGGTCATCCCAGCACCAATGATACAGACATCAGCATCTTCAGTTAAAGGACCTATGCTGCCTTCATTCCCGAGTAAATTTGCACCAGGAGTGTCGATCCAAAAAGATTTACTTGCATTGGCAACCGGAAGACTGGCAATTGGTTGAAAAGATAGAGCTTCTTGTGAGTTGACTACAGAACTGCGAACTGAATTTTGGAGAAGTGAAAGAATCAGCACCGCCCACAACATCGCTGATGGGTACAAACAGTGGCAGATACTGTAACACGCTGAGCGTGAGAGTGTATTCAACGCAATGATCGGCATTCACTAGCTCATTCACTCTCATCTCTATGGATATCGGAGCTCAATACCGTCGATATATCAGCTACCTCAATGAAGGAAGAGTTCACGATCTCAGTGATTTTGTTCATGAAGAATTAATCTACAACGATGAACCAATGACTCGAGCCGACTACCAAAATTACATCGCAGACGATTTCGCCCGCATTCCTGATCTCCACTTCGATATTCACCAACTCATAGTCAGCGATAACCATGTCGCCAGCAGGATTCGATTCAACTGTACTCCGGAGGCGGACTTTCGTGGTCATGCACCGAATGGGCAAAAGATTTCTTTCGTAGAGCATGTTTTCTATCAATTCGAGAACGGTAAAATTCGACAAGTTTGGTCGCTGTTGGATGATCGAGCCATTCACGCTCAGATGGAAAAAGAAAAAACCATTAAGGTTAATGAAGGTTCGAAATGACTGTTTATTATACAATGAAGTCCAGCTTCAAGTCCCGCGTTTTCAGTTTGCTCAGCCTAGAAACTTGGATATGTAGTAGGTCTTGAGTACAAGCAATTTTTTTAGAAAAGGCCTGGGTGATTATGCCTCTCCCATTATCCATTTCTTGTAATGCTGACAGCGTCGATAGATACGAATACACGCAGTCATAAACTATAACTATTATGGAGTCAAAAACGGAGGAGGAAGATCCACTGTAGGTGATCTACTCGTGTATATGGGTGGAAGGGTATCTTTCGAATTTTCTCGTCGAGGAGAGGGATCCAAGATATCAGAGTCTGATCGAAAAATTGGAGCTGGCGAAGACATCCTTGGGAACGACATATTTCCACTCCCTGTTAGCCAGGCAGGTATTTGTACCCTAGAAAAGTCGGAATCGTATCCATATTGTTCGTCCTCCGCGCGTCCCAGAATCGGCGTCTGGGCATCTGACTGGGATCGTTGAATGCTCACCGTCGAAAACCGAAGCATGTCAACCATTCCTTGCGCATGGAGCACATAGTAATCGGCACTGTCTTCATCCTCGTTGTAACGTTCTTCTTGTGCTAAGGCCCCGTTCTGATTATGGAGTAGGCTAGTTCGAGAAGGGGATAAAGACCGGATCTGGCTCCTGCGCTGCCGTGAAAAACGGGAAGAGTGTGATACAGGGCGATGTGTATTCCTTCGAGTTCCTAACAACAACATGGAACTAGTTTCTGGTCTTGGTGGCGTCTTGGGCGTTCGAATCGGGGGAAGTAGTTGAAACGCGACATCGGGCTCTGAGGCATAACTGTTTGTGGTCGGGGTAGTAGCGTTATGTGCACCACGTTGAACGCCAGGTGTGATGATTCTCCATCCAGGAATTACCTTTGAATTTCTGATCAACAACATCATGCTATTGCCATGGTTTTAGAGGAGCTCACCTTTAGTAAGGGCTTACCACTATCGACAGCCGTATCGATGTCGTCTGTGATAAGCTCTCGACCGTCCTCGGCTACCAATGTCGAGACGGATAGCAATGTTTCAGAACGTGAAGGGGTCATAGATGTTGGTAATGTGGGTAAGAATAGCGGTTGCGGGGGGTGAAAAGGTGTTGGGTCCTGTTGTTGTTCATGGTCTTCCTTACCGTTATTCCAATTAGTCACACTTGCCGACGCAGTATGCCTCTCTGATCTCGATAATCCAAACCCTGCATATGGTTGATACTTAGTATTACCGGTCTCATCTCTTTTATTTGTTGGATGCGCAAAGCTTTGAGAAATATCTCTGCTCTCAACAAATGGCTCAATCGTTAGTTCGCGATTGTGCAATTGCTGGATACTGTGATAGGTCATCGGAGGCGTGGACGGTCGCGTCAGAGCCCCAGAAGGGTCGAATTGAGATTGAACCATGTAACCCTTTTGAAGACGTGCCCAGAGTGTTTTGTTACGCCTGTTCAGGAGCTGTCCAAAATCCGATCATTATTTGAAGGATTATGGACTTAAAATTGTACGCACTAGTAGTAATACTAATAAGGATACAAACGCGACAGACCCAATAGAGATGCCCACGATGGCACCAGTGCCAATTCCAACGCTACGAGAGTCACAATCACCCGGACATAATATGAAATCTGTAACTCACTTAGTATCATTTGATGTAGGAGTGACAACCTCCTCTCCTTTCCACACCTGCGCTTGGTAGATCCCGAAACAATTCTGTGTATTTGAATCTGTGGTTCGCGTTGTGATATCAGTAGCATTGCTAACTCCATGATTGATGATGGTCACTGTGTGTTCCCCGGGCCCCAAATTATCTGCATAGTAAAGAATAGCCGTGCTTGTGATTCTGTTGGCGGAGAAGGCGCGGGGAGATGATCCGTCCAAAGCGACAGAATATGATGAAGTAAAGTTGGGTCCTATAGGGCCGGATAATGAGATGGCTTGACCTGGCAAGTCGAATTGATTGTTTTGGCAAATAGGAGAGCTTCTAAGGTAATACTAACCCTGAGAAAGAGAAACGGTGCGTCAATACTGTATACTTAGTGCTTAGCACTGAGCAACAACAGCTCACGCACTTCAAATGTGAAATTCATCGAAGCTCCAATAGAAGATGTAGTCCTTTGAAAAGAGATCAACGTCTCATCAGTCGACGCGAAGCACATGATATAACGAACATTCTTTTACTCACCGTCCATTCGAACTCTCGGGATTTCTTCGCCAGGCGGCCGTAGGTGCCCAGGAGAATTCAGACATGTTGTCGTTGTACGTTATGGATGGCGGACTGTTATCAAATGAAGAAGGATCGCTGGACGACGATGCATTTCCCATTTCCGAGGTCCAAGAGATCTGCAAGATAATCAGACCAATTTCATAACTGGGCAATGGCGCGATTGTATAACCGCCAAAAAAGATAGGAAATGGTTATGGAAATAGTAATAGTAACATGGGCAAACTTACTGAATCAATATCGAACCCCGTTGTCCCATCATTCGAGATTTTAACCGTATGCCATCCCTGCTGCACTTGTGCATTGAATAGAAGGCTCGGAGAATCTTGAACGTTCGGCGAGTACGAGCTCAGTGTGGAGTTTACATCGTCCAGCGTTACAGTGAAGTTTCCATATGCTTTTCGTCTGCCTCCATAGATAGAGAGACTGGTTCCATTAAACTGGAAAGTCGCGAAAGCGTTCGCATTCCAGGTAGAGGTATATGAACCCTGGTAGTATCTAGATCTTGATCAGATTAACGATTGTGTATAAAGCGACCATACAACGCACCCCGTACTGTTCAACCCGTCAAGGTCATCAGGACCATAGGGTTTCCATTCTTCCACAGGTTCGTATGAGATAAGTGGACTCGAATCATCAATTGTTGTGTTTAGTAAAAACATGAGGGATGGGTTTCAAACAGAACGGACAAATTTTAAGGCCAACGGCCACCTGGGCCCAATGTGTTGTGAAAGAGGCTGGAGAATTCCTTCTGAAACAGCAGTCAAATAAGCTAAAAGAGAGACGAGAAGGTAACGGGAGAAAAAGAGAGGATGAGTATGCAAGAGAACGGGAAGGAAAGGAAAGGGATCAATCACGAAGACGTGCACGTCCATCTTATTTGATTCGATAGCATGCGGCTTATGATGCACATATCATTACAATGTATGTGCAGTATAGCCTTGTTCAAGTATACTGTTGTGACGTTGAGATTCTTAAAGATCTTTGATCATTGCATTGCTGCCTACAAGCTCTGATCATTGCTCCTAGAGACTTTCGAGAGCTCCGCCCCTGGTGTCTTTTGGTCCTGCGGTTCTTCATCGGATTGACTTCGATAAGTTCATTGCACACAGTGAGTCGAGGTCATTTCTATTCTGACAAAGATAAGAGTTGCAGTAAGGACAAGAGGAAAGGGCAGCTAAGACGACATAACCTGTGCCGTAGTAAGCATACTAGGGGCATTCAGGAGCTGAATCGATTGGCCCCTTTGAACCGGAGCTGGGAAGCCTGATATTCTACCGTGGAATACACAGAAGAATCACTCAGACGGACATCAATTTCTTCAGTATCTGACATGGGGCCAAGGAACGCATAACTAACGGCCTTCCATTTGCCCCGACGCTTGTAATGGCCTGAACCTGGCCTGAACTTACCTGACAAGCTCGACACACTGAGCAGCCATGAGCGCCTGACTCGGTATCAGTGGCGCCGAAATTTGCGTGAAGGTTGATAGTTGCGGTGTTGGAAACGGTGTAAGATAGATGGATTGATACACAGCTCCTAAGTATGTAGCTAAAACAATTGAAAATTCGGGAGACGAGATAGATAGATTGATTGATACTCAGCTCCGTCCCAATGGTCCAATTTGAAAATAAATATAAGCTGGTCGTGCCGGCTGTTGATGAGTGCATCGAGAGATGCAAACATTTTCGAAGAATGAAGACCTTCAAAAGTTTTTCGGACACTTTATTATGTAGTCAATTATATGGAGATCCCATTTAACCTGAGAAATGAAAGGCAGCAACGTCTGTAGCCCGTGCTAATGAGGTTAAGGATTTGGCAAACAATGGGCTTGTGACAGAAAAGATCACGAAATCCTTTCGCTGAGAAAGAACGCTAAACATTTAGGCTGCACTCGACGAACACAAGGCTTAGGGTACATACGTAGATTGGTTATTGCGACTTGTAGGTAGCTTTCGTATCCCCAACTTCTCCTGCAGACCCTCGATTTTTTTGCGCACCTCGCTTGTTGAAATAGTTTTGCTGACACTGAATCCAAATGGACTAGTGAACTCGAAACGGAGCTGCCCTCCATCAAGCTTCACCCATCCTGACCACTTTTCTTCTTCCATTCTTCCATGTCCTCGTCACGTATAAAACCAAAACTAATTTGAAGAGGCGAATGGCAAGACGTGCCTGCTTCAGCTACAGGGCCTTTGAAATAATTGTCCGCTGAACCAAGAGTGTCGAAACTCACAGCAAAAGCTGCATCGACGGCATCCCTAGCCATTTCATTTGCTTTTATATCCACACCCTTTCTGGATTTCTGTCCATTCTGAAAGCTATATTTGATCAGCACTGGTCTACTTGGATCTGCACGGGATAAGATTCGAAACCTGTATCAAGTCATCAACGGGGTTCGGTCAGTACAAAAAGTCAAGAATCACAAGGTGACTGAGAAAAGTACTCGCGTTGAGTCTTGTTACATTCACGATTGGGATTGCGGACGCAAAAGTTGCGAGCGCAAGGACAGCATAGATAATGCTGAATTGCATGACATGGGGCTTGAAGAATGAAAAATCAATAAAGCACCAGTATCATGATCAGCAGTGGATTTTTAGCCAATTTTACTTACAAGTAATGTCATTAGGGACGATGGAGCGACGGTGACTATGGTTAATAAAAGGAATAATAGATTAGCGTTGTTCTGTGCTATAGCTTTAATTTCAGGGGATCAATGTACAGGGGAAGGAGGACCGCTCAGAGATTTGAGATTAGGAGAATTCAACCTGTAAATGGTAAATCAGCCCATCAATATCGTCGACCTCAGGCTCAAACTAACAAAATCAAGGTACATATTCGCAAGCAAAGAATGGGGTTTTGAGACTTTTGATGATTGAACTCACCAATTGTTGAGAACAGGAGAACGGTGTTGGATGGGGTTAATGAAAAGCTCGTAGGTGGCGCGAACTTGTATATAGACAATCGGAGGCAAGGCTTGGAGATAAACACAAACGGAAAGCAAAGATAAGAGGCAGAACGTGAGTTTTTTGGCTTAGGAAAAGTTTTCCGGGGAAGTAAAAGTGTGAGCAACCGGCCAGCGGTAGTTGGGGGGAAGCACATAGGCATTTTATATCACTGAATGGGGTCCGCAGGAGGAATCAGGACGGCCTTGGCCTTCGTAGGGTAGCACTGGCCAGTTGTTGGTCTTTGTTACATAATTTGCGGGAATTCACCTGCTGCTCATATTCAACTATTTTCACTTGACTTATCACAACAGGCTGGGTTAGGTCATGATAGATTACACATATTCTGGAAAGGAACAAGGATGTAAGTACGCGCTGCAGGTTCATCAACGGTGTATCAAACGGCCTCATTCAATAATCTATTGCTCACCATGTGTTCTCATCAGTGCACTTGCTTCGTGCAATACATGTCCTTGTACACCATTGTAGTCATGCCCGTTGAGCTAGTAGTCATGATACCAGTCATCTGAGACTGCCTCAATCTCCCTTTCTCTTCTTCGTCTGAATAGTCAAAGAATCGCCCAATCTTATATTTCTCGACCTCCTTGTCTTCTTTATTGGTTGGAGTAGAATTGATTGGCGTTACAGCCGAGATGAGCTCGAGCTCGAGCCCGTCTTCCGATGCGTCTTGGAATTCACCGTAGTCCGAATCCTCATCCGATTCGTCCTCTAAATCATCAACTAACCAACCTGAGGGCACCTCTAATCCAGGATCAAATTTAGCGAGAGGAGTAGCGGCGTCCACGTTCACGCCGCAAGTCAGAGGAACAGTATATGATATCTCCTCGAATCGCCAAACTTGACATGGATGGACTGGATTTTGCTCGTAAGCGAGTTGGATCTAACGTGATTAATGATTGGAGATCTGTACAGAATCGCATGTGTCTATTGTAGACTCACCCTCGTTCCATCCTTATCGCATCCATATCCTTCCAAATCAAACACATACCGACTATTCGGCCAGCGAATTCGGAAGCAGGATCCGTTACTTCGAGGAGCGTGCGTTTCATGCATTTCAGGTGTAACGTCTTCCAGAGCCCATGTAACAGGAAACCCACTCCCCACCACTGCGGTTCCCGTACAGATTCCATCTTCGATTGTGGCATAGTTACCGTTCCATGCGCTTTGGATGAGGTATCCTCCACCGTGACCGAGAGGGGTGAAGACAAATTGTTGGTTTGGGTTGTCGTGCTTGGTCCAGCCTGGAGGTACTGTCAGAATGGAATTGTACAGAGGATCACAAGAACATGCCTATGAAGCTCTTTCCGTCTCCCTCCGAAAGGTCAAGAGCTGTGTTGCTTTGGACATTGACGAGCCGATAGACTCCCGGTTTGGGTAAAAACATTGGAGCCCTATAAGAGGTTAGAGAGCGAATTTTGAGTCAAGTTGATATCATGGTATACCTTGAAGCAAGAGTTTTGTGGGGAGTACGGGTTTCGTATACTGGAGAGTGGCGGTAGGGTTAGAGAAGGCAACGGATAGCGAGTTGTCTGGTATAAAGCGTAGGGACACGCTGTATGTACGTGTGTTCGGCCTGGATGTTTTGACGGGAGGATCGAGCCACATATGACGAAGGGCATCTGCGGATGGACGATGGACGATTCATCCTCAAACACCAGATTGAGATTGTCTCAGCTAATCAAAAGAAAGCAGATAGAAACTGGCATCAAAAGCGTGAGGACGAGAAGGGCGAAAAGCAAAAAAAATCATGACATGCTGACCCAGCTGACACAAGTCCTTGACTCTCTATATTATATGCTCGTCGGAGACTGAAACTTCACTGAAAGCTGGAAGGTTGGATAGGTCACGCGCGCGGTTACGATAAGTTGAGGGATGAACCAAGGTTTGACGGATTAGGTACTCTGGCTGCCTGGAGCAGGATCTTGAAATGTAGGATTTCGATCCTGCGTTCTGAATGATGTGGAGAGGTTCGCCTCACGTTCGTGGAAGAGCATATATTCCAAGCGTGTCAAACACGCGATGATTGAATGAGAGGCGAGGTGATGAGGTTTGTACGGAGAAGATGGGGGGCGTATATCCCACTCCAGCACCGCCGTTATAGTCGATGAAGATTTCGTGAAAGGTGTTTTTAAGATTACACGGATTCGTACCTAAATGTGTTATCGCAACAAAAAAGTTAGGAGGAGCACAACTCGATGACTCAAATCAAGTCCTGACCCATTACATGGTTATCACAAGTCCCAGATACCGCAGCTCCAGGGTCTATGGTTGTAACAGTTTCTGAGTAGACAAATAAACAACGAGGTCGAAGGCAACGAATGACTAGAATTTAGGCGCCGGGATCTGAGGCAAAGTAACGTAACTCGTCAAGCGCTCAGGCACTCAAATTCAAACTCCCAAGACGACCTCTGGACGACCTGAAGACGACCAAATCGAGCTCAAGCACCAACTCCGTTCATGCATAATCATAAATGTCGTTTGCTTTGTTCTACTGCTACGACCTCTGGGCACTTCTTTTGTTTTCCCTTTATCCCAAGATTCACGCATGCGCATCAAAGGGTTCTTTGTCCCTTGTCTTTGAGGGTCCACTAGGAATGGGCGAAGAAATAGCTTGGTATAAAGATGAAGGACGGTGACGATATGGTCCATATCAGCTCACTTCTCTCTACGCTATTCAACTCACCCACTCATTTCTTACAGTCTTAACATTTACTTTCTCCGTCGCCGGCGACGTGTACTATCACCTACTCACAATCTTTGTATCAACCCATTGCCTCATTTTTGATCTTACAAAAACGAACTCATCGAAGGACTGAATCATGGCCAAACGATTAGCGAATCATTCCAGGATTGACCAAGACGATTTGAGTTTATCTCCCAAAGTAGAACGGTATGTTCTAAATGATCCTTCATTGTTCCTCCTCTCATGAATTCTCGTTCGATTGTAGACCAACCTCGATCCTCTATCCGGCTGTCTCCTCAGACTCCGATCAACAGAGCGCTTCTCAGAGTGGTTCAAAGGATTCTTCGTCTGGTAGCCAAACAAAGATCGAAGACGAAGACAACGAGTCAGGTGTCTCCCGTCCTATCATGTCGCTGTCATCCAGGTAAGCCCTTCGTCCTTTCTTCAACAAAATTTCCGTCATTCATAATAATCTCCATTCAATAATAATGCTGATTCTTCTTTGCATAGTGCTATGCAAGTCGACCGTATTCCCTCCTCTTCGGCCATTGATGACCCCACTATGAGGGTCAACGATGAATCAGTCGTCACGGAGGCAGAACCGGATCTAATACCTTGTCGGGCTTCGGCATCCACGTCGTCCTCTGATTTCAGTCATCATTCCCGACCCAATCTTAATGATCGTCAAACTCACGGTGGCACTGACGACAGTGAGGACGGTAGTGGTAGTGATACTGATACGGAGTCTAATGTCGGTGACTCCAAATCCGGGAACGGTCTCGAGCACACCGACACTGAGATTATCGGCGATGTCTCTGCCTCTGGTGCTGGATATTCCGGGTCCCAGTCGAGTCTGATGTCGGTCCCGTCACAATTGATTCGTGACACCATGGACGAGGTTTTGGCTAAGCCGAATGACGGGCAAAACGATGAAGAAGGGGAAGAGGGAACGGGAAAACTTCGAGGATCATTGGAACTATCTGGTCATGAGGAGTATGAGGCACGATGTACTAACATCGACGAGGATAGAGATACCGACTCGGATACTGAGACAGAGAGAGGTATTGGTCGCAGTTGCGCTTACACGTCCTTCTCGACCGTATCCTCCATCTCCCCGACTTCCTCGACCTCTGATCTTTCAAGCTCCTCCCAGTCTTCCAGCTCTTTCGAATTGGATGATCCACCTTTCCCTCTACCTGTAATTTCAAGCGTTGCGGGACCTACAACAACTACCCATCCTGAACAGCCCCCAGCGCCGCCTTTACCCCAAACTGGTCTCCCCGATATACCTGTCCTCTGGTCTGAACGTGATGCTGCCGCGGAACTGCCCAAAAACCATAATCCTCGAGGAATGAATGAAAATTTCCAGGCGTCACGCACAAATTATATCTTAGGTTTTTCTGACGTTCTGCCTCACGACAGCAAGTACAAATATGGAGTGGGAGATGTGCATCCAAGGAAAATCCATGACGTTGTAGAAGAGACAAAAGGCTGCGCTTCTTCCTTGATTTCTTCTGTCAGCTCCCATGTACCTCGCATTGACCATTCCGATCCTCTCAACGTCCCTGATTCCTCATCGAGGACACACACGATGTTGGATTCGGAAAGTATATCTTCGAAAGATCTTGTATCTTCGCCACTTGTGGATGTGCCGAACACGACCATCAAGTCGAACGATCAACTGGAGAAAATTCGTGCTACGAAGATCAGCGATAATGAGAATGAGACTTCTCCCTTAGATCTGTCTACCTCGGCAGGTCAATCATCGGCTCTTTCCTCAGATGACCGAACATCGACTCCCACACCCGCGATTCTTATGACTAGTCCTCTCAAAAGGAAACGTAGTCGAAGTGTAGAACATCTTTCAGAATGCATCTCTGCCACTCAATTTATTGAAAACGATTGGGATAGGGATATTCTCTTTGCGCCCTCTCTTCCTTCTCCATCTTCGAATACGACCCCTTCTGCTTCTGGCGTTACCATGCCCCAGCACCCTCCACGCAAGAGAGCTCGTATCGAAAACAATCCTTCCCTTTCAACCAGTCAACGACCTAATTCCACCAAACGGCCTCTCACAGCGTCCGCCTCTTCCAATTCGGTTTTCAGCCCTCCAGCCAGGAGGGACTTGTTGCGGCGCGCTCGATCGCATGCTTCTGTTTTCACTCGTTCTAGTTCAGAGCCTTCTGCAAACACTGAGGATATGCAGGGGGGCACGAAACCTTCACTTCCTGTATTGTGGAAGTTCGGGTTTACTTCTACTGGCAAAGAGAATGAGAAGGAAAAAGAACGGTCTGTAGACTGATACGTCATGAAGGCAATGTGAAGTTTGCGTTGATGAGCTCGAACGTGTAATTATAGCGAGGACTCTATGCATGGTTGGGTAAAATCTAGGTATGTATCTTGTACTTTAAATTTTACGCTTTGATAGCGAAGTATGTCCTCTTATGATCAATTGAAGTAACCGTGAGCGTTCTTTATCGCGGCCCAATGATTGGTGATTACAACTGGACTCAAACTATTTCCTTCCGTGAATCCGTCCTTGGAAATCCTGGAACCTGCTTCTCCGAACCTGACCTCCTTACTGTATCGTTGTAGAACACGCTAAATTTCTTGTATCTTTATTCAATATGAACTAAAACATAGAAACAGCCCTACTCGTGGTTCCAGGTATGTGCTCTGTCAAACTACCTCCCTGTTAGTAGATTTGAAAATTGATCTTCTCTGTAGGAGAAATGCTGCAGTGAGCTACGATATTTCCCGCCATCTACCTATAAACCAGCTTCCGCCCATGCAGTCCCATCAACATGTCAATCCTCGAGACATGGTACTCCCGTCAATGCCCCAGTTCATGCGCATGATGTTTGCGAATGACACTCGTCGGTTGAGAAACCCTCGTTCTCGTAATGATAATATTCCTCTCACGCCTCCCGGTCTTCAACACCCTTCAAACCGTACTCTTCAACGTGTTACCCCCCTTCCGCCTGGTGTTCCTCCTCATGGACTCTCCACTCCCAGTCAGTTCAAGGTTCCACTCAACATTTTGTATCTCTGCATCCTCGAAACCATGTTTCGACCCATTACTCACTCTCTAACACCAAACCTATCCCTGTGCATCTTCGTGTAAAAGGAATGATATCGTCGGATGAGCTAGGAAAGAGGCGGGTTCATCCTCCTTCTCCCCGTCCTCTTCACAAGCCTAGGCCTTGAAAATGTGTGGGAGACGGTATTTCGATTCCGGTTGCTTGTTTTCTTTTTCATATGTACCTTTTATATGCACTATAAAGCTATGCCTTCATGACACCCATGAGATCTACTTTGAATGAATGCACGAACCAAGGATGAGATATCGACTGCTGACAATGTGAATGGAATCAATATTCACACTGTGCTGAGGACTAGTTCGAAACGTTCCAGTTCTTCCACCATCATTTGGGCATGTCTAAGGAATTTAGAGAAAGGTTTCTGGACAGGAGTATGTTCAAGGGATTTTACATTTTATTCCACCAAGAAACTCATCTACTGCATACAGGAACAAGGTCAACAGAAAACTCAAGATATCGACATCCGAAGGAGACTGAAGGCAATGAACAACGAGGGTCATTTGATTATCCATGATCGACAACTACATGTCCTGAAAATACATCAAAAGAAAGTGCACCATAGCCAGGCAGGCGTGTCAGTGATATGCTTGCGAGATGCTCAATAGCCGGAGTATCAATTTTCTTCATTTAAATTGATTGAAATAGTAAAAGTTTGCAGTACAAAACTCCACTGGAGTAGGGACATTGAGTACATCACATGAAGACATATTCAGAACCAATATTCTCGGACTAAAATACCACTCCTATCTCAGGAAGAGAACTTCTGGACACTTGCTGGGAATGGTCCATGGGGTGTATGTCAGATAATAAGCGCGCACCTTCAGAAGACCCATAGTACGTGCTGTCAGGACTAAGCTGAATAAATATGGTTAGCATTGTTGTGCATGTGTACTTTGTAGTCTCCACACAGCACACTAGGATCATATGTTGCGGAAATGGAGCACCGGTGGCGCAAGATATTGAGCCAATGCTACTATTAATTTTTATGTATCTGATTGAACAACCACCATATAAATATGAAGACCAATCCACGTCGACAAGCACCGTTAATTGTCCTGCGATCATCACTAGGTGCATCTACAGCTGCGATATAGTACTACCTCCAGCATTGACATCATGTCGAACACCGAGACCAATACAGCTGCTGCTGAACAGAATATTGCCTCTGGCAATGACGGAGCTACCAACTTTAAGCGCGGTGACGAGGGGTCACCTAGAGGACCTGGAAAGTGCCTTATGGTCAGCTGCCCTTGTGTAGGTTTCGAAGGAAACGTCACGCAGCCTTGCAGGCGGGTCAAGTGCACCCATCCCTTTGCGGACCATGTTTGATTCCTGGTAAGCAAACTTCGCGGTCAAGGCTGTTAAATAAAATGAACTGATCTTTGGGCTACAATGTTATGCTACTAGGTGATCTCCAATCAACTTCTGTTGGGAGAAGTTAGGAGTGACTCGAAATTTCCCCCGATTTTTTTGTAACTTCTTTGCTTGTTTGTCATGATCTATGCATGTACTATACTGGAGCGATGGTAGATACCTTGGAGAAAAATTTTGTAGTTGTAGTTTTGAGATTGTTGATAAATTATAGGATGACTTCAATTGTAACAAAGGAATCATGAACTCGCATTTTAGCACTCCTATGATCTTCATAGCTTGGAGACCAAACCCCCTAGGAGACGAAACCTCACTAGATTTGCTTCATAGAGGGACGGTTTCTAAGTGCAGATCATTATCTCAATGTGTGTGCTGTGGATGTCTTTACTCGAAAATTAGAGCAATAGATAGAAGTCAAGAATATCTACAACTATATTATCCTAAAGTGAGAGGTTAATTCTGTTGGTTCAATGGCGTAGTGGTTATCGCATCTGTCTTACACTTTTCAAAATAGTTACACTTTGCACAGAAGGTCTCCGGTTCGATCCCGGGTTGAATCATGTAGTTTTGCAATGTGTTTTTTGCTTCTGTGCGCGTACAGTCATTGATACTAATAGCAAAAGGTAAAGAAATAGATTTCTAAAGGGTTATTGCTGCCTGCAAGGCTCCAACTTCATTTGCCACTAATTGCTACTACATACATTCCATTTACACCTCTTTCCATCTACAACACATTCCACTAATTGTATGAGACTCGCGCTGAGTCTACTACATAGTACTGGCTGACCTAAGGAAGCAATCATTCGCTGACCGGCGGTGTCTGACAGTTCTTTCGCACTGCTTTGAAGGCTCAAGACCTTGAAAGCAAGCCTGCCACATAATCCTAATGGTAAGAACGGGACGAGTAAGTAGTGCGGGAAGAAGTACAACGAGGAGAAGAGGCTGGAAGACGGAAAGCCGATCCCGACCGGAATCACTAATTCGATTATGAATACCCACGTGAGCTGTCAACGAACCTTCCATGACACCATTATTTTCTTCGGGCGACCTTAGGCGACCTTCTTAAAAGGCTCAGTCATCCTTATCCCAGTACTCCCACATTCTCGCTGTAAAATCTGAACGTCCACCATATCCCACTCAAATTTCGAGCCTCTCGAAGCATCGTCCTCAAGACCATCAAAGAATCAGTTGAAGATAATGGCTGTTCAAGAACTTCTTAACGTGAGTGTCCTTCCGCTACGGGTACGATGCGCTTCGTGGCTCATAATCTTTTCTCTCCCTGTTTCTCCCCCTTCCGCTACATCGGAATCGCTCTGATGCCATCGACCGGTTATCGGAAATTGACATATAACGCCCGCTACTATACATCCACCAACTCTTCCTCGACATACGCTCTTAGTCCTCCATTGACGAGAACACTGTCACGATCTTCTCCAAGAGCTGGTGCCCCTATTGCAGAGCTGCCAAGTCGCTTTTCGAGAAAGAGTATCCGGATGTGCCCACAAAGATTTTCGAGTACGTGTTTGGTCCACCTCATCTCCCTTGAGCATCACTTGTTGGAGTCTTTACCTTTCGTTTCGTCATTATCGTGTCACCTTCGTTATCCGTTACCCGTCCTCATCTCTTTCATCATTCTTTCGCCGTCTCTTTTATTTGTTCGCGTTGTTAATCATGTGCTTATGTACGTTCACGTTCTTAGGTTAGATGAAATGGAAGAAGGCGCTGAGATCCAATCATATCTCGCTCAGAAGACCGGCCAACGAACTGTCCCGAATATTTTTGTTAGTGAGTAGCTATTACTTTCATGCACCGAGATATTCTCTGATTGCTCTTGTTGTTTTTTCCAGACAAGCAACACATTGGTGGTATGACTATTCTACACTGTCTACTGCCCGAACTCCTCCCTCACCTTGTTTCCTCCTCCAGGTAACGACGCCACCCAAGCCGCATTCAGAAGTGGCAAGCTCCAGACTCTCATCGCCGCGTAAGCTCCCGTCTCGGTCCACCCTCTACGAGCATGAGAAGAGCTGCTGTCCTTCGTTGTAGTCGTCCAGCCAATCTAGCGCGGCTGTAGGTTTAAGTACAGGGAATTGTTTTTAGAGAGAAGGTAATAACGATGTTGTATAAATTCAAGGTTCAAAGAAGTTTGGTGTGTATGTGGAATATAATTCATGTGTTCTCAACAACAAAGTCTTCAAGGAATTTTATCCCTTGCTAAGAGCGTTTTACGGGTCTCGCCGGCGACATGCGGAAAGAAGTCGAGGCGTTTAAAAGACTCAAGAGGTCAAGGGTTTTAGTTTCACTTGCACTAGCGGCAAAATTTATGGATATCGTCCTCTCTTATGCATACTCCCACAAGACGATCATCAATTGGGGAGCCTATTTACTGTCCGAGAAACCGTCGAACGAACATCAGCAAGTGTTAAAACGCACCGAATTCCTCTTGAGCTCGAAGCCATCCATCAGAAGCTCGCATCAACATTGATGTACTCGCTCAAATTCCTTCCGCTCAAGGATGAGATTCCCGACTACCATTCAGGCGAAATGGCGACCTTTTGGACGAAAGAGGTCATGATACATTGGGTCAGAGATTAAAGTATGATATTAATGTGAAACTTGTCTACCTCTACCTGACCATATAACATTCAGGAAATGCTCTCACGCCAAATGTCTTCCGCTTGGCGTACCTCTATTGCAATGAAGCATTATTGATCAAAACTACTTTCCTGTAACCCCTCTTTACTATCTGGGATGGTACATTCCAGCCGATGACCTTCGCGACTAGCTCCTTCTCACATGCCTACGACTCTTCCAAGCTCGAGCCCAAGGATCGGCTCCATTTTGAAGGGCAGAGCTCTATATCATCTGTGCTTCAATAGCTTGAACCTCAGGTAATACTCCGTACGTGCGAACGGCAGCTTCGGACCCTACATAACTAATTGATTTCCATCCTGGACAGGGAATGCTCTCATCGCAAATTCCTTCCGCTCAATGAACCTCCATTTCGACGAGGGGTCTTTGATTTGACCTGCTTCCACGTAACACCTATGTACTACCTGGGATGGTGCATTTCCGCGGATGACTATCGACTACTACCCTGAAGCTCACGCCAGAATTCCGGACTTCTACGTAGTCAAAAGAGGTTACTGTGCCTTGGATCAGAGACTACGAACACAAATACAAGTGCAATATACCGTGCGTCTGACGACCCATAACCGAGATCTTTGACCAGCTGACTCCCCCGCACCCAGCCATTGTTATTTTCGACCCGAATTGCCATATGTTACTGGAACACAGCAACTGCATGCTTTACTTATAATCACCAGCCAACGGTTCCCAGGAATTCATTAATATCAGTCGGAACGAACAGTACATCGAAAATGCCCCTCACATCGCACATGTCAAAGTTTTCTTCGGTGAAATCAAGTGGGTGAGTTGCAATTTTCCACCCTGTGTGTGCCATATATAGTCGAATCGCTTCAAAAACCAAGCATCCTGTGTGAGAAACTGATAAACAGGTGGAACAATGTGCGTTTCGGTATACTCACGAATTCACTGCGAGTGGGTATACGTTCTACAGGGTAGATAGACGGTGCACCAAAATCTATCGGGTAGATGTTCATATCTGCATCAACTAGAAAATTTCCTGAGGAAAAGTCACTGAGACAAGTTAAGGGCTTTTGCCAAACTTGGAAGGGTAGAAAGACTGGTCTTACACATGAACATAACCAGTTACCTGGATGAGTTCGTAATCAAAGTCCGCGATATTTTTGAAGACTTTGTCCACCATTTCCTGCCTCTGACCCCCCTCCTCCTGCCACTGTTTTGTACCCTTCAGCGGCATTCCAGGGACTTTGCGCATGACAACGAAACCACTCTTTCTAGGGGGGTCTTTTGAACTTCACAAAGCCACTGGTGACAAACGTAGGTGTTTGTCCTTTGGCTTTCTGAAATTCTGCGAATTTCCGAAGGGCAAAGACTTCACATGAAGAACCTTCCCAATCGTAATCTACCAGTTTCAAGACTGTTTCATCTCCCGAAATCGACTCGAACTCGCTGACTTCATGCGGTAGAGTGAAGATACCCAAGTTGTTTTTTCCAGAGTTCCCTGGGACCAGCGACTTTGCTTTGCGCATCTTCCGCGTGAAGTCAGTTGCTACAGAGCCACGGAACATGCCGTTATCATTGTTAAACCCTCCGTGCTATAGAAAAGCAATGACGCTTACCAAAAACTTCGCTATTCTTGTCATATGATTCTCCACACTCCCAGCGCTTTTCCGGATTTTTTGGGTCAAGGTCAATCTTCTTCAACCAAGGGGCATGCTAAGTTGATAGAACTCAATTCACTGAAACTGGGAGAGCTCTAGTGGACACATACCGTTTGATCTAACAGTGGCCACCATAGATCCTTCTTTGGAGGGTTGATAACTCCTAATGGCACAGGTGCAGCTGCTTTCAGTTTCGAGGGGTCTGTCGGCATGGCGTGAACAACCACAAGCAGGACAATCGCTCCGATGAAAGACTGCGACAAGATGGTGTGCAAGCACATCATAGTATATGAGAGATTGTGTAACAATAAAGAGTTGCTTGCAGGGACAAGATTCTGACCAGCAGAAGTTCCCTTGCAATTCAGAAGGGAGAAGTCGCAGGTTAGAGGGAGCTACCAGGAGCTACCAGAACGACAGAAACAAATTGGTTGGGGCTGCTATTTATGCGAATTTGGGAAGATCAGGTCATCATTCAATACTACCTTCTTATCTTAAAAGCCTCAATCCAGGGGCCAATCTTGCCACGACATCCATCGGGACGCAGGATTGCGCTGGATTGCATCGGATCAATAATTTATGACTTACATCAGGTTGCGCTGGATTGCGTCGGAGCAAGAATATCAAGGCGCAGGAGGATGCAGAACATGGGACAAAGTTTGTGACTGAGATATTTCTCTAACTGACAAATTGGGAGATGATAGTCGAGATAGAGGTACTGTGTAAACAGGATTGGTGAAGAATGATTGTCCATGTGAAGGGAACTTTGAAGATGGAAAAGACATAATGTAGTAAAACTGGATTATATGTTCAGGCTGAGCAATTCTGCCTGAGGTTAAATAAACAGCTTGAAATAGGGCATCATTTGAGTGAGCTCACAGAATTAAATGCCTGAATTTGAAGTCTAGATGCAATGGGTAAGTAGACAAGATCCAATGCAGCGCTGAAATTCAAGGAACCTATGTATAACAAAAATCTCAACCAGTGGAGCTTCAAGGGAATATTACGAGGCTGTAATTTATGCAAGACCCCCTATCATCTTACACTGTTACATTACACTTCAACTTCTTTGTATGTTGATCTTTTGTGATGGACAGGAGATGCCTCATACGAAATTTCCTCCATTTGATCAACTTTCAGCATGCAATGGCAATTGACATATTCCCTCCACTATAATGATGCTACCTAGAATGTCAAGTGTAAGATCTATTTTAGCTGATCCTAATGAGGTTGCAGTGCCCACCCTGATTACATTCATGAGCATTGAGTAAGACAATTTTGTTGTCATAGCTCATCATTTGAAGCTCTCGATCTCAGTCGGAATGAGGCATACATCCAAGGTTCAAAGAGAATGGCATTCATCAACGATGTGTATATCTTGCACAGCAGTAGTTTCCCAGGTATCCTTGTCAAGGTTCTCATTATTACAATGAGTAGGTTGTTAGGACTAGAATATACATCTATGCTCAGGAATACCTTACGTCCCAATAATCTCATGCAGTTTGCGAAGCTAAAACCGTGGTTTTATGTTAGCATAATGTTACAAATGAATTCCTGAACATACCAATAAGTGAGCCCAACAACTGGAACAAGCTATCCGGTACACTAGTGTATTCAGTATCTTTCGATGAAGGCGTGATGAAACAAGCTTTGATGTTCGCGATGGCTGAGATCTCATCCACAATTGTCTCGGAGAAATCAAGGTTGTTGGGTGCATTATAGAGGATGACAATCTGTTTCTCTACTGGTGTAGAGGGGCTGAGAGGAAGGTTTGCGAAACTAGGTGTGTCAAAGAATTATGACCATGGAGTCTGGACAAATTGAATACTTGTGTCAAGTGGACTTACTTGAATATATTGTAATCCTCGTTCACCGTGACTATCAAGTCAGAGAGCGTGAAGTATCCAGAATCTGGTACTGCACTGGGATTCAAAGCAACCTGCAAATATAATCGCAGTCCGCTAAATCAGTCCAACCCCGAGGGAAACCAGAACAATAACTACTAACCGTACCTGTCTCACCAAATAACTCTCTCACAGAGTTCCCATACTCATTGAAAAGCGCCAAATATGCTGCACCAGTAGGAGAATTATCAAAATAAACCCCCTCCGGTCGATACTCTTCATCCCAGCCAGCATACGTCTCGATATCCATCAAAACTTCCACAGAGTTGCGTTGACCATTGGCAGTGTCGACGTATCCAAGCAAATGTAAGGTGTTCTGCTTCGCACCCGCATCAACCAGAGATGGGATACACACTTGGTAATCGGCTGGTGGTTGGGAGTGCGCTAATCCGGGACCGTTAGATGGGTTGATTACGGTGAATACTTCGACTTCGGCAGTTACCAAGATTCTAGGCAATAGAGGAAAGCCATTCATAAGTACAGGTAGACTCATCAAGATTGTCAAAAGTTGCTTACGTCTGGATTGTAAATGCCCAAGCAGTGCAATTGGTTGAGGTTCGACGAATAGAGGAAGAAAGGCGCCATTCGAAAGTTGTGAGCTCACTGGTGGGCACGACCCACTCAAAAATGTAACGAGAAAGAGAATGGTGGATATCCTCATACTGACGAAGAACAGAGAGGAGGTAGCTTGAGGGTAGTGTTGGCAAGTTGACGTCTGAAAGTGCAAACGTGCAATGAATGAGAAGTGAAAGCACTGCCTACATAGAGCAATTTTTGACATAGACAACTTGTCATGAGGCTTCAGAATTGAATTGAGATTAATTGTGCTGTTGAGCTACCTTAAGCTTGATGGTCTCAAGGTCAGGCCTAGGGTGAAGCCAAAGCTAAATAGATTAGAATAGGGCCTAATAGGGCACGAGAACAGACGAGAACATGGGACAAAGAAATAATTAAAGTGACACATTCAGAGAGATGTGATGGAAAATTCCATATGCATGTAAATGTTCATGCTGGTCACGGTATTTGAAACTTCCTCTGGTTACCTGTCATTCAGGCGATATCATTGTCATCCAAATTCATCTAATGGTGGATGATAGGTCGTCTATACATGAAGAAGAATGAATCAAGGCCTTCGGAACTGTCGTGATGAGGCACATACACTGCCAGAAGGCTTATTTCCCAGCATATCTTCGATCTTCTCCATCACTGGTGGCAGGAGTTTAGGCAACACTTCTATTGCTTTCAAATTATTGACAATCTGCTGAGGTCTTGTTGCGCCCAATATGACAGTTGATGTATCAGGGTGCTTCGCTACCCAGGTCAAAGCAAGAGCCGCTATCGTGGTTTCCAATTCTAAGGGCAGAATTTTTATGAGAATTTTTCAAAGAAGGAATTGGGAACGCGTACCTTTGACGACAGATCCCAACTCTTTCGCTTTTTGAATCTTCTCTCGGCCCTCAGCTGTACAGCTGGCATAAAGAATCTCAGATTCAACATCAAGGCGGGATTGCATGGTCATACTGGATAGTAGATCAAAAATGTTCACGGAGATCTTTCAAATCGCTCACCTTTCCGGTAAGAATCCCACTTGCAAAAGGCGACCACACATTTGTCCCTACCCATATTTCTTGTACAGATGTGTGTATTCTTTTTCTGCTCGTTCACAAACATACTTATGGAAGCTTCAGTTCAGTAAGAATTGGACTCGGGGGTGAGCTTGAAGTCATACTTGTGTTGGTGCCGCTCAGCAGATTCAGCTTGTCCACGACATCTGGAAGATTCGTCATGTTGAATGGAATGCATCCCATGAGCAAGAAAAGATGAGGACTTACGGAAGGCATCCTCAATCTCCCAGGCAGGCCATTCAGAAGTAACCCAATACAACACCTACAATATATATTGCCCCAACTGTCCTCAAAGATTATCAACAAAGCACTTACCCAGCCTTTCTCGATCTCATAGTTGAAAGCGCGGACAATTTCTTCCATCATTACTACAAGCCCAGGGCCAAAGTCAGCGTGAAGTGGATAGCAGTGCGGAACCCGTATTTACCAGTTGGATCAGGCCTATGGGCGAATATCATGTTGACGTAGTCCATTTGAAGTCTACCGAGACTCCTGCATGTCTTCGAAAATTCTACGCCGTACAGTCAGCAGTGATTCATACAACATGAATATAGAAATGATGTCACTGTTTTCTTGAAAGCCCGCCATTGTTAGGACCGCGCCGCGTTCCAAGATGAAGTTTTGTGGATATTATAAAGTCCAAATGGCGAAGGGATACTTCCTTGATTACACATCCTCTGGAGCCCATTAGATCAAGATTTGCTATGAACACTGTAAAAGCTCACATTTCCTCCTCTGACTTCCCATTCCAATATCCCTCCGCAGTATTGAACATGTTGACCCCATTCTCAAAAGCAGTTTTCCTGGATCTTTCAGCCGGCGCTAGTTCATTGACTACTATAGGGACAGACCTTCGACGGATTTCCAACGACGTTTTTCCTAAATGTAGCCCTACAGTGAGTTCAGATAATAGTCTCTTAAATTCCAAGAAATCTAAGAGCTAACATCCTCCGAGGGAGAACAGCGGTACGCGTAGCCCGCTTGGCTCTAGTCGTCGGAAAGGCAATGCTTTTGAGTCAGATTCCAAAGTAGATAAAGTAAGGCCTGCCTTTTGAGCGGTGAAGCATCCAAATGACCGAAATCGAAATGGAGACCGTAACTGCAACATTTTTCGTGTTGCAAGAGCGCCGAAACACGGACCCGAGACGAACGGAAGTGATAACAGATCGGATAAGATCAAGATATGATAAGATAGAGCAGAGTTCTTTCATCCCACGAAACCACATAAGCTTCAAGCTTCTCCTACCCTGTCTCATATAACTCCTTCACCATCTCATTCCATTTTTTCTTCCGTCACTGATTGACCTCATCATCTGACTTTATCACATCTCCCACTGCTGTACATACTTTGACGAGCCTTTATCATCATCACACGAATTTTAAGCTTCAGGGTGTCCTGTACGGCGAATTTATTGGCATCAGAGCTGTTTTTAGAACTGCAGATGCTGTATATGAACAACAAGTCTGATTCAGATGCCGTTTCTGCCTGTCTATCCCCGTGAAGATACGATGATGAGAGAAAGGTGAAAACCAGAACTATCACCATTTCCAACATTGTTTTTCATTTTCCAACAACGATGTCTGATTTTTCCTTCATGTTTAATAGGGACTCCAATATACTCAGTACATCAGTCGCCTGGCTTCACAGCCATCTATACTGGCTGTCAATCTTCATGAATTTGCGAGAATGAGAGAATTGTCCTCGAAAAGGAGACATACTCAAACCATCATTTCTTCCGGCTTTTTTTCTCAGGTTCCAGCCACAATATCTGATATCTTCATCTTTCACAAGAACTCCCACCTATTCAGTGCATTGGTCTCTCGATTTCATCAAATGTTCTGCACAAAAAAGCGGAACAGCATCTACAAGTCCCATAACGTTAAGTATGGATAATATAAAACTGCAGATAGACTGAGCTTACGACCTCACCAAATTTTCTGGATATGGCTCCATACTATGGTCCAGATGAGCCCCAGTCAACCGTTCAACTAGAACGCTTCTTTCTTGCTGGGGATGTTGCCTGTGGTGTTGGCTATGGTCCGTTACCGTTATCTCTCTCCAGTAGATCGTCCAGCATCATCGAACAAGCTACAGGTATTCAACTGGTGCTCTTCTACTCATGCGCGATTTACCTCTGGAATCGGAGGAAGCAAAGTCGGAAGGCTCTCTTCCTCCTTGCATACATCACACTATTACTTTCGGTCTCCACCATCTTCCTAATCGTTCAAGCCCGCACTGTTCAGCTTATGTATGTCGACAACAGAAATTATCCCGGTGAGTTTACAACCACGTTGCAACTCGCCTTGATTCAACTAAGATCTATTCAGGGGGACCGTGGCCATTCTTCCTCGCGACGCAGAATTGGGCGGTGAATACTATGTTCGACGCTTGCCTTTTCACTCTGACCTTCCTTTGTGACGCTCTCATGGTAAGCGATTCGCCGGCAATATATATTACATACTTACCTGTGTTTCTCTCAAAAGCTATGGAGATGCTGGGTGATCTGGACGTCCGCAGGAAAACTTATCGCTTACCTGGTTTCTGCTATTCCTGCACTTACTCTCTTGGCCTCCTTCAGTAAGTCTTCATCGCTTCAATGCGATAGCCATAACTCGAAACCTTGTCCTCTCAGTCATGGGTACGTTCTGGACTCTGGAATCGAGTCAACCCGGCCTCTCTTTTTACTCAAAACTTCCTCTTGCATTCGGAACGTCTTATTACTCCATTTCTCTCGGCGTAAATATCATTATGACCTTCCTCATCACCGGTCGTCTTCTGGCGTATAGGAAGCAAATTCTCGACACTCTACCTGCTGAACACGCTAAAGGATACGTCTCGCTACTTACCATCGTCGTTGAATCCGCGGCCATCTATTCCGTGTGCGCTTTCTTGTTCCTTATCACCTATTCCGTCAACAATCCTGCAAATCAGGTCCTTTTGTTCATATCATGCGCTGCTCAGGTATCTGTACTGCACTTCTCCATCTTCCTCAAAAAGCTAAATCATTTTGTTATAATGTTAGCAAATTACAAGCTATATGATTATATACAGGCTTGTTGACGGACGAGCATGGCGCAAGGACACACTATTCGCTTTCAGTACACAAAAAGGCTCTCCAGAGAAGTATCCAAAAGACGTGCCCAACCATCTAAGTACTTTTCACGCTGCGTCAGTTGGTTTTGCGCTCTCTGAAGTTGAGAATCAAACTGCGACGAGTATGGGAACGGATATTCACGACAGTTATGGGGAAGAGTCCGACCCATCTCAGGAGACTGCCGCTTGATGCACACATTAAAATAGTCATACAATATCCATTTCGGTGGTTCCAAATCCATGATGTACACTCTACTACTCTCTGGTGGCAGGGTATTGTCCTTCCATCCTTGCTAATCATCGCACATTATTCCCGTCTCTTAATCAGAAATGTCGTTTTTGATCTGACTCTGATAGCGATTCTTCACCAGCGCCGCTTTCATGCAGACCGTCTTCGAGATCAGTGTGTTTCGAGACATGCTGAGTAACATTAACGGATATGGTATCCAGGCCGATAGCTTCCCGACGACTTTCAACACCGCGTATACGAACAACATTCGAGCTCGGAGTGTCGTGGGTGCTGTACCCATTTTGGCTAGTTGTACCACGACTCACGCGTACAGATATCAGCGTGAACGATATTCCCTGAAATAGAAAGCTTCATTGAACATGTTGCGAAAACTGGACGGAGTTGCTTACAATAATTGGACTGATCTGTATGCAGTAAACATTTCGTTGAATCAGTTAGAACCGATAGATCTTTATCAAAGCTCTTACCACGTCGATTGTAATAAACTGCCAAAGCTGCTCGGTGGAGTAACCAATCAAGGTGAGCAATGCGGTAACCCTGTAGACATCGGCGTTACTGTAAACTCGAACAAAAGGAGGTCAAAACCTACGTATAAAGCGCGGCACTCTCAATTATGATGTGAAGTATTGACTAGACCATAGAAAAGCTAAGAATGGAATGAGCAGCAGTTTCAATTACCATAACTCACCGCCAGTCCAACCGTTTGAAGGGCCACCCCTCTGACCTTGCGCTTGATTCTCCAGATACGGACCGTGATGAGGGCTAGGTTACATCGCGTCGCTGTCAGTAAACTTCAGTCCTGTGTCACAATGATTCCTCACTTACATGTAGTCAGAAGGTTCGTACTATAAAGAAAAATGATTGATATTAGCTGAGAAACGGACTCGATACGGGAGTTAGAAAGACATACGCGACAGTTGTTGAAAAGACAAGAATTGCCCATACACCAGCCGTAGATATGAATATATTCTCGCCAGGTGTTGTCTTTCCCAGAGCAATCACGACAGCTATGGCGCTTGCTAGCCACAGCAAGTACAGGACCCGGTCAGATTCAATCTCTACTCATCGGTGCTGGAGGAACTTACTGGCATATACTGCCATAAGGAGTGCAGGAAGCACGACCACATACGTCCTCTTATTGTACACAATCCAAAGTCGATAAATCTGAATGCGAAAAGATCTAACAAGGAAGCTCAAACCGCTTGAGCTCAGCAGCATACCATTGTACAGTCCCCGATGAATGTCTGTGCCAAATACAGCGACTCCTTGAGTAAGTTCATAGAATCTGCGGGGAAAGCATAGTACGCGGAAGCTGCATCCCCTGCAGATCCGATTGTGCCAATGAACGCCCTTTGACTCCGTACAATTTGCACAACCCAATGCTAAATCATATAAAATTATCGTACAGTACGAGTCTGTATTAAGTAAACAAAAAGGCAGGACGTACCGCTGAGATGAGCATAAACAAAAGGATGTTCGATGTTAACAGAACTAAATACAAGTATCAGCCATCCCGTACTATCCGTCGGTATAACGACATGAACAAGATACCATTGTTGAAAGCTTTGAGCCTGACACTGAATTCTACATCGATGTTGAACGGAAGACTTGAGAAGAACAGGAACAAATAGAGCCCTGTTTTCGGATATTTTATCTTAGCAGTTACTGTTGAAGTGACAATGAGCTGAATGATACTGACCGAAGAGGCACGAGTGGAGGATCAAGCCGATGAGCTCTGCTTGAGCAAATGAGAGGACCATGGGTTGAGAGCGAAATTTTAAGCAGTCCAAATCCCCGCCCACTTATATGCAGGAACGTAAGGATAGGGCTGATATGTAGCGGCGTGGGGGTTCTTAACGTATCGATAGAGTTTTTATATAGCACTGACATACAGGTGACACCACTGCTTTTTCCTGCTCGATGTTGTTAATGGACTGAATGAGATACACCAGCGGTTGACAGAGATCTGCGATGAATCGATGAGGTAGTTACCAAAAGAGAAATGACCGGCGAGCGATTGGGGCTCATATCCAAAGCAACCGTTTCAGACTCGGTAGATGTCCGTCGACCCTTGAGAAGAAGCAACAAGCCCCGCATGAGGAGGAGGAGTGAGGCCACACTTGTCACTCTGCCACATCTCTGAGTATTAGGTGAACAACATTCAAGTTCTGAAGCAGTAAAGGGTTTCCCTCCATCTTCCGAAACCGGGAACCTATAAATTTTCATAGATATTACCCTAATATACCCTGTAACCTTGCTGTAACCGGGCCTGTATCAGCCTGTATCGCTGAAATAGTACTCGGCAGGCTACGGCATATCAAAAACTACACGTCTCGCCTTCCCTGCGCCTTTTGAACCTTTTCCGATGTCGTACATACTTATCCGATTCTCAACAATATTTGTTTCATTTCCCATTATCCTGGCGCCATGGCTTCACCGTGCAAGCCCTCCCAGATTCTTCCTTGTTGAAACCAAGTAGCTGTAGAAGGCAGATGAGGTGAAGTGTCGGAGATTACGTAGAAACCACCACAAGGGTCGCAGCCTGTGATATGGCACCGGGTGGGAACTGGTGGGAAGAGGGGTAAGCGCTGGTAGGATACGCGACGTGGATCAGAAGGTTTAAAAATCAAGATTCACTCAGCACCTAGGCTCAAGCCTCAAGCGTTTCCGAGCCTCGTGAGTACGAAGAATGAACATAAAAATAAAATAGGGAGGATTGGAAGAAATTGGGGGATCCATCCCATATTCACTCACACTCACCAAAGCAGCAAGTATCATGGGCGCGTCATGCGTGCTATCCATTCCTTTGATTTTCTCTGCAGTTGCATTGCATCATAAAGCATTCACGTCTCCAAATCCACCACCGAAATCCACCAGAAACTATGACGGTATTGTAGACAGGACTTTATTTCGGAGCATCAGTTTCGTTACACTGGGGCAAAAGGTGAGCTTACGACGACAAAAAGCATAGTTGCACTAACTTACCTCGTACTTAGGGAATGGCATGGCTTGTCGGAGGTGCAGAAACCGCTGTAATCCTAGCCAAAAATATCCCGAACTGGAAGTATTCGACCTCCATCCTGAAACATTTAGTTCCAAACGGAAACTTCGATCAGATTGGAGAGCTGGACCCGTACTTCTGTATGGGTACCGGGTTGATCATCGCTGGCGGCGCCTTGCGTTGGTCTTGCTATAGGGCCCTTGGCAAAATGTTCACGTACGAAGTCGCAGTGCAAAAAGAGCATAAGTTGGTCACCAGTGGGCCATATGGAATCGTGAGGTATGTAACCGTCGTTATATTGCTGGTGATATATTGACTCCTGATATTAAGACACCCGTCATATTCCGGGGTATTACTTATTATTGCTGGGCTTTTCATCTGGCAAGGTGGGCCAAATTCGTTTATGAGGCAGAGTGGTATGCTCGCCAGCTGGACTGGAAAGGCGTTTGCGGCTGGATGTGCTTTATGGCTGGGGACTCTCGGTGCGTCGTTTTTTATGATGAGTCGATTATCCGTGTGCTTAGGTTTGCTTTGTAGGTTTCGGTGGAGTAAGTAGGGCCCATACAGAGGATGTCCTACTTGTAAACGAATTCAGTGACCAATGGAAGGAATGGGCGACTAGAGTTCCTTACCTCCTTTTCCCCTACATTTATTAGTTTATGCCCCTCGGAGTGCTCCGATAACACATTTTCAGTACGGCCGAAAAGCCCTCAGACGTTGAGGATATCAAAGGACATCGTTTGAGCATAAACCCCATCGCGTTATTTTGATACGTTGAAGATTTCAGCGTGCTCGAGAAAGTGAATCCTGAGAAAGTGAATCCTTTCTGATAGTGAGACTGATTTAATTTTGTGCAGTAATTGAACCGTGTTCACAGACCTTGTACATAGAAGAGAGAAAAAGAAAACCTGGGAGGAATTAAACCGATACTTTTTCGGATCAGATCCTGTTCCTTCCCCTCCCTCTTGGTTCTAAAACGTATATCTAACATGGAAATCCAAAGGCCAATGCATTTGGGTCTGAGATCGCGAAAGATCTCGAAGAGCTTGCTAGGAAGTATCCGGTTTCAGTCCTAGATGCTCAGGAAGGTGGCGAAAGCCGCTTCTAAAACTGAGAAAATGCACCGGGCACTTCATATTGGCAGCGATGTAATAAGAGCATGATGATTCCTCGAAGATGGGATAAATACACCGTCATACCGACTGACTGAGAATCTCTGCGTTTACGAATGCACAACAGATAGATTTGTGCGATACCACGCCCTGTAGAATATGAATGTGGTAGTTCGTAAGCTCAGAAATACAGTTCCGAACGTTAGGAATGGATACTACGAACCTCAAACTGGGAGCGCATTCTAGATAAATCCTTGCCATGCAGTCAACAAGGCGCGGATTTTTTGACCCCGACATTAGGAGAATAGCAGAGCGCAGATATTATAGAGGGCGAACTATACAAGAACGTCAGATTAGTCCCGCGAACCATTGTACAAGAAAATTTCACCTCCGAACCCAATGATGACCATTCCTGGAAATACCAAACACACGATTGGAATTAGCAGGTAGGAGACGATACATTTCCCGAATGACCATTCTTCCTCCGGAATTTCTCTTGAATTAGCAGGAAGCAAATATATAATACAAGAAAAAATCCTTCCAGCCATTGACTTTGTAGCACCTATAATCTACCCATACACGAGTATAAATAAAGCGCCGGATGGTTGGAGAAAAACTCACCATTCCAACATGCTCCAAAAGAAGGTCAATGAACGCTTGGATGATGCATGCGAAAAGTGGACACATGTTCCCAAACAATAGCAGTAGAGTTCAGGAAAATGCTGAGAAAGGTTGCTGAATTTGGGATTTGGATTTGTTCCTTTGGGGCCGATTGCCTAAAGTACATCGATGATTTCGTTCATTCGAAAAGAAACTAAATTGTGGAACCTACCATTCACGCATACAACCCACTTTGTATTACCACTCATCCATTAAAATTTGATGCATGTCATTCTAGACTTCACGAAAAAGGTCAGTGATGGAATGATGTTCTTCAAGAGGCTTCCAAGGCATACCACTTGCTCTGACGAGTACCAAGTAGGCAAAAAGCATGCTCCGGTAATAAAACCTCTAACGACAAACGCAGTGGCGAGAATGGTCGGCGAATCGTTCCCAACAACTGGGAGAAACTTGGCATCGAGTAACACGTTTGTCATGATTCCGGTCAACGCGAAACCCAGGACTTCCGGGAAGGTGCAAGAAAATACGCGAAGGTCAGCTATTTGGACCGTCAACGACCCAACGAACGAAAAACTCACTGGCACTTCCGTGGGTAATCATGCCGGAGAAAAACCATCCGCCCAATTTAGCAGTTGCCATCTATCTCTGGAAAAGAAGATTGTCACAAGTTCCTAGGATTCGTTTGGGTTAGTAGGGAGCGGGTAGTCACAGTGGTCCGAACTCACAGTCATGCTTCCAAACCACACTGCGACCAAAAGTTGGTGTGTAGCGCTCCAGCGAGGACCAGATATCCATACGATGAACAGCTGACGCATTATCTCGAGTCCCAATCCACTGGTTCTTCGCTTTCTTTCTTTCAGCCGATCACTGGAAACCTCTCGACTGTCACGGTCGAACCTGCTCATCGTTGAAAAGCGGTTGGCGCAATGTTTGGTAGGGTATCAACGTCTGAACTCTTCCATATCAGGGAGACATTGGTCTAAGGAACGCTGCGAAACCACCGAAAGACCCGAAAGAACGTTGGAGGACACCAAAACCATAGCGAAAGTGAAACAACCGACGATATGGCAATCAGAATTGTATGTTCTTGGGAATCATGAAGACGCGTTAACTTATATTCGTCTAGCTGGTCAGAGCGGGATACGTGGTTATGAAGAAATAAAACGCACCTTGAGAACCGACAGAAAAAAGATAGCAAGTCTTCCGGATATAATTTTGCGAAGTATTAGAAAGACCTAGATAGCGATGAGGATATAAGATAACGAAGAAGACGTGCTGCTCACAAAGGAACCTGTAGAGTCTGGCTGACAGAACACTGCTAAATTCAATGTGTGGCTCAAGGATCAGTCTTCTAATAAGAATCTGTTTTCAAATTCATGTGTATGAAGATGGATTCGATGGAAGATATAACATATCAGAGCGCACCATCCAAGCAAGCAGTACGACCCAGGCTGTGTTTTCTTTTTCGATCTACATCCGTTTCCCCACTCGTACTTTTGTCTCCGGAGGCGTTGTAAACTCAAGCTCAAGGCTGTTTCGTGCGTGGCTGTTGTTCAACAGGAATTTCTTGCTTACGTCATCAAAGATCTTCTGCTAATTATTATTTTGGCATTTTCTCTCAGGTTGTTGAAGAAGAATACATTAACGGGACCGTTCCACTACCGACCAATGGCTTATATACTTGGTGAAAGTCTCAAAACTTTTCGAAGCCTCTTTTGTCAATCTCGACGTGCTTTATCTGTTATTCCATAAAATTCGATACCGACTCATAAAACGACCATGGTTCTTGAAAGACTCGCACCAAATCATGTTGATAATGCACCAAGAGAAGTGTCTCTTGAAAGAAAGGGGCGGTCCTTATCACCACCAGCTGCTTTCTCTCGTCGTTTCTCTCTTAGTCCGAGTCAATCACGAAAGCGGAAACCACACACAAACCACACAAACCCATCGTCATTATCTCCGAAAGGTCATGATCTTTCCCGAGGACGTTCATTGACTCTAATTACACCTGAGCGTCCAAAAAGACGATCCCACTCATCTTTCGGAAGGCTTACTCAAAACCGCTGGCCTTCGTCACTTGGTTCCTGCGCTTGGGATGTATCAGAGCATGTTCTTGAAGCTCTTACAAGTACCGCTCAGTTTGCTCCTGTCCCGTATCTCGGGACTCTGTGTACGGTAGCTTTGGCTATATTCAATGCAGTCCGAGTATGTGTTGTATGGTCCGTCTACGATATCATCGACTTATAATCTACTATTAGACAGCTAAAGATAACCAGGATGTGTTAAATCAGCTTGCCTTCGCTGCGTGCGATCTGGTATATACTGTTCACAAAACGTACCAAGATCTATATCCACTGCATCCATCATCACTCTCACAACAAAATCTCAAAACCCAGTTCTCGTCAGATCCTCTGTTGAAGGAACATATAGACGAGCTCATGCGGTGCGTTCCGCTAATTAGTGCTTTGAAAGTTGGATCATTGACGGGGATGTCATTTTCACAGAGCTCTTATGGACATCAATGCATGGATATCTGAGAAGACCTCAAAAAACATCTTGCAAAGGCTTATATCGTCCCGAGCCGATGTCAGTTTGATTGAAAAATTCAAATATCAGTTGAATGAGACGAAGAATAAGTTTCAAGTGAGTCAGGTTACTACCTGAATACTTCCTTCCATCGATTTTCGCTCTTTTTGCCTCAGGCCCAGTCGTTGATTGTAATTCGAAGTTATCTCACTCGAATGGCGGCTCAGCAAAATGTAATACAGGAGGATGCCGTTCGTGATAACTATTTTCCCTCGCATTCCAGAATCTAGTATCTGACGAAACACTCCTCTCTTATTTTCGCTCAACAGGCTTCTCATCACAATTTTTTTCGAGAAAAGTTGATGACAATGCACAACGATATAAACAGCTCTCGCATTCGCATTCGTCGATCCGTGTCCGTCGATTCTGGATTAAGGATTCCTATTATTCCAGTCGTTCACGAAATCCCATTCTTGTCAAGAGTCGATAGCACATCATCCCAGTCTACTCTCGTTGACGAGAGTCAAGATCCTGATCCTGAACGTATGTTGAACGGTGACGACTCGGAGTCGATTTTGGTCTTTGGGCGTAAGCGCAAGCCAATAGACTCAACATCCATGACCAAATCAGACCTCAAAAGCGGTCAAGGAACACCAGGCTTTGTGTCGGACACCAGCTGTGAGCTTGTCGCGGATCCCGAATCGCTGAACAGCTTCGCGTTGGAGAAGACTAAAGAAGCTGCGGCCAAGATGGAAGCAGGTATCGTCGACGGCTCATTGACGACAAATGAAAAGCTGCTAATTCAGTCGTTGAAGAGCATGTCATCCAGAATCAACGATATGGAGATGAAGATCAGGAACATAGAGGGGTATATGTTGTTACAAGTGTCAAGTCGAGGACATCTCGATCGCCCTTGTTCTTATACTTTACCCCCTGTTCTCATTAACCCCGATAGTCGGAAACAGGCCATTTTGACCACATGTATCATTGTGGTTCTCCTTCCTTGTATTGTTGTAGGTGTAAGAGCTGGATTATCTGTGTTGACAAAAGTCATGTAGGCAAAGTGATATGTCCCCCGAGCCGCTTCATTGTATGTCTATATAAGTGATAATCGTCGCCTCTATCCACTATCATTATCAATTCAATTCTCCCTTCTGCTGTCTTCCAAAATTTCATAGTGAACATGGTCATTCTTAGTTACGGATTCTCATGTTTATATTAAACAATTGCAGTATCCTGTATGTTACACCCTAAGCTTTCCATCTCCATGAGCCTTTGTCTCTAGCATCTAACCACCGAACATATCCCACGCACACTGCGGCAGCAAGCAAAAGCATTCCGTCAAAAATCACCACATCATTATACCTTCTCTTTATCGGTCCAAGTCCAACTGTACTTGTACTATCCCCGTTGTTGCTCAAAATTGGAGACCTACTATGTGATCCCAGTATCAACCCGGCAATTGGAGCACCAAACATGGAGCCCAAGCCTCGTATAAAGTACATCACCCCATTCACGCTAGCATAATTCTCCACTCCGTATATCTCCGTGATAGTAGTTGGAAGTAGCGCATTGTACCCACCGGCGTAAACACCGTACATGACCACGAACGCTATGAATCGTGCTTGCGGAGCATTATACCACAGTGCAAAGACTGACACAGCAGAGAGCATCGCCTTCAGAGCGTTGGTTGATAAGGGGATGGGTTAGCGTATAATCTAAAGTGAATGTGAAGGAAACTTACCCCGCCGATCAATGTGTTCTGTCTCCCGATATAATCCGCGAGTAAGCCCATTGCTATACGGGACAAGCTATTCACGCCGCTGTTGATACTCACGAACAAACTTCCCTTTGAATCAGACAATGCAAGAACTGATACAGTGTACGAGGACATGTAATACAAGGGCACGACATTCCCTGCTGCTTGCAAAAACGCTCCGATAGACTAGATACACATAATGGCGCAGATGATTAGCCGAAATCTTGAACGTTACATGGGGAAAGTTGACCTGATACCAAAATGTACCCTTCCTCAATAAGGCATTATTGACCATGGTACGAGCTCTGTTCTGAGATGCCCTCTGACTTTGTAAACCAAGGCCATATCCCACCCGATGTCTAATCACCATAGACACAGGAACAGCGACAGCCAGATTCCAGACACCCAATATCCGTAACGCCCATTGTATACCATAATGATCTAGTAGAAATTGTAGCACCAAGGCCATTACCAGGCCTCCAACGCCACTTCCAGCAAGGATGGTCCCCATGGCGAATCCACGGTGGCGGTCAAAGTAAATCGGCGCAAGGGTCATGAGCGGAAAGTAATACATTGAAGACCCCAAACCATATAGGAGAGCTTGAGTCAAGTATAAATGCCATATCTAGCAATCTTAAGTATACGAAGTAACCGGGAGGCAACTATGCTTGACTGGAATTACTCACACGAGTGACAAAACTGGCTAGGATGAGTCCTAGGCTCATGATGAAAGCCCCAGAAAAGGTGACGAGTTTGATGTTATCTATTCTTGCAATAAGAGGGTTCATGAAGATGCTTCCGCTCCATGTGAGCCCTGCTCCAATAGAGCCAACGAGCGACACGAGTGCATCTTGACCTTGAGCATCTTTGATGTTACTTCGAGACGAAGTATAGAACTCCTAAGGAAATTGAAAGACGTCACTCAGAAAGTCGTTATCGTTATAGACTTTCTCGGGCAAGTGAGGGACTGCTTAATATAGGAAGAAGCCAAACCTCATCCCAACCTCCCGAGTGGACAACAGAACTCACTTGAAAGATACCGAAAACTTGATTTATCCCAATCACATGGAATATCATCATGGATCCTGCAAGAAGTAACATAGCCTGATAGGTCTTTGTAGGAGGTTTGATGAAATGTTGTCGACCTTCAACTAAATCTATATCATTCGATTCTGACACAATCTCCGGAGCAGCCCCTGGATCATTGTGAGAATTAGCATCCGTGTGGCCGTTTATACGAGTCATAGGTAGGGCACGAGAGGTCATCCTGCAATTTGGGCATCAATTATTACCTGTCGGTGGTAGTTGGAAGAAGAGAAATAGCTCGGAGGAAGACGGAGCTTTGGAATCGGATGTCGGCCCGACGACTACTCCCGACGATTCGAACTTGTATGGATTGAGGTCTATAACAAGATATATAGGATGATTGGGTTCTATTTACAGCACATGGTGTTCTATCCGTACAAATGAGTTTGAGTATTCAATAACAAATCCATCCCCAAGAACGAGATCTTCAATATATATGAATATGTACTGCCTTGGGACGTAGTAGAAGGGGATGTTTGAGGAACGTCTAGCGTCATGAGTCTACAATCTTGACCGGAAGGATAGATACGGGCTGATAGTATCTAACGCTTCGCAAATTTTGAGTGCAAGATGGTCGGGTTTCTCTTGCATGACCTGTTAAACAAAAAAGGTGATTACAAGACCACTTTCATCAGCTTCAAAGCGAGGAAATGGAAAGGAACATAATGGAGCCTTACCAGATGACCTGCACCATGAACTTTTGAGGCGGAAGCGACGATCCTACCTTGGGTCGCATCTGTCAAAGAGTCCTGAAAGTAATCCGGGCTGCCGAGAAGAACACTTTAGTTAACATAAGCATGAAAACAAGACAGAGAAAGGAAAAGTACTAACAACATATCATTACTCGTTCCCCAGATGACATGCACCGGAAGGGTACGACAAACCCGTGCAAGCTCTGTCGTTGCTTCAAAGTGTCCATCGACGTCAGGGTACGAGATGGCTTCCTGTTTCCTATCGCACTTGAGCGAAACTGCCTTGGATCCCGGGGATTTTTGGTAAAGACCTTGCTCCTACGAATTCATAGCATGTCACTTTAGTATTGAAAGAAGTAGGAGAAATGTAGAACCAAGGAATTAACGATGGTCTAGATTGTGTGTAGAGGAGTAAAATATGAAGGAGGAGTTCGAGTCCAACCTACCACTAGAAGCCGTACCACTCGCGGATCCCAAGTCCGGAAGGGGAACCTGCGACTAAGCCACCTAAAAGCTTCTTCCCTATCAGGCCAAACATCCCGCCTAACTTCGGTGGCGCCGACCGACATCTCCATTGACCGAATCCGGTCGTCAAAATGCGCCTCAAACATCTCTCGAGTGATCATCGTCGGTTCGATGAGTATCAGCGACACATACGGTAGATGAGACAAGAGGAAGCTTTTTGTGGTTAACATCCTGTAGAAGAGTGTTAAAGGAGGTTATTTGACAGCGGATGAACAGTAGATAGGATGACGATACTTCGTATGTAAGATGATGCTTACATGGCTCCAGCACCGGCAGAGTGGCCAAGAGGAACTATCCGATGACCAACCATTCGGGGGGACAACACAAATTCAATTATCGCAGGTGCCCATTCGTAGATTGCTGTGGTGTGAAGTAACCAGTCGGTTTCCACTCGGACACGAATGACGATTAGGTGCTCACAGACTCCCTCATGCCGACCCCTCAGTGCTTCTTCGTTGACCAGCGCTGCGTCACCGTGATTTTGCCAATCAAATGACCAAGCTTCTCGTATTTGATGATGTCTCTCTTTTGTAGCTTGCGTAAGAAAAATACGCTCTATAGTAGGTTCCCATTGCTCTTTATCTGTTCAAATAGTACTGTCAATGAGTCTCCATTGGCATCAGATGATACACGTATGCCATCAAACAGAACGGGAACAGAGAAGATGGGTAGATGAAGGAACAACATACGGGATCCCACACCGTGCGCGAAGAGCAAGGTAAGTCCAAATGTATTGTCTCCAGAGAAACCTGATGTGTAACGTTTGGCTGTCATCTTGAGGCCAGGTGAGCACGGTTCCACTGGAATGCCCTTTTGTACAATGTTGACGGAGAAGGAAGATGATGAAGAAGCGATATTTTCTAAGTGTCGAACATGCGGCGCGTCAAAAATGAACGGGGCGATTTGCAGTGGCGTCGGCATGACAGAGTAACGTGTGGTTGACACAGAGAGCAGCGAGAGAGATGAAGGGAAAGGAGAATTGCTTGTCAAGAAGTGAGCTTGAGCTGAAGAGTATATAAGCCGAAAAATCCTGTGAAAACTTTAAATCTTCCGTCAGTGATAGAGAACATCATACGTGTGAGAACACTCAGCTGGATTGATCCATCGATGAACCTTTTCCGAGTATTGACTTCGATCCCTGTGCTTCTCTTCTCTTCTCCTCGAGTCATTGAGATCGTATGAGGTACGCCAGTTTATTCAGTACTGATATGAGGAATTTGAGATACTTAGATCGCGATGGTAGCAAAGGTTCGTTCGACTTTCGGACCAGGTAACTTTCCAGAGTGAAAATGACAGATACAACTAGAGGGCGGGAGCCGATAATCACCGAGGAGAACATGCTAGAGAGAGAAAAAAGGAAACAGAAGAACAAGCACTTATACTAGAAGGTACGTGTACTCACCATGAGCCTCTATTGGGCGTACACCAATCACATGGTGTATTTGCACACTGTACACGGTATAAAATGAAGTTTTAGAGCACTGGCATGGAGATCATTGCATGGATTGCGTCCCGCACGGCATGTGGGGAAACCAAATTAACATTGCGAAAATCCGGTGCATGCCCTATACTTGAATTGATTTGGAATGGTAATAAATGGTCCAATAATGGTGAGTCATGACATATGTATTGTGCATGGTGAATCAAAGACCTGTTTCATCGCCCAACTCCTCAAGCTAAGGGAAGACCTAATATGGTTTATCCTCCAGCTTTGACGCAAATAAAGTGTAAGAGCCTTGACCGCGGAAGTTCAAGGCACAAATGAATTTCGAAATCGTACAGTTGGGCATAACCAGGGCATAACTCCGATGGTCATAATGATTTAATTTCTGGTTCCCTTCATCTGGTTCCCTCAAAGTAGCGAGCTGTATAAGGCTGTATAGTTTCTACATTGCGGTTTCTGATGAATGATTGAATGTCAATCTACATGTATGTACAACAAGGATGACGATAGACGAACCTTGCCCTTGCGCTACATAATTTTTCGTTTGAATGTGAAGTCAAGCATCCAAGCCCTATAGATCGAAGCTTCAATTATAACATACTCCATGCCAATACTCGAACGGATTAGTGGAAACTTACAACGATTCTCGAACACTCTCAATTCGAGCTAAGCACAGAATTTGTAAACGCCAAACAGACCACCCTTCTTGCTCCGGAACTTAGCTTTCCTTCCGACTCCCAGACTCGTCGTAGCAACGTCAGGAAGAACTCGAACCGGACTGTGGAAGTTGCGAGAAGGGAGAAGCCGTTCTGGATGAGCCTGGATAGAGATAGATTTGGATGTAGGAGAGCAAGCACGTCGAACTAGTTTCTAGTGAGTATAATCAGGTACAATCGGAGTAATCGTATTAGTCGTTAGAAGCGGAGACGAACTTTATAATCCGCGGGTAAAGGTTTTCGAAAGTCGGACCTTGTGTGGATCTCAGTGAAATTCTCCTGCTGAGGGGTCCCTCTAGATGAGCAAGTCACCAAAGGCGCTGGAAGGACGGGACGAAGGGTAAATATTAAATGGCCGGGCCTGGGCCGTTAGACCTGCCCGAATCATAAATTTTAGGGCGGTAGCTTAGCGGCAAACGGTCATCCGGTAACAGCCGTCCGAAAATAAGAAATTGAAGCTCGAAAAATCCTAACAAACAAGAAATGAAGAAGTCCAAAATTTTGACAACCAATTTGAATACCAATAGCAATTACAAAACACCATTCAAGCACGAGAGTTATAGAAGAAAGGAACTTCAAAGTAAAGGCCACTGTACTATGATCGGATCCTTTGTGGAAGGTTGTCACCAACATCTGCAAAGCCTGGATGTTCACCAGAGCAAAGATAGTGGCTGGAGAGCATTGTCAGTTGCTCTCCAACTATTAGCCAACAATCCATGTTGTACAGATGATGAAGCACTACTACTAGAAGTATATATATCTGCAAAACATGGACATCCCAAATGGCTATTTACTGAGAGCAACTGAGAGCACTTGGAGCAGTCTAAAGATATTTGCTCTGTGTGCTGGAGAGCACTCTCAGGTGCTCTCGAATGCTTAGCCAAAAATACATGTTTTGCAAATGCTACTGTACCATTCCGACCAATTGTCCATGACCTGTGACCTGTGACAGGCCTTGTTCACAAATTTGAGGGTTCACAGGAACTTGTAAAATATGACAGCCTTCTGCAAATAGCCCAAATTATTTATTTGAGGAACAAATGTGAACCAATTATGGGTGTTACAGTGTCCATGACCAATTTGTTAATTTTTGGGCCTTGTGTCCAGTGACATGGAACATTTGAAGGTCAATATAGTACATATAGAAACAATTTCCAGCTAAAGCAAACAGAGTGATGTAGCGGAAGTGCTATAAATTCTGAACATGTTTTTACTGGACCATTATCAATAAATATGACTTGGCAAATGAGGAAAGAACCATTGCTGTTGGACAAGTTCAGCCAAAAAAGGAGATATTTTTTCTGTATTTTTTTGCCTTCTTTCATTTCTTTTGAGCTTTTCAATATAATTTTTGTGCTATTTTGGCATACCGGAAGTTGTGAAAGTGATGAAATGGAAATGAAGATTGTCATAAGCTGTCATAGAAGGTAGCAATGTTGTTGAGACCAAAGTTTGTCTCAAGAGTAAGATTTCCTAGACAATGATCTCAATTGCTTGGACCATAACTGAATGGATTCATGGATGAAGTCCCACTCTGTCCTTTAGCAAAATGTCCAGCATTTTGATACTGTCTGTGCCCCTCGCCTCTAGTATTTGTAGATCCATGGTATGTATTTCCATCGTTTTTATGCAAAGCATCAAATGGATAGGACTCTTGAAAGTTATATTCCTCATTTGATTTTCCACATCTGCTCCCATCATCAGCAAAATGTGTATGGTGTGGCCAGTGCATGCTAGTGCTAGCTATCATATTTTGACCTTCGGCACTTGTCAACACTGGTAAACACTGGCAGGAGGCCCTACTAGCCTTCCCTCTATATATGCTTTGCTGATAATTTGGAGTGTTAGTGGTTGACTGATTTGAAGATATAGTTGTATATGTCCTACTAGCTCTCTTTGCTTCAGAATTGAAAGCTTCTGTGTTACAAAAGTTGTATCCTTGATACACATTTCCATGATTCCAGCTCTGAGGTAGGCTATTTGTATGAGAAATGTTTTGATTTCCTGATATAGAAGTGAAGCTGATATTTGGTTTTTCCATACTCCTAATGGATCTATGCTCTTCCCTTTCATTCTGGATCAAGCTTGGGCTGCTATGGATTGTAGCACCTGAAAATGAAAATATAGTTGGGTTTGCTTCTTCCACAGCAGACATCTGCAAAACCTGTATTTTCGGCTAAGGGTCTGAAAGCGGTCGAGAGCACTTCCCAGCAGTGAAAGCACCTAGAGCATGTTGCTTTCGGTGCTTTCAACACTGGGATCTGCTCTCAGCCCTTAGCCGAATATCCAGGTTTTGCAGATGGAAGCAACAGGTTTTACTGTTGCCAAATTGTTTATGACATTTGAAGCTGTTGTAAATGTTTCTTGATCAAGACAAGTGGCAGCGGGGGTTCTGGTAGAGGGTAAAGATAAGACTGGAACAGGGTCTGTTCTTAAGTCATCAATGACATTTGCAACTGTAGGATTGTGTGTGTACAGTTGCTTCTTTTGCCCACTCTGTTCTTTATTAGAAGAGGCATTGCCAGTGGTAGTGCCAGTAAAGGGCAAAAAGTATGGTGTTTTGAAACCTGGCTCTGGAAATACTAATGTCTCTGATGACAATAAATTCTGTTGAGTGCACATGTGCATAATCACTTGTTGGGTCATTATGGTTGCCCTCAACTATGCATGTTTGCAGATGGTAAGCAGTTATATTGAACTCCTGAGCACATAACACTCACATTGAACATATCTAATGCCTTTTTATGTTTCCTTGATATTCAAGAAGTCTTTCTGCATCTGCATTTGCACAAAGGAACCTTATGATGACATTCCTATGAACACATGCATCTGTGAATTCATAGATTTCTTTCAAGGTACTAACAGATAAGACTTGTGAGTTAACATGAGATTAAAAACAGCACAGAAGACATACTTGCAAAGGATTTTTATATTCTGCCAGAGCAGTGGGTCTAGTTCCTGGTATTCTGCTTGTATATTTCTTGTCTGATCTTTATATTTCTCAACTAGAGACATTGAAAAAAAATCAATGTCACTGCCTGGGCTACAAGTAGCCTCATCATCATCTGTTATATCCTTTGTGATATTTCCAATGCTCTTTGGATTCTCTTGATTTTTCTCATAATGACCTTTTATCCTCTGCTGTCTTTGGTACTGCAGCACATCCTCGCAGGTTGTCAAAACTGTACATACAATGTTGCATGCATCCTGACCCAAAGATTTGAGTGAAGTCTTTGTGTTGCGGGTGGTCTATAAAAGGTCGAAAAAAAACAAGATCAGTGCTTATACAAGTCATATGTTACCAGAACAGTGTTTTTAATGAAGCAAAAGGGCTGCTCAATTCTGATGATTTGGAAAATGATTCAAATCAGTGATAGATTTGTAGCTCAATTGGCTGAAAACCCCATTTGTCAACCTTTATGGCTGCCCAAAATTTGTTCTTCATGTAAGCATTGCCAGTACCATTGGTTGTTGGTCAACTTCTGGAGTAGCTTGAATGATTTTCCAAATGATTTGAGCAGCCCTAACTGACATGCTGTGCACCATGATTGTCAGGAAATATCACAGACCTGGACATTTTTCCATATCCCTATAGCCAATCCTACTGCTTCACCAATGTAGGGAACTGGTGCAATTACAGCAGCATCCTTCAATGCTATAAGCATTGTTACGGTGGCATCTGATAAAACAGAGAATGATTCCTGTCTGCAATCTTTTTGTTTCAAGGCAGAAAACTTCTTCTTTGTCTGTCTTGAGAGCAAAGAGTCAGAATCTTGCACTCTGCCTTTTGCACTGAATTGGACAGAACGCAGCCAAGACATGTATCAGATGCAGATGAGTACGGGGAAGAGAGGGGGAAAGTAACATAACAACTTTCCTTCAGATGCTTTATATTCCTACAACGTGGTAATTTCTGATATTAGAATCAGACCATACTTGATCACATGGAAGCAATAGAAAAATAAATGTACTGTGCCACAAATAGAAATAGTCTAAGCATATGCATGCTACATGTGACAACCCGGGCAGTACATGGTAAACTGGTTGTTCGGGAATCGGACCTCACCAGTACAGTTTATGTTTATGCATCTGCAAAACCTGGATATTCGGCTAAGGGCTGAGAGCAGATCCCAGCAGATCCCAGTGCTGAAAGCACCGAAAGCAACATGCTCTGGGTGCTTTCACTGCTGGGAAGTGCTCTCGACCGCTTTCGGACCCTTAGCCGAAAATACAGGTTTTGCAGATGTGTCCTATCCTATCTTATCCTCACAATCAAATCAGAAGTCTTTCGTCCAAGATTAGCTCTAAAATATGACATATCTGCCCATAAATCTGCAGTAATATGTAACAGTTAATACTTAGAAATTATATCACCTTGCTTGCAAACCACTTCAACCATCTTGCTATAATTGGACACCTCACCTCGCGGCGCGCCCTATGTGCGCCGCATTTTTGATCTCAAGCAAGGTGTGTAGTCCACAACAGTGGGGCCTAGTTCAAGCATGCACCATATATGTTGCAATGTTTTGAGATACTCAATATAGAAAGAAAACACAATCATAAGTGTGTTGAGGATGGCACAAACTCTATGCAGTTTACATTTTACATCTTCAATCAGTTGACAATCTACCTTTTCACTACAACTTATTGGTCGAAATTTTCAGTGACTGACCATGCAGAGCGGGCGGTGGGGGATGGATGCTGGTCGTTGCTATTAAAGGCAGACTGGGGCTGCCTATATCTGGCTGATTCATAATCTACCAAAACAATTTAGTACACATCTAATAAAGCACACAAGTACAAACGTTTAGGTTTGTGTGGGGAACCTCCGAAAGCGTGTTGACGTTCAAAGGAGAGCTCTATTTTATTTTCATCAATGTTAACTGATCGAAAGTACCTCAAACAGACAAGACTGACCGATTTCTCAGGGTCTGCTTGTCGATGCTGTGGTGGGAGGTAGTCATAATATGCTTCGGGAATCACGGACAAACCATCAGGCTCGAGTGTATCACTGATGAATCTTTTAATTGAGGATTCTCCTGTAGGCTGATTCAATTCGCTTCGAGTAAATGTGAGGGGAGTCATGTCCATGGTAGGGAGCGAAAATCGGTCTCGGACCACATTGGAGGAGTCTGAGCTGGAGCTGACGCAAAATACGGCGAAGGAGTTGACAAGAACCTATCAGAATGGTGAAGTTCACCATGACCAGCCGAGCTGCGATAGAATACACTTACATCACACACGCAACTGGTAATACAGACCCACCCTAATTCATTACCCGAAAGAAGCAGCATGATTGTGATGTTGACCTGCAATAAAGAATCAGTATCCAATTACGACAGAAGATATTTAGGAAAATGTTGAAGTGGAAATCGGAGCGCACCGCAGATGAAATGAGACTAATTGTCGCGCCGCTTTTGAATATCATGTCAAAAGAGGTAGCCAATCAGAGTGAAGAGACGGGACATACTACAATGTCCGTTTAGCAACAGATCGTAATCTAGGACTAATGGGATGTAAGACCCATAGAGGACACATGAACATCGCTGTAAGGAAGATATTGAGAGACAGGTCGTATGCTATCAAAGGAATGGTACTAAGAAATGATTCGATGTAAGCTTTCGGTGACAGGATATGCTGGGAGACATACGCAAATGCTTTCAGCCCAATAACGCACACTCCGTCACCGCGAACAGAACTGTCCCTTCCCAGTATCATCAAGATTCCAATGACGATATAGCCTAAGAGAACAAAAGCACATAGACGATAGACTTTTGTTTTGTACCGGGAAACTTGATTTCCTCCGGTCCAAACAATATAGACCTGTAAATGTGGCATTCAGCTTTTTTTGCCGAACACCCATACAACACTGACCTTTTCCGATAGGAAGGCATAGATCAGAATCTCAACATTTCTGTCAGCTGGGAGTAGTTCTCAATGTGAAATGCTGACCTTGCTAGTTGCGTAGAAGCTGATACAACTGTATATCGCTAGAGTGCAGGTTGTGTGAGACCAGGAAAGGCCAACGCCAGAGGACAGCAAGCCCGCTGAAGGTCTAGTTCAAGTTGCATAGAATTAAGCGACTTGTAGGTGGCTCACAGAAGAACACGAATATCCAGCTGAATAGTGAAATAGCTTGGTTGAATGTCGCGTAGACACAGAGAATTACCGAAAGAAACATACGAATCGAGCAATACTAATAAGACGCATGTCCTTCCCCAAGTCAGGTACCTCCACTGTCTCCATCCTGTTGGGACACGACGGGATAAGCAAAATGAAAGGAAAGACACCCCTGTATGTGTCACTCAGTGATACGAATATGATATCAACGCAAGGACCCGACCTATGAGCTGGATACAAGCAGTCATGATCTGAAGGCCATGATATTCTGTTGAGGACATGATGGTACGCAGAAGACAGAAGAGGTCGAAAGACAAAAGCAATCCAGGTAGAGCTGGCGATTACCAATCTAGGTGTACCTAAGGGACTAACAGGTCAATTCAACATCATAGACGTTAATCGGCTGAGCGCGGGTGAATTCTATGACAAGACGTGGTTAAGCTAGGAGGGTTCAAACAACTTGCGTAGAATAAACCATTCCACGTTCCTTCCATATGACGTCACAGCTACAGCAACGATCTCACCTTCTTCTATACCCTGTTCACGAATTTATCGAAACCTGATTTGAAGGCTGAAGCACTGAAGGCGGGGGTTGGATGTAACAAGATTATGGATGTCAAATTGTCAATTGTAGACGCCGTTGAAAGAAAGACATTGAAGAACAAACCCTGTGAAATGTTCACACGATCGTCGATATTTACAGTTATACCGCATGATATATCCTGATATATCTCGCTTTGACTGTACCGGAATACCGGAAAGGATCATAAGAAGTTTCCACCAAGTTTCCGCGAATCCCCTCAATATCAGTATTACTGTGACCCTCTCGTTGGTTGTCAGGCTAGGCCTAAGCTTCTCGAATCTTTCACTGACATGAGAGGAAGGAAATTTACGGCACAGCAGTCTCCAAGAGCAACATGTATGCGGGTGCAAAGTGCGGAAATGGGTTGGATATTGGCGTGTGTTCCAACCAACACGCACACATGGGTGTGGGAGGGATGCTGATGCTACATAACGAATATGGGCCTTCCGCAACTGATTGATTGACGAATTTTTATACGGATTTTATACTAATACCTCGCAGTGCAGTAATTCCGATACACTTTTTGAGTTCTCTGGAGTATCACTGTGGGTCACCGTCCCTAGCCCTCAGCGCCGCAGCATGCTGGGTATCCAATACATATACATCACTTCCTGGAAACACTGCACCATTGGGATCAGATTCTCCATTGGATAATACTGATCCGGCTTGCCTGTTAATACAAGGGGGAGATGTAAGCATTGCAAATTCAAATAGGGAAATTAGATGAAAACATACCAGATTAAATCTCCAGCAACATTCGAGCTCACGATGGCGGAATACCAGCTTCCATAAACATCAACTTGGTCATCAGTAATCCCAAATTCTTCCATAACAATTGGCTTGTTGGATGCAACCATGGCAGTCGCATGATCTTCGATCCATTGTGTCCCGAAAGGGTTTGCGGGTTCACCCCAGCTGTCCTAAACAATTTCAATTTTGGGTTGGGAGTGATACATCTAAGAATCAGTCTATTAACGTACAGGGTAAAGCTAAATGAATGGAAAGCTCAGTCAGAATCAATGAACAGACTCTGCATTGGTCCTACGCACATGGAATGTTCCAAAGTCCAAACTGCTGATGTTAAGATTAGCAGCAAAATCGATGCCGAGGCTTGGCCTACGATGGTCCATACGGGATGCGCTATCAGCACTTGAAAGTAGCTTGGGACAAATCTATACATACGAGTAGCCTCTAAAATGAGATATCATTATTGAATTTTTTAGCAGAATAGAATGCCAAGTGCTTACTGGTAAACAAAGATAGGGTTTCCGGGGTCATTGATGAAGCCTTCGTCGCCGATTGCTACCAAGTGGTTCGAATCAATTGACTTGATGTAGGCTGACATTTCCTCGGCCCAGGTTGAAATGGTCGAAATTGTACATGTTCCAGAGGAAGCACTGTGGAGAATGCCCATGATGCACGATATGAGTGAACCATCGAAGCTTCAGCGATACCGGAAAGTGCCAAACCTTGTTGAGCCGAGACATCTAGGCTCATTCGCCAACTCCCATGCCTATTAGAAAGATCGTGAGCTTTCTCCTGGAGAATATAGCGAGGTGCCTACCAAGATTCCAGGCTCATTCAAGTAGCGAGTAACAAATGTCTTGACGTAGGTCTTGTACGCAGCCTATACATACGTTGGTCGTATTGATCTAAGGCATGTCATATTCATCACTCACGATAACAGTCGCATTCGTGTAGAAGTAATCGTGCGGCTGCCCTTGACCGAGCAGCTGGTTGACATACACGTCCATTCCACCTTCAAAGTGAATGTTTGTAAGAGGCAGAAGGGATAAATAGAACAGATATCCACCGTAATCAGACCTGTTAAATGAGCATAAGCCTCCTTCACATCATTCGTACCATTCAATACGCACCAGTTATTTGTTCTGAGTAGAGTCATAGATTGAGCACAGACAAATAATGAATTATAGTTACGCACAAAGTAACAATCAGTCTTAGACCATTGGCCTTTGCAGCGGCAACTACATTATCTAAAAAGGTCTGAGCATGATATTTAACAAGGAACGCAACATATTCACCGAAGTTTTCTAGTCCGTTCGTACCAAGGTTGACGGTAGGCGTCGAGCCAGACCAGCTCTGATAATAAGCCACGCCATCGGGCGTAGTTACTTCATTGAACCCCCTGAAGAGCGCTGAGTTGTACTTTGGTTTTGGACGAAGAGAGTTTCGCACCATGTCCTTACTACGGATGCACCTGTGGCGGCAATGTCGTGAAAAGCAGTGTTCATGTCTGCAACGCCATAATTCATGAGACCGACCCAATAGGCGTTCGCACTATCAATAAGCAGTTAGTACACTATACGGGCATGTGTGGATACGTGTTCTAACCCGACAACAGTGAATGGTTCATTGTTCAAAGTAAAGTGTATCCCGGAAGTTTTGACGAAGCCGGTGACGGTAGGGGTAGGAGTGGATACAGTCGACGTCGTTGATGTACCTGTACCAGAGGAAGTCGAAGTGGGGGTTACACTAGAAGTACCGGGAATGCATTGCGAATAGAAGTCGTTCTGAAAAACGCAGATGCTTCCAGCGGCGCAAGCTATTCATAACATACCTAAGTTGATCAGTCGGAACATATATGAAAATTATACTTACTTGTGGGTCCGGTATAGCTTTCACCACCACATTGACCATAAACTGGGACTGTTGTCTGCGCTGACACAGTTAAAGCGGCGGAGATCAGGACTAGAGTATCAGATAGTCGTCCCATTGTGAGGACTAATAGATAGAGCCTTGAACTTGAAGTTTTTCAAATTTTTCCCAGCGATGTTTTAAGCATTCGCATTCATGATTCCAGGCCCAGGGGCAGTCCATCTGTAAAATGAAAACATCAGTGCAGGCGAGCTTTCTCCGTGCGGCAAGCAGTCATTTCTGCGACGGACCGGTGAGGTAAAAAGAAAATCGAGGCGGATGGCAACGTGTAGGTTTGCAAGTGACCTCAAAGTGTACATGGAATAAAGGCGACCTTTCAGCGAAATAATGCCAGCCATGTCGAACTTGAGGAGTTTAGGGAAAGAATGATGGAAATGATGTGGAATTCTTCCTGAATTACCGAAAAAGCTAAGGACAAATGACAACAGAAGAAAACAGGAACCCGGTGACTATGATCACCATGTGCATTTCCACCGAGAGGTAAAAGTTGCATTGAAGGAGAAACTCAGCGTAATTTGCCAGAGTGAAGAAGAATCGTTCATGAAAGACTGAAAAGAGTAAGATTTTTCTGCGGGCCGCCAACGCGACAATATGATAAGATAGGCGCGTTCACGACAGGCGCTTAGGCACTTAATCGTAGTGTGTCTACCTGCGCTGTGAGCCTCAGACAAGTATGTATTGACTCTTGCTCTCCTTACATTACGCAAAGCCTTCCTTCTGGGCTCTTACCACTAGTACACACTAGCTCCCACATGCCGACAGCTCATTGCCACCCAGATTACAAAATACTTTCCATATAATACTAAGTACTCGCCCAGCGCAGTAGAAAAGGTACAGCGGAGAAAAATATTAAACAAGTGAAAGGATATCAAAAGAAAAGATTTCGCAAAGGCTACAAACGAAAATTAGAAGTGAGCACAGAAGATTTTCAAGTTGGTACAAAGAAGGTGCTGAGCTCAGACAAATTTCATAAGGTATTTATCAAGTACTACAATTTTGACTAGGTCAATAGTGCATCCAGGTTTGTTAATCGTAAACTTAGATATCATCGAGGTAAATCAGGAAGATCTATGTCCGAATACTCTGCACGCGGTTTCCAGCTAAGCACCGTTGGTGTTCTAGATACACGCTTCGAGTAATTGAACTTGTGGCTCGATCCCAACCAATTCACTCGGGTACAGGAGTTCGACGTGGGTATATTAGAAGATTCTGAATCGGATCGGCTCATCAATGCCAAAGCGTGAAGAGATTCAGTTTCATGCTCAACGACACACTGTACAGTGACTTCGAGCTGTAGATATTCATGATGAAATAGTACTAGTTGCCCCCGTCGGGGACACAAACCTTGCTTGAGGCGTTCTGGTATCAGGTGCAAATCGCACCTTTCCGCATTTAAGTAAAATACAGTTACATGTATTATCGAAGCTGTTCTAAAACAACAAAGCCTGACTACAACGAGTTGAACCGAAACGTGGAAGGGAGGACTTCACGGCGCGAGGAACCAATGACAACTTTGCGGACATAAGCAGCAGGATGTTGTCCACATACATAGCCGGGACACAAACGGTCTGAGGCTGGAAAGTGTTGCGAGGGCTGAGACATTGACTGAGCAGGATAGTACAGGCATACATGTAGCTGACAAAGTTTTAGAGACAGCACATAATGAGGCAATGTTCAATAGACCGAGGTAGGTGGTTAGATCCAACCAGAGATCGTCGTTGAGGTCTGTCAATGTGATGTCATACAGAACTGGAGGTAAAGGAGATAGCGGGGGGGTCGACGACAAACGAGCATACATACATAATTGGTGGGGATAAATGTGGAAGTTCAACATTAAGTATCTGAAAGCCGGTGAAACGGAATAAAGGGGAGTGATAAAGAACAACACGTCGCAGGTGCGGCACAAAGTAAGGGGTAAAGGTGGATTGGCACACATGAAGTCTGAGACAAAACACAAGCAGAAAACCTGCGCGTAAGTGAGAAATTTAAGAACGATATGTTCAAAAGTCAGTCAGCGACTTGTGTGGTAAAGACATTCAGGAGGCGGTAGAAGACCGGGAGTTGTTATTTGAAGTGAAGGTGGATGGAGGTACTTGGCACAGACATAGTCGGCTAATGCCCAGACATGAATACCTGCTGACAGACCTGTACCCGCCGGGCGCACACACGTTTGGTAGGTTATACACTGGACTTGCGGTAGATACATAGAGGAGGCGGAGTAATAACAGGACCCAAAAAGTGCTGTAGTTGGTATTTGATGAGAAAGTGCATGTTGTCGTCGTACATGGCACAGGTGAGGTCTGCTAGCGCCCAGGCATGAATACCAGCCAACCTACCTGAGCACACTGCACACAACAGTAGCTAGGTCATACAGAGAGACAGCGAGGCATGTGGTACGACGGAACAAACAAGCGCCAAAACCGTGGGTAAAATTTCCGCAGCGCTAATAATATCGAGTAAGAAATGACCTTTGCAAGCAAGGTGACTAGACGTAGAATGAAGAGCTCACCGGAATGTGTGGCTTTGGCGGTGTGTCAGGTCTAGAGCTATATTTGTCAACTGGTGTCTAGACAGACCTCGTTATTTGATCCAGTATTTTAAAAGTAAAATGAAAATACCCACTAACAAGTTCAACGGATCTCTTGGAGTATCATGGCTGAAATCATCGGCAGACAGAACGGGAAGCGATCGGTCTGCCCAGGGCGAAATTCGTGGTCGCATATCGCGAAGCTCTTTACGCGTGTTTAAGGAGGCGAGAATGGAATTTGCGTAGACTGCCGTAGAGGAATTATTGTAAAAGTAGGGGAATAGCGGATAAAAGTGGATCGATGCTCAACATGAGTGAGAAGAAAGACTCACGCTTCTCGATGACGAAATGCAACCCAAGGAATGAAAGATTATGTGGCATCGTGAGCCACTGCAAAGTTTTAATTTGAGTGCAACGATATATACAGGGAAAAAATACACATACGCATATCAAAGAAGCCGTAGTAGCGACGCTGAATACGAAGAAAGATTCCTAAGTGAGCAAGCCATGGAAAGAGGTGAAAGGATATGCAGTAACTGACCCAGTCAAGAAACCATTCTCAAGTGTATATAGAGTGAGTGTGTCTACTACCTTGATCATCCTATATCCAATAATCAGTGAGCTATACTGCATCGGTCGTTTTTCGCAAGTACTAGCATTGTGGAAGTTGATCCCATCTGTGTCTTGAGTTTGTGAAGCAAGTAACATAGACACGCCGCGATGAGAACGTCTACCATGGACGAAAGAGTGAGACCAGTCGTAAAGATCCACTGAAAGACTTGAATGAAAACAGAAGGCAAGAACTGATCTAAAAGATGAAACATACTCCGGGATAAGGTCGAGTAAATACAGAATAGTGCTTATCAACAATCATCTCTCCTGTCGAGGCTTTAGTACATCAGCAAGTGAACTGTACTCCAAACAACAGCTAGCTACTCACTGGCCGCAGCAACTATAATAAATAACGAAAGGGATAAAAATACCGAGGAGCTACAGGAAAATTGACGTACTCAATCTAAGAAGAGCCAGAAACACTACAGGCGCAGTGAGATACACATTTTTTTGGCTGGCTGAACAGTCAAAATCCAGTTACTAAGTTCATCCTGATAGTTATTGGTCCTCAGAGACTCACACCGATATATTTTGTTTGCGAAGAAGCTGCCAGAAATTAATCAGTTTGAGAATACATTAAGCTCTAGACCTTTCTGCCCACCAGTGCGCAATGAATGTTTGAAAGGCCTGCATAAACTAAGCCACCAAAAGGCATTTTACCACCACCAGAAAGCTTACCGTGATTACCACCGTAAACTATATATGGATCAAACAAAAAAGGTTAGCCTCAGGAAAACCGAATTTCATCACGGGTTCACGTACAGCTACAGACCAAGGGATAACGTCGATTTGTGACTCCTCCCCAAACCAAGCAATGAAATATTGGTACAAGGAAGCACCGATAAACGCGGAGTGGACTAAGTCTAATAACCTGAATAAGTTGATGGGCTCAGGAAGATTCCGTGAAGTATGAGGAAGGACAGGTTGAGATCTCACCATATACAGGCCACCTACAGAATTTTTCAGGTCTCAATCGCCGTACATATTCGATTGCACTCACCAGTTCCCTGAGCCGCTCGGATTCCTGAGGATAAAGTCTGTAATATACAACACATTGTACCGAAACAGTTCCTGTCAAGCTAGAATTACAATAACCCCATATCAGTGTCATCGTAGTAGGACTAGCAAGAGGTAGATGCGCACCTGAAGGCTATTAGCCCTCCCAGAAGCAACGAAGCATAGCTCGTTACAGTATCTGGCGTCATAAGAGCGGAAGTTCAATGATCTATACTCGCGAGACGATGCCTCAAAAACGCCGGCACTGCCTAGTAAACCAATCGATAGCCTGGTGCGGAGAACCCGACAAATAAGGTCCTTCAACGAATGATCTTTGCCAACAGAAGACTTTTTTCGAGTTATCAAGTATCTTGTATCTCTGAGTAACAGTTTGAGGTGACTGTAAACCTGAAGGCAAAGACGAGCAAGGAAAAAGATATCAAACGTGAAGCAGTAATTTGTAGCAAGCCAAGTAATATGCTGTGGCGTCAAGTATGTCGTTTGTTGGCAAATGAGCAGCTGGATGATGAGAGGTCTTACTGGAGACAATTCATAAATGCTAATATGTATGAAATAGGCAGTTGATTGACACCACTGTATATATCTCAGCGGTCCAGACGAGAAGGGCGGAATTATCAAAAATAATAGAGGCGCACCTGAATGGACTTTACAGGGCCTTTCTACTGAGCTCCTACATAAACAGCCTCTGAGGCACCATATTGAACGATGCTGCAATGAATGAAGTTTCTGTGGCGTTTAGTGAGAATCAATGTATCATTATTGTCTTGTCAAGAGTCCATCTGATATCGCGACAAAACCTTTCAATTTCTTCGTATGATTTGATCCTCGCTATAGCGCGGGTTGCCCTAACAAGATAAATGCTTGCGTTTCCAGCGGATATTCGGAGCCGCTAGGTTTGGGCCAGTTGACACGTATAAGAAAAACTCGCAACATGAACAGAAAGCATATCTCCGATTTGCCCACCGTCCTCCACCAATCATTGCGGAGGTGTCACACTATCCACTGTCCACTGTCCTACAGCCACCAGATCGTTACAGACTACAGTACATGACTGTTGAAGGACAAGAAGGCAAAGGTTCAAAATGGTTTGATGATGAATAAAGCACGTGGAAATTCGAAGCTTCAGAGATTGGAGGCGATATTGGTCAATGTAGCGGGGAGCAATATCCATAACGTGTTGGTGGTCCTCGTATTAATCGTAACTGATGCGAACTTGGACGATTTACATAGTTGCTAGTACAAAACTACAGATAAGAATCGAACGGAAATTAACGATACAAAAGTGAAGTTAGTTGCATTCATACCGCACACTCCGCCTCTCACAGCTCATTTCATCACTACTATTACTGCTCATCCCACCACCTGCTGCCTAGCACCATGTTTGAAGAGACCTCTGTCCTTGGACTCCGTATCATAAGAAACTACCCGTCCACCGACTTCCTACTATGCTTCCCACTTTTTCTGTCCTTTGTAACGTCCGTATCTAACTTATCACCTTCAGACGATGACAATGACAATGCCCTTTTCAAACCATGATGCTGATTTGGTAACCAGAAGAAAGGAGCATGTGAGGCATCATTGACAGCTTGACTGACCGAACAAACCAAGGGAGAAATGGTCGAACCCTTTGTAGTTATAGTTGACACTCTTGGAGTTGATGATGTCCTCGATGGAATGGAAGACGGCTTGAGTGGATTAGTAGAAGATGGCGGCAAAGATAGTAATAACGGGGAAATTACTAGCCCATCATCTACGTAGGTTTTGAGCGAAAGGTTGGGAGATATACTGCGCTTCGAATCCAGGAGTACAATCCGAGTTGCGGGGATGCAAGAACGAAGAAAAGGTTCCACCTGTTGACTCGAAGCTTGAGTTAGGATTCTCTTGTACTTCAGGAGAGCAGGTCGATTTGGAGTAAATTTTGGGGCTGGAGCTTGGACATTTGGATTCTGTCACAATCGAGCCAGCCGATTTCAGGTTTGTGATGGAAGAGAGCGCAGATAAGTCGGGATTAACATGAACAGGATGTCTCGAGTCTAGAATAGTGGCGGTGATGGTAGTATTGGGCGCAATCGTAGGAGTGGAAGCGTCGACTTTGAGGAATACAGTACCAGATACCGGAGAGCACATAGGGGAGCTTCGCGCTTGGGATACATCCTTGAATTTATCAATCGGTAGACAATCATCGGAGAGTAGCGACTCTAAAGCAGTTACAAAGCTCTCTTCTGCTTGTTCTTCGTCCTCGTCTTGCTGAAGGATGATGTTGTCCTCGTGTCCAGTGGTATCCGAGTGACAAAAACCTAGACTAAGCTCTGCGTCGACCCAGTCGAGCTCCCACTGTTCATCTTGGCCGTGGGTCGGCATCGTCTGGAGATTGCGGGGTTAAACATCGGGTTGTGGCTTGTCCAGATCGTCCGCATCATTCGTATTTTTGACATTCACGATTTCGTGACTAGAGTCAGTTTTATTACGAAAACTCCGTGCACCTTCATTACCTTCCTTAGTAAGTATAGGTCGAAGGAGTGGCACGGGGTTCGAGCACTCTCTATCCACGTTCATATAAATGCTTCCCGCATTAGATTGAGGGGTAGCAAAGCGGGACGCAGCAGGTATAGAAGATGATAGGGATCCCAGCCCGTGATCAAACAAAGTGAAGCCCTCTGAACATACACTGAAACCGAATCCGCCGGGAATACAAATAGGATCCATCTTTTCCTGGTGAGATTGGAGTCGTCGGAAGAAGCTATTCATTACTTGACCAGTCTTTCACAAGAAAGTGAGTGAAGGTGAGATAAATCAAGCAATAGTGGAACTCACAACGAAAGAAGTACACGCATAAAGCGGGATATACACTAGTCGAACGTCGATACCATTTAATAGCTCGTCCACGGTCATCCCAGTACCAGAAGAAGGATCGCCATTGCCAAAAACTCCTCCCATAGTCCATTCCTTGGGCGAAGTGTCGCGCTTGCTGAGAGAATTGAACGGGATCTCGTAAAATACCACGGCGCCTAATCCGTATTCGTTCATTCTCGCAACACGACGTCGGTTTCTGGGCCCGAAATCGAGTTTTAAATTTGGTTCTTGAGCATTCAGGGCGTAAAGATCTTTGTAGACGCATTTGGCAACAAATGACCGCCATAGAATGCCAGGTGGGCGAAAATAAGACTCCTTAGAGTTGATAAGAGTGGCAGAGCCAGCGTCGACAGTTGTCGAATATGGTGATGATTCCCAGGGATGATTGAATCTTGCAGTTGGATTGAGGAGACGACAAAGAGTTGACGACCAGGTGCAATTGGGCCGCTGAGGAGCAGTGCTTGCCGAGAAAGCTGAGAGCATTAAAGGCTGGAGAGCGAGTTCTCCAACGAAAGAGAAAGCCAGGCGTTGCAACTTGAAGTTGAAGAAGAAAGAAAGGGCGCTAATATGACTTGCAGTGGCAGGCAATATTGACTCACGGGCCGTTTAAGGCTTCTTCAATTCCTGTTGAACCTGTCAAAGACTTACCGCCATGTCTACGTCTATACCGGACACTGAAACGCTGTCGAAACTCTCCCATCTCGAGGTTTTCGATGCCTCCGGAAAGAAAGTTCGCTTTGGATCCCTTTTCGAGAATCAAACAGTCACTGTTGTGTTCATTCGTGCGCCTTATTTTGTATTCCAACCAACCTGTATTTAATATGTGCAAACAGGTCATTTCTTCTGTGGGGTGCGCCTTTAGGCCTCTGCGTATGAACTTGAAAGCTTTCATCTGATTCCTATGGCAGAACTGTCAGGTAATCGTGTCTTCGTTTTTTAGGTATCGTTTAATATCTGATCTGTATGATGTACGTCCTTTTGTGTAGCTCTACGTCTCTCAGCTCTCCTCCGAATTTCAGAAACTATCTCAGGTTTTCAAAGAAGCCAATGTTGATATCATCGCGATAGGATGTGGAGATTGGCAGCCAATTGAGAAATACTCAGGTGCGTTTGTAATCCTGGGTTTCATGGATAAATCACGGCTCAACGCACCGTACTACAGATATCACTGGGTTTCCTTCCAGCAAGATTTTCGCGGACCCGTCGTTAGGCGTATTCCATGGGCTGGGGATGGACATACAAACACTTGCTCGTACGCCGACAGGAGAGAAGAGGGCAAGTTACCTCACCGAAGGAATAATAAAGGGTTCGCTGTGGAGTATATGGGTACTTGTCGAATTTTCTACAGCATAGTTTACTAGGCGACTAATTAGTTCGATCTGATTTACAGAAAGGATTGAAGAATCCAAGATTAATCGGTAAGCAAGGTAATATCGCACAACTTGGAGGCGAGTTCATACTTGGACCGGGTGATTATCATATCATTTCTTTAATCTTCACTTTTTTCTCTCGGGAACCTGCGCTTTGAATTTCGCCTCTGCTTTCTACTATCATGTACTTATTCGGGTTCGGGTTCCAGGAAACCGATGTACTTTTGCTCATCGGATGCGGCATGCGGAGGATCGTGAGTGGCCGTTCGCTATGGAGAAAATTCTCACTGAAGTGCACTCTTCTTGGTGATTAGATGCGGAAATTTCGGAGTTGCTTGAAGGAGCGGGTCTTCGGTCTTCTTTGATCACCACCAGTTGATCCCATACTATCTTTTCTTCTTGTGTCCCGAATCTTTTTGTTATTATCTTGTATTAAAAAAAAGCATGATGCATCCATGCTTTCCAGAATTCTTCGAGACGTCCACTACTCCTGTGGGTATGGAGCGTGATGGGCCTTGTCCAGGCATTCAAGACGTTCGGCCTCGTAATATGATGGAACTTTGGAGGTATACGGGTTTTGGAGAGTTTCGCACATACTCCACAATGTCTACTGCTGCTCTGCTCCTGTTGTTATCAAGTATCCGATTGATGTTCGCCGTTGGCCTCTTCCTTGCGTCCTGGTCGCGGTTGAACTGTTAAACAGGTCGACTGAAATGTTGATGATTTGAACATCTCCGCGTGTGGGTAGATATCTCCGTGTACTAATTTGCAATGGCTGAGGCCTATTTTAGACTCGACGGCTACTAGCTCTTACAGCTTCCACATAATGGCAACAGTAGGCTACTACTGAGTAGCGAGCGCGCTGACGGGAAACCCCCTTGGCAAAGCTGGTCCGAGTCGAAGACGTTTTCAGTTGAGTTCAATTGAATTATAATTATCGAATGATCTCTATCAAACTCTATACTAAACCATTTACGATGTTATGTCAGGGCTATGACAAGCCGCTGCAGCAAGATTGGACGTTTTCAAGTTTAAATATCCCAAGGAGTATTCTGTCTGGCTGCGAATGTATTTATATGCAAATTTTGTGACCGGCTTACAACATCCTGTGAACCCTCTTCCCTCCTTGTGCAGAGACGTTCTAAAAGGAAGACGAATAAACGTGGCCTTGTAGGTATCAATAAGGGTGAGCGCTGTATGTACAATACGATGAATTACTAACTATATATCCCCCACAGCTTCAAATTTTCATACAGCGTCTCTCCGCCTTTTTCTTTCAAGCCTCAAGTAGCTCTCAAGATGTCTAGCGGTGTCGACGTTGATATTCCCAAAACTTTCGGTGCATTGCTAATTGGCGCGGTGTTTGCCTCATTGTGTGTTACTTTCTTCCTCGATCTTGAACAAGGCGGCAATGTACATCTAGTCTCTCAGGAGGTATTACTGTGCAGACTTTAGTGTATTTCAAGCTCTACCCCTCAGACGGATCCAACGTAAAGACTTTGGTCCGTATCACTCATCTTGTCTCGTGTATTCCTGGACTGAACGCCCCGATGGACTTCTGGCTCTCAGGTTATTGCATTATGGTACCTCCTCATCTTAATAAAAATGGGCAAACACATCTCATTATCACAGGCTCCTGGACGCTTGCCATACAGCTCTGATATGGAGCTCGCAATGGGAATACTTTATTGGGTTATATGGGATGGCGGAAAAGATTGACTACATTTCAACGTGTGTGGATTAACCCCTCCTTTTCCTGCTGTTTTCTAACCTTACTGGTACTAGGACATTGGCCGTGAGTTTCACCCAGCAGTGGTCTTGTGCCACAGGCACGCCACAAAGTTTCTTTCAAGATGCTATGTGCTGATTCTAATCTCTTACAGCTCAGTATAGTGATCACTGTGTGTATCGTGTCTAGCCTACTATACGATCTGAATGCCCTCGCTGCTCTGAAAACTCGTCAAGTATGAACTAATTGGGAGTCTTTCTCTAGGGTGTACTCACATTTCTTGTACATTCGTGAGTTCCATAATCTTGTTTTAAAATGCGAGACATCCTCAATGACGACTCGTTTCTCCGAAAAGCTTCTTTGCTCATAGAATCTTCCTATGTATGTCATACGCTCACTCTTCCTTCAACATGTTAACTGTTGCTTTGTCCCCTGTTTGTCCCCTATATGACAGTGAGCAAACGGAAATGGTATCTTGTGGCTCCAGTGGTGAGGCTTCTCCTTCTTTCTATTTTCCGCTTCAATCTCTGACGCCTCATTCGTCCTTTCAAGGTCGTCATCGCTATCTTGAGACTTGGTACGTCATTCACTGTTCCAAAGAACAAGCGGCGGTCTCTCTGAAGTCGCTTCTCAAAAAACATGCAGTTTCAGCGACGGGTACGTGTCACATTTTTTCCTCTGTCCATACGATGTGCTTATTACATATCTGCAACGCAGCTACAACGGCTACTATGTAAGTCTACACCGTGCATTCCTGCTGTCAGAGTTTATGTGTACATTCGCCACACCATGCTTACCCGCTATCTGCTTTTCTCATAAGGCTACATTACCGTTCATTCATACAGTTCCGAGAACACGTCAGAGTAAGTGTTGTAGTGTTTTCGGCGACCTCCTAGCTGGCGCTTTGTTTGACATCTATGCTTGATTTTACAGTGGCTATTCACGCTTGGTCTGGCTCTGTCGTCCGCAGTGGATGTCTTGATCACCTCGTCGTTGTTCATGTTACTCCGAAGAAGCAAAATGGAAGGAGGGAGGCGAGTGCAAGGATCTTTTCTCGCCCAATGGCATTCTTTACCGTAGTGCCGTACTAACTCTACCGTTCCAGCCTCGATGGTGTGATCGATACGTTGATATTGTACACCTTTGAAACGGGTTCGGTGACCTGGTATGTTCCTATATTTTTTCTAACACTTTTCTTACTACCTACACATTGGCGTTAATCTAGTGCTGCAACGATCGTTTCGATGATCTGTGTATGTCTTTCTCTCAAGAGCCTCATCACCGTATCTGTTCTTATCCTATCCTCATACAGTGGATCTCCATACCGACACAACTCATCTTCATGGCTTTACATTTCATCATTGGAAAGTGTGAGTAGCTCACAGTTGCAATGGTTTCCCGTTTGTTCTGATGGTTTCTTGACCTCATCTTTTCTGCGTCCTGTTCTATCAGTCTATACCATGTCTCTCCTCGTCACGTAAGATTATCTTCGAACTTTTTGTCCCTATTCTCGGTTTCTCATCAAGTTCCTTTATTTGCTCGTCATCATGATAGGCTCAATACACGGCGCGGTCTACGAGATGTTCAATCTAGAGGGTCCTCCTCCGGTCGTGGGCGTACAGCTTTCGTCCTGGATAATCGCCGACCCAAGAGAAAAAGCAAAGACATAGGAGGAGGATCGGACAACGGATATGATCTTGGGAAAGTTACTGAGGTAATCTGACCCCTCCTTCTATACATACGAAGAATACTTCAGCTTACATGGTGTTCGTATGTTTCAGCTCCAGATCAACGTCGAGAGAAGCGTCCAGTACACCAGAGACTCATACACTGAACTGACTAGCGCTTATGGACCCAATACGCCTTAATTTGTAAAATATTCTTTCACATTGGTTATTACTCATTGTGGAGTGGTGAGAGAACTACAGACCTCATCTATTTCAGGAGCTCCATGCCGAAGCCCCAATACTCAGGCTTTTGGCTTCCTATCCTACCACAAGCGCCAGAGCCTTTTTTTCTCCTAACACAACAATCATGAAGCATTTACAATACGGTCATTACTCCAATCTCTCTTTGATTTCCTGTAAAATTTCCACCTATATATATACTTCTATACATCATATCCTATCCTATCATTAAAGATTTCACAATGAATCAACATCTATTGTAGAATCATTCCTCGATTCATTCCATACAAATGTAGTGCTGTTAATCATTGTGATCCACTTTTCGAAGTAGATCAGCCACTCCACATAAACTACACATTATTCTTGAATCACCACTATATTATTTTACCCATCTCCTGGACAATTGACTATGAAAACCGTGAAAATCTTTGAATAACGCTTATTGAAGATTCTGCCCGGACATTTGGGAGATCAAGGCAGAATTACTCATCCAAATCAGCGTCAAACACTTTCCGCGCAACATTGATATCACCGCGACAGCTGCTTGTACAGTCTGTCGGAAACTTGAAATGGCGCTTATAATCGGCCCGTGATTAGAATTTGATTAGATGCCGATTACACCGCAATTGTAATCACATTATGACACATCTGACACTTGAAATGGCGCTTATGATCAGCCCGTGATTAAAATCAGATTAGATGCCGATTATATAATCGCAACAGGATGTTATGATAAGATGATAATCAGATCACTGTACAGCTTTTTGAGTGGACGCTCAATTAGGCAAGGTAGGGATTTCAGACAGGTTTGCCTTTTTTGGCCTCCACAGAAAACTCTTAAACAAAACGTTGTTTCCTTTCTAAATGTCTCGCCATAGGGCTGCTCCTAACACAAATAAACGTGAATGCAATATTTGCCATGGCCTATTTGCTCCACAGACCTTTGCACGGCACCAGACTGCTTGCAAACGCAAAATAGAGGAAGAAAAATCTGCGAGGTTATACAGGATGAGGGAAGCACCTTCTGAAACATCAGGTGAGGCTCTGGAGCTCAAGGAAATATGTATATACTCAGTTCATAGCTAGCTTTTGGCGACACACACCCTGAAGCTCAAGGAGATGACCCCGGCGTTGGCAATTTCGAATCAGATACAGACTTGGAACCTATTTATTTCGACAATTATCAAGAGACTTCCACAAGTATGGAAGGGGATAATCATACTCCTAGTAGGTCCTGTACTTTTATACACTTGGTCTTCTACTGACCATAAGTTACCTACTAAGTTCTCGAAGAGTTGGAATCTGAAGAGTTGGAATCGGAAATACAACTGGACGATATCAAAATTGAATATCATCCCAACAGCGGCCGGAAACCTGTGATTGTACATTTCGATGACTTCGGAAGGAGCGAGGATGTAAACAAAGGATCGATTCCACCAAATCGCACACCATGGCATCCATGGAGGAGCCGTATGGATTTTGAAGTTGCTTCATTAGCGCTTGACTGCCACATGAATAAACAAAAAACCGACCAACTTATCAATTTGATCTATCGCGCTGCCCGTGGTCTTGACGCTTTTACATTAAAAGATCACCAAGAAATCCAGAATACTTGGGACTTAGCAGCTGAACGATTAACAAAGGTTTGTTTTATTAATTTCTCAAAAACAGATATTGATATTTTAACAGTTTCGAAAGACAGAAGTTGTAGTCCGCTATCGTGATCTAGAGCCAGAATCATATGAGCTGTATTACCGACCTGTTTGGGACTGGTTGCAAGAGTTATTACTTAATCGCGATATTGTATCCAAGATGGAATGGGATGCTCGTAGACTCTTCAAATTTGATGGTGGATCTCAGACATGGAAACGTTTCATTGAGGAAGCATGGTCAGCAAATTCATGGTGGTCATTTCAGGTGAGCTCATTAACTATCGCCAGTATAATACTGATCACAAGATACAGAGTAAACTTCCAGCCGGAGCGGTACCACTTTGTGTTGTGTTTTACGCTGATAAGAGCAAACTATCATCGTTTGGTACTGCAAAAGGTTATCCTGTCATTGTTCGATGCGCAAATTTACCCATGGATATCCGGAATGGCTCTGGTATTGCTGGAGGTAGGGTCGTAGGGTGGTTACCAATTGTACGCCTAGTTAGTCAGCTATTTACGCAGTGTTTGACATCAATCTAGGTTTCTGAAGATGCTGCACATAGTGGTAAGGCCGATTTTGTCAATTTCAAAAACGTTGTATGGCATGAATCGGCCGCGAAGATATTCGAGTCCATAGCAGAGTATTGTCGAACTGGGTATACAATGGTTTGTGGTGATGGAGTTCGTCGGTGGATGTATCCTATTGTCCTCATCAAGTCAGCCGATTATGAAGAGCAGTAATTCATATCTATTGTATCCATCGACACGATCTCATGAATATATAGATGTGTTATCTGTCTTACTCGGGGGTTAAAAAGCTTGCACCCATGCGTAAGATGCCCAATTCCACATGACCAATTATTAGACTTTGACAATAAATACCTTGAACGAACTGCGAAGGACACTATCGAAATACTCAATAATGCTAGACAGAAGGCATTAATCTCAAAAGCAGATGAAGAGGCAGAGCTTAAAAAGTATAGTCTGCGACCATGCTTTGTATGTATTAATTTCATCATCGTAACTTACTGGCTGACCTCAATTCAGAATTCCTTCTTCAAGCTCGCCCATAGTGATCCGTTTGCAGGCGTTTCCTTCGACGATCTCCACTTCCAAGACAGTGGGGTTTGGGGCGATCATATATTTGAACATGCAAAGATCCAAATTGATAATCGGAGTGCAGTAACCAAAATTGATAATCGGTTTGTTTTCAGTTCTTCAAAGTTGTTGTATAGCAACAAACTGTCTGTTAGGTTTAAAGAATTTCCTCGCTGGTCCAAACTCAACCATTTCGACACTGGTGTTATGAAGCTATCATTTAATGATGGTAGTAAACACTACGATATATCAAGGGTGAGTTAACGCTAGATTTATTTTCACCATCGCTGTTCATATTACAGATCATTTCTAGCTCTTTTTATTTGCTGCCCATGATGTTATACCAGAAAAGGAGAACAAAGCTGCCTATACGCTTCTCAAAGTCATGCGGAAGTACATCAACATGATCATGTATTCGGGACTGAACGTACAGACTTCTGATACAATAGCACTTGGCCATGGTGCTATCAAGAATTTTGTAGATATGCTCAAGGTTTGTGCTCTTTCGAGAATCTGACAAATCTAATGCTTTACCTACAAATAGGTGTACATATCGCTCTCACCTGATGTGAATAAAACATTCAATGTCATCAAGGTACATTACCACCAGCATCTCTATGATGACATTGAGAACAAAGGTGTTTTACGTGGAATGAGTACCAAACCAAATGAGAAGTTTCATGGCCCTTTACGCAAAATTTACCTTCGACAAACAAATTTCAAGGACACAGCAAAACAGGTATATATTTGTAATTTGTTTCTTATATCTTCTGTGCGTCTAAGATCACCGGATTCTTAGATTGTACGGTTTGAGCATCAGAGCGTTGTTGCCACCCTCATACAGGATGAAATCCAAATACTGGATAGATATGAGCATGGCGATCCAGAGCTCCCATCAGATCTGGAGACACCAATCGACAATGTCCACTTCACATTAGGCTCAAAATTGAAGCCCGTTTCCTTTGCTCAACTTGAGGGTGAAGATCTTATATTTGCACGAATACATATCCGCTTGGCAGAGTTCATGTCAACCTTACTCACAACTGCAACCAACATTGTTCGCGTCACATATACAGCTCATGATACTGTAAGTTAATATTTACAATTCATGGTATATTCTTATCGGAGCATACTTAAAGGTTATTCCATATCAATTCTTGAAAATCCGTTATGAGTCTTTAGAGACCTGGCAGCTTGCAGTTGACATCCTGCGTTGTAATCCCAGCTTTCATGGCCATCCTCGATACGACTACATCATCTTTCGTGGAATTCTGGGGCCAGTCTTTGCCCGGCTGCATTATTTACTCCTTTGTAATGCCTGCAACAGCCAATACCCGATAGCACTTGTGCAAGCTTACAAGATTGTTAATACCCGGTCACGTATAGACAAAGATCTTGGACTTCTTCGCATTCGCAAGGAGCATAACCTAGAATTTATTTCAGTGCGGTCAATTGTCCGGGGAGCAGTTGTACTACCAATATCATCTGAAACTGATGATAAGTTTGTTTGGGATCCTCTGGATGGAGACATGTTTCTTCGAGTAAAAAAATACTTTCCTGGGTTTACAGATGGTAGGTAGATATATCTAGTTTACTTGCTCTCCGCAATTATTATTATGTCATAATCTTGAGATTTTTTGTGGGTCCAAGTTGCCACAAGTTCTCATTCGTCTACTTCGAGTACTCTTCGTTCAACATGTTTGAAGATGAAGGCAATATCTCAGATGCCTCTGATGATCCTGAATTTGTACCATATACACTACCTGACTTGGAGAAGGTTACGATGCATGATTTGCGACAGGTGAGTGTCATTTATTAATCTTGCTTTGTTTTTGTCTCATTTACATTACATCAGGCTCTCGAAAAGGTTCAAGATCAGAATCAGCAGCTCCTTGGTCACAACTCAAAGCTCAGGATGCAAAATTCAGACTTGAAATCACAGCTTGCCCTCGCAAAACGACACAAGCATTTAGGGAAGACAGTAGGAAACGCAGATCCAAATATAAACCATGAACTTGTGGTGAAGCTGGCGAAGAAGTACACTGTGATGGTATATCCTTGGCCTACTTCAAATCTTTTTATGAGCTTTCCGCCAAACAATTTACCTGATCCCGAATCCCCGGAAAGATTCAAGGATGAAAGTGCTTTTGAGGCTGGTCTTATAAACGAGCTCCATCTGTATTTGAATGACCGAGATCTTCGCAAAAAAGCAGCAGAGTATAGTCCATTCCAAAAATCTGTATGTGCTTGTTGAATCTTTTCACGGTGGCACTAATATGCTTTGACTTCCAAAGTTTCTACAACAAGCAAAGCAAGGCCGGAGTTCAGCCCTGCATACAATACGCGAGTGTGCTTCCATTATCATGCAAGGCATCAATGTCGAGGCCGCTGTATGGGTAACCAAAGCAAATTTGTTGCGCCGGAATTCCACAACATTAAGACTTCAGCTTGAATTTCCCGGATCTTCAGCTGTAAATGATATATTTTCCCCTATATTCTATCCCAACGGAATTCGCGATGATACAAAATTGTTCATGAATGATTTTCAACCGAAGGTGCGTATTTCCTTGATTAATATATCTATATAGAGCTCAAATGTATGTAGATTCTTCGCGCTATCTTTTTTAACAAACAATCTCTTACTCTTGACCAATATTCCTTCAATTATGGATCGTCACTCACTGGGATGCTTTGGGGCGTGAAAAGTGTCAATGATTCATCTATTGCACTATCTGCAATTCTGGTGTGTTTACGCTGCATTTGAATAAGCTCAACATTAATTAACTTATTGTTTAGGTGCGATTTCTTCTTTCAGACGACACCGAGTTTGTTCCCATTGGCAAAAATTCGCAATTAAACTATAAAAAGAACTTCTACTCGTATCGTGCATTCTTAAATGGCTCAAAAGGCACCAACTATATCAAGCAGCTCTATTCCTTTTTCAATCAGCGTGTTTTTCTGGGAATGCCATCAGCAGCAGTATGTTCCACAAATGATGACCACGAAGATGATGCGGTTACTCAGGCATTGCTGGCAATCAGACTTGCTGATTCACGCCCTGCGGATACATCATGTATGTATAGACTTATCTTCTTTAACCTTTGTCTACTTATGTTCATTTTATCTTAGCACTTCCCAGCATTCCGATTAATATTGACACAGATTTAATTCCCACTCAATTCACCGCAATGGAGGTTGAATATATAGACGAAAGCTGGCCTCCTGAGGACAATTTAACTGAGATTCCTCAGAACATGAGCAATGGTAATGTTCAGGATCGTGGTCGTGGTCGGGGTCGGGGCAGGAGTCGGGGTCAGGGCCGGGGTCGCAGTCGCAGTGATAGTCAAATCCAAAGTCAAGAGGCATCAGCGCCAGCTCCAGTCCGCACCACACGGAACCGGAAACGGGTAGTATAGAACATTCATAGTCATATCGATAGGAAAGCTCACAAAGATGTATATAAGTAAAAACTGAGCAAACCGTACCTGAGTGATACACATGATATATTAACTGAAGGGTTTTTTATAACAATGTGTATTTAGTGTAGTGGTAATATTGTATTTGATAGTTTGTGATTGTATCTATGTAATGTCTTGAGTTCGATTCCCCATTATAACTACTAATAAGTTTTCCTCTCCAGTATCAGTTTGATTATGTAATACAGTAAGTACTTGTCTTCAATGAAATGAATAAAGCACAATGGAAAGAGAATGAGCGCCTGAGTGCCGATATATTTATTAATATATCTTCTAAAGGGTTTATAAGCGCTTGCCTTCGCACAAGGCTTAAGAGCGCTTATGCTACTCAATTAGTAAAGAATGCTTATGATTTTCTATGAAGGTTTAGGATCCGGCATAATCGGCAGTTCGATTATGGGGTTTATGAGCGCTTACTGCTGCTTACGGGCGAATTTTAATGTTTCCGACATCATCTATGGCTCCTTTATACACTCAAATTTTCTTATGCTTCGGAATGACTCATATCACAACTAGAAAGAAATCTGACTACATAGGCACAATGAACTAACTTAATAGATGAACATTCTCCACTAATATGATTTTAGGAAGTGGACTTTTGTGTTGCCAGAACATTATCAGTCCAAAATGTCGTTATCAAGAGAAATCGAGTCCTTTAGACACCCGTCACATCACAGTGTGATTTCTTTATTTGTTTTATCAGTCCATTTAGTTATGTGTCAACGGTCTGACTGACCATTGATTTGATGAGTGTGATGTGACTTCCTTGACCTCCTCGTTCACCTCTGTTCTATTCCTCATACATTGCAGCCTCGATTTGTATATTAAAACTGCATGATGCTTGTATAATTAGTTTATCTTATATTTCCTACAATTTTTGCTGAAAGATTGTCTAAATACTTCGAATTATACATCTATCTTCGCCTTTATCCACTATTTTACCATATTTCTGTTTCAATGTAGCTACATATACTCTTCGGAGACATTCACCCCAATGGACAAAGTATTTTTAGGCATAAATCTCAAAACTCCGAGGCCAAAAACTTTTGAATTTCAGTTTTCCGATGTGTTTGTATAAAGGACCTCGGGTGTATAAAGGACCCATAGATGACTGTACTTGTCATCGTTCCACTTTCGGCGAATTTAAGCCCCGACATTCCAAGACCTAGGAACGTTCCTACATCACATCTTAAAGTCGATATACACCGTACCTTGCTGAAGCTGTAGAGAAGAAATAACTCGCAGATTGCCACGACCACGAATTCACGAGCAATTGCGTGCCTCAGCAATCGACCGCATAAGATAAAACTCAGATAGTTGTCATCCTGTATATTCACAAAGGGCAGTGTCAAAAGATACTATTGACTCAACAACACGAAAAGACATACACAGAATCTCTTACTCATTCAGATAAGTCAAAAAAAAGCAGTTTCGTTCCCATCTTCACAGGATTTGAACTTTTTCGGGCCTCCCCCATGTAATGATGAACACTTATGATTGTTCATAGTGTAAGCAACAAGATAACCTCTCCCGGGGTATCTTGTACGAATCGTGATTCCTGCCGCGAAAAATGATCGAAGATAAGAAAGTGCTTAGAAAAGCGAAGGACTTGTATTCTAATGTTAGCGAAGGTTTCGACAGAAGATTTTCCAGGCTCGGTGTGAAGACCTGCCCCGGACCTGCCCTCGAAGGAGGAACGTGCTTGAAGTTTACTTGGGAATAGTCCTTCGACGGCGCGTATGAGGAGGGGGTCGAGAGAGTACGAAGAATGGGAAGGTGGAGGAGGGTGAGTAATAGAGAGAGAGAAAGGGAGGAAAGTTGTTTGAGGGGGGTTAACCGTGTATACCGACGTAGATATTCTAGAGATAAAGGGATAGGGAAAATTCTAATCAACGCTGCCGGAGTCAGCAGACATGAAGACCTACTGCCATCGCCGCCATCCACGTTCATCGGCTTCAACATTGCCAAAGACGTCTCTTCGTCGTGCGTCTTTTCCATAATGAGCGACTAGTTACTGCTGATAAGGCGTGTATAATCCTCCGGACTTTCAGCCGAAGATCGATAACTGTGTAGGATAAAATTCATCTTCTTCAATGTCATGATCAGGCAGATGGTTAGTATACGATGAGTATGTTAAGAGAAGTCTAGAGTAGGATCTGGCGGCGAAACCTAACCCTACCCGCGGCTGCGTGTGAGACTCGAGAATTGCGTTACGTAGTACATATTCTCTCCTTCGACCAGTCCATCGCTTTCAGACAATAATCGCAATATATGATCCAGAAGCAAATTATCTGAAGCATATCTAAAACATATCCGGACCCACTACGAATACTGTACCCCTGGCCTCTTCATGGAGCTCATGGATTTCAATTTTCGTCCGGACTCAACCTCGAAACGCCTGGCTGTATCTAGCATGTAGCACAATTGGTTAGATCCGATGATAGCCGCCGGTCAGCTAATTAATCCAGCTTTCAGAATGAGTTCGTCCTACGGGAAAGGAATCAGTGCTGATCAGCTTCGCACGCAGAGAAACTGAAGGGGGCTAGGAAGGAAGATAGTGCGGCAACATGTTGAAGAAATAACTCACTAGGATTGGAGCTACGAACATGATCATAATCTCTTCCGCATCGTTGTGGGATACGAGTGAGCTTATTATAGCTGCCTTGGTATCCATATGTCTCATTATATCCTCCATTTCCTGCGTTCCCGCGTTCGGCCCCAATTTCCTGTTGTCTTCTCATTCCACTTCCAAACACCATTTTGTTCCCATTAAAGACGTTACCATAATTTTCTCGTATTGAATTATTGCTATAGGAGTTGACGGAACTGTTTCCAGAAATGTTGGTGACTGATATGTTTCCGTGAACGGTGGCGGATCGGGAGAGAAGAGGGCTGAATGGGTTATTGGGATTTCCGACAAGCTCCGTTGTATTTGCGCGAGATGGGCGGTGCGAGGAAAAGGGGGAGTTAGGCTCAGAAGATATGGGTGAGTCGACATAAACAGGTTTTCTGGCGTTTTCCTCTAGATGCTCCTGAATAGTCATTAACTTTTGGCGAACAGCTTCGTGGCGCTTGGTCTAAAAAGCAGATCAACACCTATAAACGCTCAAGATGTTTTGACGCGCGAGGACGTACAGCTTGTTGTTCAATCTGCGCAACAGCACTCCGTAACGTGATGAGGGATTGGATCTAACCATTCAGCGTTAGCGTACACCATTGGTGTATATCCGATTATGATTATACCTGGAATTTTTCCGTGGCCTCGTTTAACCGATCTCGGAACTCCTGAATTGCGTTGAGATCCGACCTGGACGCGATGACTTTTCGCAATTTTCCTCTGTTTTTCAGATCTTTAATCCATCCTTCAATACTGTTGAGTATTCTGATGGGGACCAAGTTATTAAGACACACACAGCTCGAACAACAGCACTCACTGTATCAATTCATCTACTTGTTTTTGTAGAGTGATATCTGACGAGAAGAGTTTTGGCGCAACAGTCGAACAGGCATCCGCATTCGGTGACGATGAATGTAGCTCTTCGTAGGTAGTTGTGATCGAACTGGCTAAGTTACATGCCATTGACGCCAATTGGGCCAACACTTCTTGGTTTTCTTTAGCACCCTATACAACAATTTTAACGGGGAAACAAGAAGACGATGAAGGGTAACGACGTACCTGCACGGCTTGGAATATGTTGAGTGCAACAACTGATAGAGTCCCTAGATATGGTGTTGGCGCATACTGAGCAGCACTTGTGAGTGTCTGTAGGACATGCTCTGATATGTCCCATGCGACTGAAGCCAATGACGAGGAACGTCGAGGGGGGACTTGATTTATCATAACTTGCTGGGGAGTAAGGTTCTCGCTGGCATCATCTATGTTCTTCTTACCCATCCTGTATATATAAGATAGATTAATACACCGAGGCCGGGGTCCCACCATATTTCAACAAAGGAGTGTCCTAATGAGTCTAATTCAAATTGACGCCCTGGACGCTATGCAAGTGTAAAAGTCCACTACATATTAGTGTTTACTGTCAATTGATTCTCATCCGAATGTCGGTACTATGATCCGTTTCATGGGAGATGTGTATGTGTATACATATCAGCCTCTTCACTAGTAGCAGGTGTGGATTTATACTACCATCACTCACTCACTGGCAGTGGTAAGAATACACAACAATGTTCACTGTTAGCTGTTGGGATACGTATGTAGTACATCTACAAGCTGTCATAATAGCAATGATTGAAATCATAAATGACACAATGAACTTTTCACAGCAAGCCCTTACTTCACCCTTGCCTTCTCTCCCCATTCATTCGGAGTAATAGCCAAGAAATCAACAGTCTAGCAGTCGCAGTTGCAACTCAGCTCGGGTTTGTCAGAAAGAAGTTGAGATCTTGGATGTCAAATCAGAGATGACTGAGCAACATTTTGTAATTTTCATTACTAATAATATAGGCTGTAGCCACTGCTATTTTTTGTCTGGATAAAAATTGATTGAGGCAACCCACTTGTAGTGGGACCCTGCATTTTATTTCTAGTGAAATTTCCAGCATGTTCCCCTTTTGGGAAAGCCGAATAGACTGCAGTGTGCTTGGTGCTTACATTCTGTTATTGCAGAAATAATTCATAAACTGATAAGTATCTATCCTTGCTGCAAACCTTATCCCAAAGAATCAAACCCTTCTTATTTTCAGTTATTCTTCACAAGCAATCCTGAGTGGAATTTCTCTGTGACTAAGGATTTTTTGAAGCAGTATTGAGAACTACGTGTGAGACAAAAAAACTGCATGGATTCACCTTGGAAACAAAGATAAACAAAGAACCTGTGGTCCATGAGATCATTTGAGCATTGTGTTCTCTTTCCGTTCCAAGGTTTTTCCATGCAAACCAATTATTAGCTGTTGCAGCATGTTTTACATGATATGAAATCTTAAGTTGACCATTCCATTGTTACTGCATAAGACTGGATGATTTCCGCTTTGCCTCCATCCAAGTGAGGAGCTGGCTGCTAACCTGCAAAACCTGGATTTCACCAGATCAAGGATACTGGCTGGAGAGTGCTGTCTGGCACTGAAAGTACTCCCAGCTGCTGGGAGCACTTTCCCAACGGGAGAGTGCTATTAGTTGCTCCCCAGTTATGAGTTGAAAATCGTTACAGATCATGATGTAGTCAATGTATATACTCCCGCAGCAAAACATGTAATTGTGAGTCGATTGCCTGGGGGTAACTGAGAGCTGAGTAGTGAGAACTTCCAGAGCAGGTTTTTGAACTATTTTAAGTGCTTTTTTTGCAGCTTGAACAGTGCTTCCAAGTGCTTTTGGCTATTAGGTGAATTTCTAGGGTTTTGCAGATGTCTCTGACATAAACATCTGACCCAGATTTTGACCAGCCAGTGAATTTCAGTTATTGTTACACCAATAGCTGTATGAAGCTTGATGTTGAAGCAGAGGGGGGTTGCATAATTAGATGACACTTATTGGTGGTAGTGGCTTTTGTAAGGCAAGGGTCAGGTTTATCAAAAAAATTCTTTTGTCCAGCATTGTATGTAGCCTTGGGACCTCCAGTGGTCTGCGTGCAAGAGCATTGAAGGAGTATTGAAGAGAAAATTCTCTACTCAATGCTGACTGTTGATGCATCAAATTCCAAAATTGAGGAATAATTTTTGCTGACAAGATTGAGCACAAAATCCTCATTCAGCAATGATGTTTTGACTCGAAATCGGGCTCGGATTGAGCTTGATTTCAGTGAAGCCCGCTGGTCGAGACACCGATATTTTCGGGCTTCGTAGAATAACAGCTTTCTCACAGCTTTGAGCGCCAAGCAATACCTGCACACCAACGCGCTAGAACTGTTAACAGCCTTTGACGCCTGAACAACAGCAATAGTCCGAAAATTCCGCACTGTACAGGAGTTTCACCGCTTATACAGTAAATGTGAAACAAAGTTACTCACTGAGAGGTGTTCTCAAGCAACCCTGCAGGCATATTGAACTTACTCTTGCTATCCTCTTGAACCAACCGGAACACTGTCAGAATTTATTGCTTGCTGCGGTCACCCGTTTCGAAAAAAGGAGGAAATGCTACATCGATGATAGCTCTCCTGTATCATTCTCGTAACCCCATCACCTTCTCAACACTCCTTGTTATCATGATATCATGTAACATCATCATGTCGCCGGAAACATTTCTGGAAAGAACCTGGAATCAACAACACAGCACACTACGGTACAGGAATACAATACGTACTAGATCACAAAATAACAACCAACCTCCTCACTAACTCACTTCCCCTTCCTCGCTTCAACCGCTCCCGGAGCCTCTCCTGTAACATTCCTCCAATGCCCCTCCTTGTCCTTCTTCCGGACTGTGAAACACGCGATACCCATAAAGTTCGTGATATCACCGATCACAAGAACGCAAAATCGCGCATAGGCGATGAAGGAGATGAGAAAGGTGGTGTAGACGTAGAGAGTGGTGAGGAGGGGTGTGGATTGAATTATCGGGGATCTGATAATGTCAATATAATGAGTAAGTAACCGAGTAATCGTAGAAAAAGAAATTCGTTCGATGAAAGGACGTGAAACTCACGTTCCAGCAATCCTAGGTAAATTCGCATCTACGGCTCCAACGAGACTCAGGACCCATAACCAGTCCCATACTGGGAACGACGTTTTCGTGAGGTGGGCTAATATCATTCTCCCGACTTGATGAGCGAATTGGAGGCCCCACGCGCAGAGGAACGGGATGAACAGTGCGGAATTGCGGATGGTGAATAGTTCTAGTTCTCCGGAAAGTGACGGGGTAGGGGAGTTCGAAGGAAGGAACGAGGGTGAGTGGATTTTGAAAACACCACCTCCCGGTCGCGAAGTGGTGCTGCTGAGCTCGGGATGACTGAGCCACGCCACCTGGATTCCAGCTGAGAATAAGAACGGCAGTAAAAGGAGAAGGGGTTTCGTCCTTGATTTCCCGGAAGCACGCATCGCAGTACGAACGTTAGCGTAGCTGCTGAGGATGTTGAACGCTAATCCGAACGCGCCGAATACCATGAAAGAGACGTTTAGGCCGATGTTCGGGAAGGTGCTTGTGATTAAGGGAATATGGGAGAGGTGGAGGAAGTCAAAAATGGGGGTGTCCCAGAAGGATGGACCTTGGGACAAGGCAATGGGTTAGGCTGGGGAGGAGAAGAGTGGTTGATGTGAGGATACGTACCGTAGACGCCGGTGATCATGTATATAACGACGAGAATCAAGATTCCTTCTACGGGTCCGGAGAAGACGCCGAGGTAAAGGAAGCCTCAATGAAAGTTAACGTTCAGTGATAAGCCACAGAGGTAAGGCAAGCAAACGACATGAAAGTAATAGAACGAGCGAATAGGAACCACGATAAAGGACAAGATACACACCGGTATGATACTCCTCCCACGTCGTCAGATAGAAATTGGCCAACGTAGCTACTTGGGAAGCTAATGTCCACCAGGACCGACCGAGATTGAGAGCTTGAGAGACGAGTATTGCCTCAAGCTAGGTGAGTAACGATGAGAGGGGGAACGACGAGATCAGAAGATGAAGACGAACGAACCGTGGTGTTCATAGCATCACAGCCTAGGTGAGGATAGTCAGTTAAACGTCGCGTTTTCGAGTTGATCTGGGGGACGTACCATGGTCAAACATTTCTCCCAAAGGTCCTGCCATCCCAGTTCTTCGCGCTTGTTTCCTGGAGGGACATCGATAAGTCGGAAATGATGAATGATTGATTGAAGAATCGAGAAGAATGATGAACACAGGGATGGAGGAGCAGAAAGACCGGAATAACAAACCCATCAGCAGCATCAAAGGCTTGGTACAAGAACAACCCGATACCCCATCTGTGCTTGCGGTTAATACATGGAGGAGTTGAGATTGCAAAGACATACGTGAAATATATCCATTGAGGAATATAAACCCCGCCTTTTTCCGTCAAATAACTCGGGTCGTAGTACAGAAGCGTGAAAAAGTTGAATATCACGATACAGAGTCCGGATAGCGTTATCTATACGCAGTGAGTTAGTATTCGCAGCTTAAAACTAACGGTCGGTGGACGCACAGTATTAGGTGCTATAGATAACGGGAACAGTGTAACGAACCACGTCCAGAATGAGTTCATAGCGTATTTGGACAATATAGATCTGGAATGTACTTATATTAGTTAAAATATCAGGATATAGTGCCAGTGGTGAAGAACGTACTTGTCGACCCCTCTATACGTGTATTTTTTGAGACTTTGAAGAGATTCATCCGACAAGTAATTCCCCATCGTTTTCCTTCCTTCTAGTCCTTTTTTCGTTATAGTCCTTGAAGGTCGTTCGCGGCACGCGATTCGTCAGCTGTGGGTTTCGTTGCGAGGAAAGAATGAAAGAGGTTGCCCAGATTACGCGGTACAGATACAAGCCGACGCGTTGCTCCAAATGACGAACGTGCGCGATGTTTGCTGATGATAAACAAGACAATACAACACTCGACTCAGTATAAGTTGTTGAACTAAAGAATCAGTTGACGGTGCATGTAAGACCCTGAAGTTGCGCAACGAGTAGTGAATATTGAATATCAGAAGTGTAAAACAAAACATGAATACAAGGGTACTAGATTGAGCGAAAACAGATAGTAGGGAACACGTCGCAAGGGAGTTGTTCATGTGCATCGAATCCATCGTGGTTCTCCGAAATTCTCCCGGACCAGTGCCAATCTCTTGACGTCTGCGATATATTCTTCATTCCGACTCATAGCGAGAGTCTCTTTTGAACTATTCTGGCTGATCATCACAGTGACATACGGCTTTTTCTTGAGGACGAAAAAGTCTAGATAAGGCGAATACCCGAATCCCCTGCAAGTCACAAGGATCAATGAATATGCACATGGGGAGGAGTTAGTAGAAAACTTAAGCTTACGGTTGCTCCTTGCTCAAATACTTGTTACGGAATTCTTTCGCCCAAGGTACCCTCACATGCTTAGGCCAGTAATTTGCCATGTCCCATTCACATTCCGGGTAATACTGATCAATTTCTTCCATCGGAAGGCACCAGCCAAAGTTATACAACGGGGTTATGTGGCCACATGAGGGTTCTAGGACGCCTTCTTGGGCAGGGTGTTCCCCAATTGGAAGAAATTTCTGGTGAATGCATTTCCTGGAAAACAGAAAGGTAAGTAAGCCATAGATCTAGGCGTGTTCACCCACCGGACGCTTTGTATGTTGGGTTCCATAGTGGAATAGTTGACGTTCAATTAGTATATAGGATCATCCCACGGTCATAATCTCGAGGCCCTGGTGTAAGCTGCGATTTTGCGTCCAGAAGCCGATCAGAATCATCCGAAGAACGAAATTTAGAGGCAACAAAAAGTCATTTCTCAGAGTGACGGAATGAACAGTGCGGAATTGCGGATGGTGGATAGTTCTGGTGATGGAGTAGGGGAGTTTGAAGGTAGGAACGAGGGTGAGTGTATTTTAGATACACCACCACCACCGGGTTGATCGTTGTTGTCGAAGTGGAATCATGCTCAGGATGACTGAGCCACGCCACTTGTATTCCAGCTGAGAACAAGAATGGTAATAGCAGGAGAAGGAGTTTCGTCGTTGATTCCCGGCAGCATGCATGGAAGTACGAACGTTAGCGTAGCTGCTGAGGATGTTGAACGCCAATCCGAACGCGCCGAATACCATGAAGGAGACATTTAGGCCGATGGTGAAGATGGTGTTAGTGATCGTTTGATAGTCGTTCGCGGTACGCGATTCGTTTTAGCTCTGGTGCTTGTTGCGAGGAAAGAATGAAAAATTGGGGGCGGTGTGGTGTAGTGGTGGCATCACACAAGTTTCGCACTAGAATCTTTGACATCCGCAAAGTCTCTAGTTCGAACACCGCCCTGGGCATATGGTCCTCGTGCCCAAATCAGCACCACAGGGAGTTATAGTGGGTAGTCTTCACCTAATCACTTGATTAGGCTGGTTGATAGTCCCACACTACTGGCTGCCGGGAAAACTGTACCGGGTCCCAGTGTGCGTAAATGCATTCTTCCTTGGAGTTGATCATTCCGGGACTGTTACTGACCAATCACAAGGTCATTGATCCTTGTATCAACCTGCGTAGACCTTGGAGACGACGGCTTAGTGCGGCTGGCTATATGCCAGTGTGTCGGCTGCCAAGGCTCTGTAATAGCGCACCTCCAAAAAAAAAAAAAAAAAAAAAAAAAAAAAAAAGGTCACCCAGACCTCCAGCAACTCGGACCTTTCCTCGACAATCCACCACTCGCCGTCTTCAAACCATCAATCACATAGGAAACCCGCATCTTCAGCGCTTCAACTTCGAGTTCCTGATATCGCATTCAGTGATCCGCAACCAATCACCCCACCGCCACCTTTCTGCTTTCTTTAGGATCTGCTCTAGGGGTTCATTCGCAGGGAAGAGATCAAGGAAGAAGAGGGGAAGGGAAGAGGAGGTGAGAGAGTATGTGATGATGAAATGAATGTGGCTTGGTACAAGCTTGAAGACACGGTCACCGGCAACTTCTCGGAACAAACTAATGAACGTGTATGAAGATGGCGCCGCCGTTTGGCTCAAAATATAATCAAGAACCACCTTGGCTTTCTTCGGCCTCTGGTGTTCCTCAAGCTTCTTCGTGAATGCTCAAAACTTTGGTACTTCAGTTCTCAGGTCACTCAAGCTCAAATGCCAGGATTCTTTTCCTCCAACACACGGTCAACGTCCATCATTGCAGCGTTCATCATTACATCTGACTCGCAAATTGCCAAAGTGTTCCCACGCACACCATCGGAAATGTCCCCACCGAGCAATCAGCCGCAACCGCCATCTCGAATACACACATTTTGTTGACGTCGACATGGCTATCCATCATATCGCCTTTCCTGACAATAATTCACGCATGCGTTCCTGGAGTACTGACCTTTGCCCATTGAAAATATAATTAGGAAGGCATGTATGATGGTCATCTATGAGGATCGGATACGAGTTCGTGGTGAAGGTTCAATACAATCCTTCAAGCTTCAAGTTGTCAAGTCCAAAATATTTGACATTGAGCTTGGTTGGATATGGTCTTGTGATATATTCTGGTGGCCGCAAGAGCGTTAAGACATCAAAAAAAGAGATTCTAGAATGCGGTTACTCCGAACAAATCTTACACTCCAGGTACACTACATACTCCAGGAACCCCAATATCTCATCATCATCATCATCATCGTTGAAGGTTCGGAAGCGGAGGCAATTTCGATATCATATCATGTATGTGGCACGTTCTTCCACTGTTAGTACTCTGGCAGATAGATAGATGGTCAAGATGAACAATGTCACTTTTATTTCAGGCCCATGCTTCATGAATGATATTGATGATGCTGATTCACCAAGGTAACTGACTTACTGGCATTGCCATATCACTATAATCACTGTCTACCCTCACTTGAAACTGGTTTCCTCCCCTCCCTTTCCACCCATTCTCTGTTTGTTTTGGTCTCGTAATTCTTCATTCCATTTTTCCACTAGACCAACTGTCCTTTTGCTGGTCAATAGGAGAGATGTATTATCATTCTTTTCTATCGTGAGTTTGTTTCCCAGTTCTTCCTTTAATCCCTTTCGTCGCTAACCAAACATTGGTGTATGGATTGTGTAGCACCCTTATTCTCATTCTCCTCACGGCGCCGCTTTCGCAATGTATTCAATTCTCTCACATCACACCGTCAGCTGGGAATAACAATTCCTCTTCCTCTTCCTCTCTGATGTTGAATTGGATACGAGAGCCACATGATCCATCATTCTGGGCCCTTAATGCCATATTCACTGTTAATGGAAAACTTTCAGCATCAAATGGGTTAGGCTTTGAGTTTATTGCTGTACCACACTCTCCTGAAGAGTCTGGAATGATACAGATTCCTGTACAAGCCACAGCGTAAGTGCACTTGTCTTGGATCTCATTATTCATGTTATATACACCGAGTGATTTGATACTGACAGAGGACTGGTTTTTTTTGTTAGGAATATCACACTCTTGACTTTCACCTTCAACTTACCGTAAGTATAGAAAAAAAAAACTTTCTTTTCGAGCAGTGGGGGAAATAATATTTATTCATCGTTTATATAGCCAGCATTCAAAGTTCAGTGGGGAGATTTTTGGACAACCATTCACATTCAATGTGGTGACGGAGGGGAGTTCCATGCCAAATATTAGTCCTGGTATTTTACCACCTATGGTTCAGAAGTAAGAGAAGTCCCATCTTTTTTTTCTGCTTGACATGGATATCAACAATTAATCTTGTCTTCTCTTAGGATGTTGACACCACCCCCCGCCACGTCCCACAAAGTCGCAACAATCGTTGGTGCTGTCATAGGCTTGATAGTTTTCCTATCCATTATCCTTGCCTTGTTTGTACTCCGACGACGTCGTCATCGCCGCCGTGCTCGGATTGATGCTGAAACATTTTTGAGAGAGCGTCATGCACTGTATAGACCTACGAGTCTCCCACCTACGTTGACCACATTCGATGAAGAATGTCATCATGGACTTGAAGAAAGTGTTGGTCATTCATCCACTGCTTGGTCCGAAGGTGGTTCTGAGAAAGAACCTTTGTATGGCTATCCAAATGATTATCTGGGGCATGCAACTACACATATCTCACCATCGTTATTCCGGAAACCAGATACAGTTTCTACACCTACTCCCAGGGCTAGGTCGCTGAACAACAACTCCATCTCATCACGGACAGAAAAACTCGGAGATGATTCTACCTCCGAGTCAGTCCCATCCCTAGCACTACCGATTCCCCAGAATTCTCTTGCTCCGAATCGAACACTAATATATCTACAATCCCCTCATTCCCCTTCCCCTTCTTATTTATTTTTGCCTCAGTCAGATCAGGGCTATAGCATTGAACAATCACTTGCACAGCTGCGAGGTAGGATGAAATTGTTGTTGAAGCAGCTTGACTCGGAGTCCCTGGAGAGTGATAGGGATAGTACATATAGGATTGGGGATGAGGCGGAGATGATACAGATTAAACTGGAGATGGACAGATTGCAGCGTATTTTGGATTCGAAGTAGGAGTGAGAGATGGTTCCATACAATGGATAATGGACTTCAAGCATACCGTGTAATATGTATGAAGTACAAAGAACAACAATTTGAATTGGCGGGGGAAATTTTCACACTTGACCCTTTGAACTATTATAGTGCTGTGGTCTGAAAACAGAAGCAAGCTCCCAGTGTTCATCCATGACCCCAATGTCTGGCATCTGCAAACACGAGACTCCGAGTCGATGAACCCCCACCCACTCCCAACAACATCGCCTCCTGTTAACATAATCCATATGCGGGCTTGATACTCAATTAATACGCGTCCACCATTATTGCACAAAGGATTGCACATGGTCCATGGATGTAATTCGGGAGAAGAGTGGAGTTCGGGTTTTGGTAACAAAAGGGATACGTGGGAATACCAAATCTTCTGGACATTCCTTCAATTCCAAACTTGATTGATTGTTCGTTGCATCAACCATGAACCATATGATAAACATTCTGCTCCCGGCAGCAAAGCGGTTGCTACTAAGTTCATTATTTCTAGTTCCCATACGGAATCTATCATTGGAAACTTTCATGGATTTAGGTGCAAGACTGGTCACAAGTGATATCCTGCTATCAGGTACTACCGAGGCGAATATTCTATTCATTTTCAAATGTACGTGTTTTTTTTGTGATGCCTTACAACATATCAATTTATGACACCTGTTGACAGAATTTAACAGATTATTTTGAGAGTGACGAGTGTTGCAGATGCTGCTCATGCTCATATTGCTACATATTATATTACGAATGATTTGATTGGGAGAAGTCGGAGGATTCAGGGTTCCGAGTATTGATAAATAAGTATTGTAAAAACTCCGGGTTGCTGGCGGTATACTAGTGATTCCAGACACCTTATCCTTATCAAACACATATGTACTCTGTATTTAGTCACTCTTACATCAAGACCATGAATCACGGTCCCAAACGTGGCACACAAAGGTAGTATCAGCCTTATATAAAATGAGTATATAAATGAAGAGTTTGGATTTCCATCCACTCCCAAGTTCGAGCTCCCATCACTCTAACCACTCATAGGCTTCTGAATCCAAAATGTTCATAAGGCTCTACTCCGCTATTTTTTCTGCTTGCATTATAGCCGTAGCTACGGCTTCTGTCAGTAAGTAATACTCAATCTTTGTCCTTAGAACCACTGCTTTTAGATTTGGATCGTTCCCTGTGTTTTTTTCTGGTCTAACATCAAGACTTGCTTACTTGACTCTTTCTCCCTCCCTCTCTCTTTGACACAGTAACTGACCCTCCCGCAATCCCCCCTGCAACGGAAACTGAGTTCCCCCCCAGTACACTCACCTCCGTAACTTGTCTTGTATGCTGAAAGCCTGGAGAAACAGACATGTAAGTGTCTTGTTTATCAGAGTTCTAAATCTGAGCAGTTGGTCTTTGGTCTGATTCTATGCAGATATCAATCTTCCAGTACAGAGTCAAAAAACACCAAAGAGCAACTGAGCATAGAAATTGAAGGTGGAACTTTGACTCATAAGAGTGAATTTGGAATGATGATAATTACTGAATTGAATATCTATATAGCACATGAATTCAAGGATGTTTGTTAAAATATTTTCTCAATGGAAAAACCTGGAGGGGTATGTTGTCAGAGTCAGAACAATGGAGCTAGTGGTTTTGATGATTACACTGTATGTGCGGTGTTACTAACTACTGGTTAAAGACAGAAGGAAATGTAAGAGAACTTGAGAGCAGCTGGCGCTCTCCCGGAGTCCGGCTATCAAAGCACCCAGAACAAATATTTTTTGAACTGCTTCAAGTGCTTTGGTTGCTGGCTGCTCTCAGCAAATAGCTCAGATGTATGAACCAACTAAGATAGTAAAAATTTGGAAGATCTCATGTTGAACTACCCCGACAAGGTCAGTACTTAGATCTCAGACCTAAGAGTCAATGGACCGGTGGAGTTGTACACAAATGATTTTCGACTGAGTGTATGCCACTGTAGGGTGAGATACAGTGGATGCAGAAGAACTTTCTGAATGATAATGGGATATTTTGCTTGAATGCCCAGTTCACCATACTACTGCACCATTACATGAACATCTATATCTCTTGTACATCTATGGAACACACAAATGTATATATTAGGCATGACAATCTCCCTCATGATTGTGGTTTGCAGAAGTGTTGGCATACATGAATGTAACACAAATTTAACTCATCTAGGGGAATTCAAGTTTGCGAGGTTGAAACACCACGGGTATCGGCTTGGCCGGGCTGTTTGGTCTATTAGAATAGGATATGAAACCTTTACAGAATATGGTCATCTCACGCTAGGGTTAGTATATTTTTAGCATGTATCCCTGTAATATTCAAAGAAGAGGGCCTATGCTTCTCGCTCCCAACCACTCGATAGTTCTTGATGATTAATATCATTGTGGTCAGTGCTTCGATTTCGAAGAACCTGCCCAGTACATATTCAGGCATTCATTAAGCTGGTAACATTAATAATCAGCTTACCTTCTGCCCAAACAGGCACGGCTTCCTATGTAGGATAAACATATCTAATTGGAACGGATGTGTGGACGACTGATAAAGGTAACACCATACCTAAGCCATATGGAAGAAAGGCATCCCGAGACCAGTCTCCAAGAAACCGTTTCGGAGCAAAGGTATCTGGTTGGACCCAATAGTGGGCTACAGAACTATAAGACTGTATTTCTCGAAGGATGAAGTGCTTACAGTTATAGTGTAGCCCAACTATATCAATGTATACATCTGTGCCTTTGGGTACGGGAACAGGGTGGCGAGATCCATTACTACTGGTTACTGTGACAACTGTATCCGCCATACTGCACTTTGGAATAACATTTACAGGTGGATAGAGCCGTAGTGTCTCATATAGAATTGCCATGGCAAGTGGCACTTCAGATATGTGGTGGTATGAAAATTCCCTAGAGCCAACAACGGTCTCGATTTCTTGAAAAAGCTCCTCTTGTATATCTTGATGCAAAGACAGTAGGGTGAACAGGAAGCTCAATGTGTGCGCACTGCCCTGTGAAACATTTATTTGTTGAAATCAAGAACTGTGAGGTAGTTAAAGCCTTTACCTCATGCCCAGCCAAGAGGAAGATGAACATATTTCCTGCAGGAACTCCTCACTTAGATATACACAGATGTAAACCTGGAAAGCTTCATACCTCGTAGTTCTGCATCTGTAAGTAAATTTTGGGCGTCTATTTCAGAATCTTGGTTGCATGCTAAAAGCAATGCAAAGAGATCATTGCTAAGTTCTGTCTTGTTATATTGCTTCTTTGATATCATGTCTGTCATATAGATCTAGCAATGTATTAATTATCATCAATGCCAGAATGTAGTAATGTAAGGACAAACATTCATGTCATTGAATGCTTTGTTAATTGCACAGTACCGGGGATGGTTCTCCAAAACCCACCTAGGGAACCCTATCTTGACCCACATATTGTTAGCCACGATATGGAGGGTGTCCTGGAAGTTTATCGAATGAGATTTGTTGGATATTTCAGCAATATCAATGCCAAATGCTAATTGAGAAGATTAGAATGCTGTATAGGCTCGCAATATGAAGAACATACCAGCCGTGGCCATAACAGAAAGTGATATCTGCTCAGCATTATAATGTAAGTCATGTTATAATACCAATGCTGAGGCGTACCTTATGAGTGAGATTTTGAATCAAGACGTGTGTTGCTGATTGGTCCTTCCACAGCTCGATTACGGTTTTCTGAAGAATGTCGTTGGTACATTTCCAAACGAGCTCGTTGTTTTTCTGGCGCAAATCACAGATTATAAATGAATGTCAGGTATCTGTGATGACTGGAATGATTGGCATACCTCTGAGAATGCTGTGGCTGAAATTCTTCGGAATCTTTTCCAGTCACTGTCTGTGGCAGATATGATGTTTGGACCAAAAGCAAGTAAAACATCATAATATTGGACTGCCTTCGGAAACCGCTGCCTTGAGCTACAAACCTCCTGAGGCAGTATTTTAGTCTAATTCACCCACAAAGTAGAATGGAAGTGTTGAAACCTTAATAGTTTCTACATCTGCAATCCACATTGCAGAGTGGTTGCTGAACAAAGAAACCTGAGAAGGTTTGATTGAACATGCGGGAACAACGGATTGCAATTTGAAGAAAAGTAACCATTACCGTAAAATGTACATTCCATGGGGTGCCATCATAAACTGTCAAAATATTAGCAGGAGACATGATTGCATGCATTATAACCCCAAAAGTATATGTACCTGTATATTTTTTGGTCCAGGAATAGTCAATACCGAGTATGATACCACGAATGGGAGGTATGAAGCGGTTGATGAGAGCGCTTGCACTGACGATGGTATATTTTCTGGGAAAGGGTCTAACAGAAGGATTTAAGCAAACTCAAGTCTTTGATGGGTTGAACAAGGAAAATTACTTGATCATCCTCAACACGGTGTGTAATTGGATTAGCCACATTGTAAAAATCCATGTGGTCAATGCAATGGCACAAAATGAAAGAGTTGAGTGTAGCATTGTAAAAAGGACGTTGTGATAAGGAGGAGAACCTCTGGGAGGAATTAAAACAGATTCAACAACGTTATATAGAATTGCTCAGGCATCACTCTATATAGTATGCAGTGGTATATCTAATTTCCAACCCCCGATAGTACATCTGTGCATTTGATAAGGCTAACATATGCAGATTTTGTGAGTGTTACACTCACTGGCAGGTTTTACTGTGATGCATCAGTATCAGAACTGCCGGTTGTGATGCTATATATCTAAAGAATTATAGATACGAACCAGCTTGAAGTTCAATCAACTTATTAGTATCAAGTTCGAGCCATATTTTTCTAATAGTTTTTGTGCAATGATTTGACACAAAACAAGTGCTCCGCATGATGAATAGGTTCAATCCATCTTTTTCTCACAACCGCTGTACCAATTGTATTGTGATCATTTGTTCCGTGCGTTGTCTTCGCACCTCCAACAACGTTCGATGTAACAGCCTTCGATAATCAGATTTCTGATACTTTGCGTTGAGAGCTGATTGCACAGCGTATTACCTAAGATCCGTGCTTCTCGTTTAATGCTTTACCGCACCAGTGGCAAACTATCTAAGCTCGACCTATCTGGCCTGCAGCACCGTGACACTGTTTCTACTAGCTCTACGTTGACTATTCTCCTGTCTACAAAAATCTCTTCATACGCGAATTATGCCCGAGGTTTATCTTGTTGTTGGCGGCAGTGGCCTTCTTGGGAGACACATAGCTAAACAGCTACATGACCGTGGCGACAATGTTTCTGTTTTGGATATTGTGCAGCGTTACGATGACATTCCTTTCCACCAGGGAGACATTTGCGATGAAGCAACAGTACTCTCTGTATTCAAAAAGGTGTGTTTCGGTCATGATTATGGGTTCTGGGCTAATAAAAATGGGTTCAATAGTGTGGTACAACTTGTGTTATACACTGCGCGTCCCCTCAAGCCAAATCCGCCGCACCTGAGCTATTCTGGAAGGTCAACGTTGGTGGCACAAACACGCTCATTTCCACTTCCATTCAGTGTGGCGTCAATAAGTTTGTGTATACCAGTTCCTCAGGTGTTGTTTTCGACGGTTCCGATCTTCAAAACATTGATGAAAGTCATCCGTATACCCGAAGGGCACTCGATGTTTACATGGATACGAAAATACAAGCGGAGAAGATTGTTCTTTCAGCAAATGGCAAGGATGGTCTCCTGACAGTAGTGCTGAGGCCATCTGGCATTTTTGGGTAAGTATAAAAAATTCTTGCTGTCCCATTGCTCATCTATCTGTAGACCAGGAGATCGCCAGCTTATTGCGGGTTTATATAACACCTATATGACCGGTCGGACCCACATTCAGATAGGGAACAATAAGAACCTTACTGACTGGACAGCAGTGGTAAATGTTGCAGATGCACACATTCTTGCTGCTGATCGGCTCAGCGCACCTGTCTCTCCTGATACGCCTGTTGCTGGCCAAATATTCTTCATTACCAATGATGATCCTTGGTATTTTTGGGACTTTACCAATGGCATCTGGAGTCGATTAGATGCATATTTTCCAGGGAAGAGGCAGAAGAGAAAGGTTACCATTATACCCCGGTGGCTCGGGATGTGTCTGGGTGCAATTTTTGAGTTCGAGGCATGGATTCGAGGGCGAAAACCCTCAATGACTCGTTTCACTATCACTTTCAGCTGTGCTGCGCGTTGGCATAACATTAGTAAAGCAAAAAGGGCACTAGGCTATACACCTCATGTTTCTGTGTCAAACGAGATGGATGAACTGGTGAAGGTAATTCCCAAATTTGTGTCACAACATTTCATTCGTTCTCATTGTTGATTTGGTACAGTGGTGGATGAGCTTGGATGAGTCTGAGAGGGCATAGTGACCTTTGAACTGCTACGCATCTTGCTCTCGTTTGGGTGAAAACTTCATCATTACATTACCATAACTATGATGGTGTATATCTGCAGTTGGTTAATTTGTGTACATCTTGGTCCAAGTATGTAAACATACCGCATCTCGGGCCACAAGCCTTATAGTGTAACTGAATCGGACTACGTAGGTGATTTACTGATACATAACTTGTTCAAACTTGGTTGAGAATTCCTTGTCAAAAAAACTTCGAGCTTGGTTCAGAATGAAAGCCGACTTACAATAGCTTCATAGTGAAAAAATAGATTCACCCATATGTATTGGGGTATAAGCCTTGACATCTGCCGCAAAGATTTCCTTCTCGCAATCAGTTTCAAGTTTGATGGTTCCCATCAGTAACAATTTCTGATCTCGGCGTTTGCGCATGCCCTGGACAAGGGAAGGGAGGACATCGGTTCACAATCTTCAAATCAGCCAAAGTCATATAACATCACTCTTACCAGAAATCCCCCCTTCAGCAATGGCTTCCCCCTCAGCCCTTCCTCAAGATGTTCATGACTTTATCTCTCAGATAAGTCCCACACTTAATGTCATTGTTGTGTGTGCAGCATGGTTTGGTGTATCTGTTCCCATGTTGTTCCTTCTTGTCTTCACAGCAAGTCCAACGATGCGCCGCAAGCCATTGTTCATAACAAATACTATTGCGTTGCTTTTTGCCATTGCCTTGGCTTTTACAAACATTTTCATACTTGTAAGCAGTCCTTACTTTTTTTTGGCCACTGATGTTCTCAAGACATACAAAATCACATTAGCTTAGAAGTGTGCGCCAGCCCACAGTAGCACTTGATCGCCCAAGTACTCTTGCCTTTGTTTTTGTGATGATGATGGTTGAGATATTCATTGATTCCATCTTATTTTTCCGGGTATTCATCATCCTCCCTCCTGCTCGTATCAGCCGGAGGATGGCAATGCTTCTATATGTTCCATTAGTCGCATTCAAATCCGGGCGCATCATCAACGCCATTATTTTCATGGTTTTGTTTACGAAACAAACACGCTCTCTTACTGTGTCCGCTCAATATGCAGCCATAACCCTTCAACGTCCGGAGCCAAAAATTGGGTGGCTACTTCAGATTGCAGACAATTTGTTGGTTTCCTCACCATTCCCATCTGTGTTTGCATATCTGACTGCTCCTTTCAATGCTAATTGTAGGCTCTGCTCGTCAATTTTCCTAGCAAAGCTGCATCAAGTGCGGTCTATGTCTCTCCGGGTTGGCGGAGATGATGGACAAGGTGCGCAGGGTTACCTTCTAATATCTGTGGCAGCTCTTCTCATATTTAACTGCAGCTTCATTTGCTCAGCGTGTGGGAGTCTTATTCTGGATTGCACTCTCAAACTTTGTTTTCCCAGCAATGGTTACAACTGTGCTTCTCATCCTAAACTTTGTGGACAACAACTACAGTCATTATTTCCTTGTTTTCATTTGCAACATCTTTGTTGAAACATATGGCGTTATCTTTGCAACTATGTGGACTAGTATTTCGAAGCAGGAATCAGGAGGGTTGCCATCTGCTGGGGTAACCTCTGTATCAATTAGATTTGCAGTCCCCACAATCCACTCCTCAGTGTCCAGCACTAGCCACACTGAATCAACGACACAGGGAAGGTCTATTGTCGATGACTCACTTATCAATCTTCGAAATTTCAAAGCTCTTCCATCAGCGCTGCCATCGGTCTAAGGCATATAGCGGTACGTAATGCTTGACTTACAGTTTTCTTTTAATGAATTATCTATTAGATGCACACCACTTACAAGTTCTTATCCAAAATTTCATCTTCAGTACCATTATAGTCGTATATGTAATTATTATTGCCGAACCTTCAGATAAGGGCTCCTTAACAAAATATTTTGTCTGGCCTTATTCACCTGATCTCATACCAATATAGACAGGTATGACTAATAAAACACTTTAGACCAAAGTGATCATTGACGGAAAGAGAACTGTTTGCATTCGATGTTTATACAGCACAAGTGTTGCTGTAGATGTCAAGACACTGTCTAGTCAGCAATAAGTAGTGTTCAAACCATCTCAACTCCCGATCAGCATGTGGTGATCAGTAGTAGTCTTGGAGCTTTGTAAGTAGTACAGTATCAGGAATTGTTACTGATGGGAACTGTCAAACTTCCAAGGCAATTGCAAAAAGCAACGCAATAGTGGGTGACTTCCCGCTGTGATTATTCTACAGTTAACCTGCAGCTATCAGTTAACTATGAACAGTATTTGATGTGGTGTGCGGAATGTTAATGGGACCCTCGCTTACACCAAAACCCAGTTTTCAACAGGGTAGGGGGACTGTTGTAAGTTGATTTGGATGCAGTTTTGAGAAGCCGCTGTCCGGCCATCTTTACTTAGGTTTGCGTATATTGGTGGCACAAATTCATTGAACTTGCTGTAAAGATAAGGAGGAACAACATGGGAACAGATACACCAAACCATGCTGCACACACAACAATGACATTAAGTGTGGGACTTATCTGAGAGATAAAGTCATGAACATCTTGAGGAAGGGCTGAGGGGGAAGCCATTGCTGAAGGGGGGATTTCTGGTAAGAGTGATGTTATATGACTTTGGCTGATTTGAAGATTGTGAACCGATGTCCTCCCTTCCCTTGTCCAGGGCATGCGCAAACGCCGAGATCAGAAATTGTTACTGATGGGAACCATCAAACTTGAAACTGATTGCGAGAAGGAAATCTTTGCGGCAGATGTCAAGGCTTATACCCCAATACATATGGGTGAATCTATTTTTTCACTATGAAGCTATTGTAAGTCGGCTTTCATTCTGAACCAAGCTCGAAGTTTTTTTGACAAGGAATTCTCAACCAAGTTTGAACAAGTTATGTATCAGTAAATCACCTACGTAGTCCGATTCAGTTACACTATAAGGCTTGTGGCCCGAGATGCGGTATGTTTACATACTTGGACCAAGATGTACACAAATTAACCAACTGCAGATATACACCATCATAGTTATGGTAATGTAATGATGAAGTTTTCACCCAAACGAGAGCAAGATGCGTAGCAGTTCAAAGGTCACTATGCCCTCTCAGACTCATCCAAGCTCATCCACCACTGTACCAAATCAACAATGAGAACGAATGAAATGTTGTGACACAAATTTGGGAATTACCTTCACCAGTTCATCCATCTCGTTTGACACAGAAACATGAGGTGTATAGCCTAGTGCCCTTTTTGCTTTACTAATGTTATGCCAACGCGCAGCACAGCTGAAAGTGATAGTGAAACGAGTCATTGAGGGTTTTCGCCCTCGAATCCATGCCTCGAACTCAAAAATTGCACCCAGACACATCCCGAGCCACCGGGGTATAATGGTAACCTTTCTCTTCTGCCTCTTCCCTGGAAAATATGCATCTAATCGACTCCAGATGCCATTGGTAAAGTCCCAAAAATACCAAGGATCATCATTGGTAATGAAGAATATTTGGCCAGCAACAGGCGTATCAGGAGAGACAGGTGCGCTGAGCCGATCAGCAGCAAGAATGTGTGCATCTGCAACATTTACCACTGCTGTCCAGTCAGTAAGGTTCTTATTGTTCCCTATCTGAATGTGGGTCCGACCGGTCATATAGGTGTTATATAAACCCGCAATAAGCTGGCGATCTCCTGGTCTACAGATAGATGAGCAATGGGACAGCAAGAATTTTTTATACTTACCCAAAAATGCCAGATGGCCTCAGCACTACTGTCAGGAGACCATCCTTGCCATTTGCTGAAAGAACAATCTTCTCCGCTTGTATTTTCGTATCCATGTAAACATCGAGTGCCCTTCGGGTATACGGATGACTTTCATCAATGTTTTGAAGATCGGAACCGTCGAAAACAACACCTGAGGAACTGGTATACACAAACTTATTGACGCCACACTGAATGGAAGTGGAAATGAGCGTGTTTGTGCCACCAACGTTGACCTTCCAGAATAGCTCAGGTGCGGCGGATTTGGCTTGAGGGGACGCGCAGTGTATAACACAAGTTGTACCACACTATTGAACCCATTTTTATTAGCCCAGAACCCATAATCATGACCGAAACACACCTTTTTGAATACAGAGAGTACTGTTGCTTCATCGCAAATGTCTCCCTGGTGGAAAGGAATGTCATCGTAACGCTGCACAATATCCAAAACAGAAACATTGTCGCCACGGTCATGTAGCTGTTTAGCTATGTGTCTCCCAAGAAGGCCACTGCCGCCAACAACAAGATAAACCTCGGGCATAATTCGCGTATGAAGAGATTTTTGTAGACAGGAGAATAGTCAACGTAGAGCTAGTAGAAACAGTGTCACGGTGCTGCAGGCCAGATAGGTCGAGCTTAGATAGTTTGCCACTGGTGCGGTAAAGCATTAAACGAGAAGCACGGATCTTAGGTAATACGCTGTGCAATCAGCTCTCAACGCAAAGTATCAGAAATCTGATTATCGAAGGCTGTTACATCGAACGTTGTTGGAGGTGCGAAGACAACGCACGGAACAAATGATCACAATACAATTGGTACAGCGGTTGTGAGAAAAAGATGGATTGAACCTATTCATCATGCGGAGCACTTGTTTTGTGTCAAATCATTGCACAAAAACTATTAGAAAAATATGGCTCGAACTTGATACTAATAAGTTGATTGAACTTCAAGCTGGTTCGTATCTATAATTCTTTAGATATATAGCATCACAACCGGCAGTTCTGATACTGATGCATCACAGTAAAACCTGCCAGTGAGTGTAACACTCACAAAATCTGCATATGTTAGCCTTATCAAATGCACAGATGTACTATCGGGGGTTGGAAATTAGATATACCACTGCATACTATATAGAGTGATGCCTGAGCAATTCTATATAACGTTGTTGAATCTGTTTTAATTCCTCCCAGAGGTTCTCCTCCTTATCACAACGTCCTTTTCACTATGTTACACACATTGTGGCACTATTGAATATGTCAATTTACATTTGTGCTGGAAAGAAATGCATATTCCCCACTAATTCCAGGGCAGTCAATTATCCCTCTACATCCCTTCCCACACTAAGTCTCTTCTATTGTTAACCCCAAAGCCATAAATCGTAATTGCATGTAGATGAAATACTTCAATCCCTAATGATACATCTGCCACTTCATACCCAATAATGTTGTAATAGTTTCATACACTGGTTCTGCAGAAAGGAGAACATATGAAGTTACTGTGATCATTGTTAGAAACATCCACTTCAATGAGAATGTCACACCTGAAAATGGCGACATATATTGTGCTTGAAATCATCGAATTAATGAGTCATCCACAACGTCAATGCCCTCGCACGTACAAAGCAGCGGAAGGCAAATCACAGCAATAATGAATCCGTACCCCAGGGATCCCATCAGTGTTTCCTACCCAGAGAACAATGGAATGATTGAAAATTGACTCCTTGGAATTTGTTGTGTTGAACAAACCATATTTACATCTTCGAGTCTATCTTCCCTGTGATATATCATGATTTTCATGCAGATGAACATGCTGAATTTGATCAGTTCGCGTATAGACTATGGACGTAAAAATACGGACCCGGCACCTCCGCAGCCAGAAAGTATAGCGCCAATTACACTGAAGTGAGTGCCATGAAAGACTCTGGGTGAAGCAGATATGATTGACCCGATTTGAAAGTATATCAGGAAATATACGAATTGAGATTGTATAGATGTTGCATCAATTAGAAGACGTGTCCGCGGCACTGTGAGCCGGGTAATGACATATGAAGTCGCCAAGGAGAGACACTCCATGGACAGAATTTGCCGGAACAAGACCTGTAAAACAATCTGACCATTGATTTGATTATTCAAACACAGTGAAAAAATTGCATACAATGGCAAGAGCACATATCATGATGAAGTGCCTACTGATCCTGAGTGTTAGTGAATTTCAGGACTTAAATGATGAAGAAGATTACTCACAAGTGGTGAGGTTATGCCTTGAAGTACTCGACGTGCTCTGACAGCTCTTATACCAAGGCCTGAAGGATCAATCAAGATTGATACCTGAGGACATTAACATCAAATTTTCTTTCACTGGGAAATGTCAAAGGTGACGGAGTTATTCTCTGCTGTGTTGATGTGGTGTGCATTCTTCCTGTTCGCTGTTTGATGTTCAATGTATATGTTGGTGATGATACGATATAATCGGCATCTGTACTTAGTTTCCCATCATGAACTTTGACTCATTAACACTTTCTATAGAATTTATCTTATGAGGATGTTTTCCCTGGGAAAGTTTCAACAGCCTGAAAATGTATAGAACGAAGTTCAACAATCTCATTAGGCTTGCGTATCATAATGGACGGGAGAACAAACTAGTTCATCAGCTTGTAAGAATGCTTACCTCTGCCAGACTCCAGCTATAAAGATGGTGCTTACTTCTGGGACCATCAATACCTGTTCCTCGTTATGTCCTCTATTTTTACTGGTCATATCTCTTGGGCAGTCTATCTTGCTTGTGTTCCAATATGTGTGATAATTCTTCATATCCTTCGCCAGTTAGTACACTTAGTAAGTCTGCTTGCCATTTGACAGAACATGGAATTAATTTGACAACGGGAAAGCCTTCAGTGGGGACTAATAGAAGCTCTCATCCCCCAACAGTCTTTCACATTTTGCCAGTGATTGGGTCGACTTTCGAATTTGGGAAAAACCCAACAGGGTTTCTTTTGAATTGTCAGAGGATGGTTTGCCAGTTTTTCCTCATATAGCAATCTTCATAGGACTTACTAGATCAACATTAGTATGGAAATGTGTTTAGTTTTGTTGTGCTTGGTCAGAAGCTTACTGCTGTGCTGGGTCCGGGCGGCAATAAATTTGTTACGGGAAGGGAGTCAGCAATATTCAACGCTGAAGATATATATGGGGTACGTTATCCATCGTTTGCACTAGGGTGCGTGCTAACTGTATAACAGCCATTTACAGTTCCAGTTTTCGGAAAGGATGTGGCATTCGATGTTCCGAACGAGGTTTGGAGAGAGCAGAAACGCTTTCTTGCTTACGGGCTTTCCCCTTCGAATTTCCGAACTTATACAAAGGTCATCCAGGATGAAGTTGATGATTACATTAAGGGGAATCTTCTTCCTATCATACTGGCTGAAGGAATGGATAGCAATGCAAAACAATGGAATTGCTTAGATGCTTACCATCTCATTTCTACACTCAATATCCTTGCCAGCACTCGGACACTGCATGGCTCTGAAGTTCGAGAGAGTATCCGGTCCGGAAGCACTGTAGTTGCATACTATGACGAACTTGATGCTAGCCTTGGCCCGATGTCTTTCATTTTCCCTCATTTTCCCCTTCCCCAGCACCGCCGCAGAGACCAAGCCCAAACGGAGCTGAGTAGCTTCTACTTGGATATAATTCAACATCGGAAGCAAACACAGACAGATTCAGCTTCCATTATACATGATGATGAGACCGATCTCATAGCAACGCTGCTCAAGCAGCGCTATCGTGATGGGACACCCTTACAAGATCACGTCATTGCAAATCTGATGATTGCACTTCTAATGGCCGGTCGACATACTAGTGCAGCCACTGGGTCATGGATACTGATTTATATTGCCAATAACCCCTCAATTGCCAATGATTTGTATGCTGAACAAGTCAGCTCTTTGGGATTACCCGATGGAAGTTTTCGTTCGATCTCGTATGAAGACATTCGAGGGCTTCATTTAATGAACGCTGTTATTCGGGAGACCTTGAGGCTTCAGCCCCCGATTCATAGCATTTCTCGGATGGTCAGAGAGGATGTTGTAGTACCCTTTGAATGTGGAAAGAAGAACTTCATTATTCCTAAAGGACAAGTAGTAACAGCATCTTTTGCAGTGAGCCAAGTGGACAATACCATCTGGTCTCATGCTACAGAATGGGATCCTTACCGGTGGTTTGGTGATAAATCACCCAGTGGTGCTTTTGCACTCAAGGAGGAAAATAACACGGATGCTTATTTACCCTTTGGAGGAGGAGGGCATCGTTGTATTGGGGAACAGGCGAGCCTTGAAACAGAAGAAGCCAATAAACGCTCTAATATTCTATGCAATAGTATGCATTTATGCAGCTTGCAATTTTGACGTCCTGTTTAATCCGTAGGTTCGAATTTCACGTTGATCATTTTCCGGAGCGACAGGCATTTGTAAGGATTTCTCATCTCTCCTCAAACCTAGATACATTGTACTAATAATATTCTCAGACAACGGTCACTCGTCCTTCCAACAGTACAGTGTATTTCCGACAACGGTCAAAGAAAATTTGATTGTGTATGAGATTTCCAATCCCTGGCATACTGGCAACAAAATATAATTATTGTTCAAACTTTACAGAAAGTTCGAAGATTGTAACGAGGAGTGCAAGTTGATTGAATCCATCAGCTAGGATACCGTAATGTCACAATTGAGGGACAACTGGTTATCTTTCTGTATCCATATCCATCCACCATAGAGATTCCTCAATGCTACCTTTATTGCAATCCAAAATCAAGGCCCCATTCCAAGAATTGCTTAAGTGCATTAGATGGATCACACCATCGGTCAACAATTGTGCAATACCCTGTATGATATTTTAATTTTCCCTGGTGAAAGTGTTGGGCAAATATTGAAAACAGCATCTGAATTTCATAACAATTCTCTCTGATAGAATAGTTTTAATGACGTCTAAAAATTTAGCGCGATACAAATAAGAATGTTCTACGCGAGGATAATATGAAAAAAACCCGTCAATGCGAAGTGGATGTGATTCGCAATGTTTTCGTAATATTAGCTCTATAGAACGCTTCCGTTTATGGAAGGATTGTTCGGAGGTTGTGGTGATTATGTACCAAACATCCCTATAAACACAGTCTTTTCTCGACGAGGAAACGGATCGATCCCCGAAGTGTGATGCTTCATCTGTACCATTGTGCATCCATTCTCAATGACAATCAAACTTTAAAATCGGAGCTTATAAAAGATGATAGTAATTCGATGATGCCCATCATTCCCTTTTTGCTTTTCAACCATCATTGTTCATTGCAAGAGTTCACTAACAGTCAGTATGTTCAATTTGTCCAGTTTTGAATCTTTTGGACTAATGTGTTCCTTCCAGGGAAATGGATACTGGGTATAACTGTCTTGGGAAACCATTCTTACTATAACTGACACTTTGATTAGTGCTAGCAGCATGTTTTACCAAGCAAAGAATTTTGCCATTTATGGTGGAAATTTTACAGTCATCAGTCAGTTATAGAAACTGTACATATATTGCTTGGAACTGAATGCATTATATCCTTTAGCAAATGATGATAGTCATAAGATACACAAATGGCTCAACGCACCAGATTGTTCAACCAATTTTGCAACTGCAGTAAACAACAAATGCTCAGGCACTGGCCAATGGATACTTGAACTTGGTAAATACAAGGAATGGAGATCTAACCCTGGCATACTGTGGATTCAAGGACCAGGTTTGACTATGCTCTCAAAGGAAGGAATGTTTTGACTTATCAGAAACTATAGCTGGGTCAGGGAAGACTTTCCTAATGTATGTAATGACAATAAAGCACAGCTCACATTCATCAAATAACAACATTCTAGCACAACAGTCACTGAAAACCTGCGAAACATGCACCAAAAAAGTCCTGTCTGGTATCATTATTTTGATACCCGGGATAACACAGAGTTGAAAACCACATATCATGGATTCTTGTTGTCCTTGGTTCAGCAAATGGGACTATCGAGTGAGGGTATCCATCCTGCTCTCAACACCCTTTACAAGTCAAAGCCATTTGAGCAACTCACACACAGGGAGCTTGAAAACATATTGGAAACAATGATCCAAGACAGAAATGATATGACCATTGCTGTTGATGCATTGGATGAATGCAAAGAGGCGGATGCATGCAAGGTGTTAAACTGGCTGACTACATCCTCATATCAGTTGCGGATTGTTGTGACAAGCAGATCAAAACCAGAATTGGCTGTACAGAATCTGCTTCAAATACAACTTGGTGGCCCAGAGTCAAGAATTGATGAGGATATTGCAAGTTACATTGAACTCAAGATTCATGATCAACCACGGTTCAAAGGTGACATTATTGGTGAAATAAAGGATACATTGAACAAAGGTGCTCAGGGAATGTGCGTAGTATTTGTTGAGAATCAACTTGACAATCAGCTGACTTGAAACAATGTCTTAGATTTCGCTGGGTGGACTGCCAAATGATGCAGTTGCAGAAATGCAAGAGGAAGAGGGATGTAAAAGAAGCTTTGAAGACATTACCTGCAACTCTCACAGAAACATATGACCAGGCTTTGGAAAGTTTAACAGAAGAAGAAAAAGACGATGTACAACATCTACTTCTGTGGCTTCTTTATGCTTTTGAGCCATTGACCAAGAGAAAAGTCAAGGAAATATGGAAATTCAACCTCTTGGAGCAAAAGTTTGATCCTGATGAAATGGAACTTCAGGTGGAGAAGGATATTCCCTCTACATTAGTGACTGTAGGACAGAATGATATTATTCAACTTGCCCATGCATCAGTCAAGGAATATCTAATTTCATATCAGCAATCCAAAGAGATCAGTAATTCATTGTCATTCAATGAACACCTAGCTCATAATATAATGACTCAAACAACCATCATTTACCTCATGCAACATCAGAAGGCTTCATTTGATAGGGAGGGTTTGGTGGCTTATGCAGTAGAGTATTGGCTCTCACATGCATCAAAGGTGGAGGAGTTGAAAGTAGAAGGCCAAAGTCAGAATTTGATATGTGCAATGTTGAAAAACAGTGAACAGTTTACAAGATGGGAAGAAATGTACATCAACCATATTCATTTCACATGGAATTCCAAAGCAGGCCCATTATACTATGGAGCCCTCAATGGATTGTATGGGGCTGTGAATCATCTTTTACAAAGTGTGCATAATGTGAAGGAATATGTTGATACACAAGGGGGATACTTTGGGAATGCTCTTCAGGCAGCCTCTTTAAATGGGCATGAGTCCATTGTGAAGTTGCTACTGGAAAAAAATGCAAATCTGAATGCACAAGGGGGGGAATATAGGAATGCTCTCCAGGCAGCCTCATATCGTGGGCATGAGTCCATTGTGAAGTTGTTGCTGAAAAATAAGGCTGATGTGAGTGCACAAGGGGGGTACTATGGGAATGCTCTCCAGGCAGCCTCATATCGTGGGCATGAGCCCATTGTGAAGTTGTTGCTGAAAAATAAGGCTGATGTGAGTGCACAAGGGGGGTACTATGGGAATGCTCTGCAGGCAGCCTCATATCGTGGGCATGAGCCCATTGTGAAGTTGTTGCTGAAAAATAAGGCTTATGTGAGTGCACAAGGGGGGTACTATGGGAATGCTCTGCAGGCAGCCTCATATCGTGGGCATGAGCCCATTGTGAAGTTGTTGCTGAAAAATAAGGCTGATGTGAGTGCACAAGGGGGGTACTATGGGAATGCTCTGCAGGCAGCCTCATATCGTGGGCATGAGCCCATTGTGAAGTTGTTGCTGAAAAATAAGGCTGATGTGAATGCACAAGGGGGGTACTATGGGAATGCTCTTCAGGCAGCCTCATATCGTGGGCATGAGCCCATTGTGAAGTTGTTGCTGGAACATAATCCTGATGTGAATGCACAAGGGGGTAAATATGGGAATGCTCTCCAGGCAGCCTCATATATGGGGAATGATGCCATTGTGAAGTTGCTGCTGGAAAATAATGCTGATTTCAATGTACAAGGGGGGTACCATGGGAATGCTCTCCAAGCAGCTTCATCTGGGGGATTTCTAAAGTTACTGCTAGAACATAATGTTGATGGGAATGCTCTCTATGCAGCTTCTTATGAGGGCCATGATTCCATTGTGAAGTTGCTGCTGGAACATAATGCAGACGTGAATGCACAAGGGGGACAATATGAGAATGCTCTCCAGGCAGCCTCCTTAAATGGGCATGAGTCTGTTGTGAAGTTGTTGTTGGAAAATGCTGCTGATGTTAATGCACAAGGGGGGCAATGTGGGAATGCTCTCCAGGCAGCCTCATTAAATGGGCATGAGTCTGTTGTGAAGTTGTTGTTGGAAAATGCTGCTGATGTTAATGCACAAGGGGGGCAATATGGGAATGCTCTCCAGGCAGCCTCCTTAAATGGGCATGAGCCCATTGTGAAGTTGTTGCTGGAACATAATGCTGATGTGAATGCACAAGGAGGTAAATATGGGAATGCTCTTCAGGCAGCCTCCTCAAATGGGGATGAGTCCATTGTAAAGTTGCTACTGAAAAATCATGCAGATGTGAATGCACAAGGGGGGCAACATGGGAATGCTCTCCATGCAGCCTCATTTCAAGGGCATGAGCTGATTGTGAAGGTGTTGCTGAGAAATAATGCTGATGTAAATGGGGGGTACTACGGGAATGCTCTCCTGGGAGCCTCATATTGTGGGCATGAGTCTATTGTGAAGTTGCTGCTGGAACATAATGCTGATGTGAATGCACAAGGGAGACAATATAAGAATGCTCTCCATGCAGCATCATATTGTGGGCATGAGTCCATTGTGAAGTTGCTGCTGGAACATAATGCTGATGTGAATGCACATGGGGGAGGAGATAGGAATGTTCTCCAGGCAGCCTCATATCGTGGGCATGAGTCCATTGTGAAGTTGCTGCTGGAACATAATGCTGATGTGAATGCACAAGGGAGACAATATAAGAATGCTCTCCATGCAGCATCATATTGTGGGCATGAGTCCATTGTGAAGTTGCTGCTGGAACATAATGCTGATGTGAATGCACATGGGGGAGGAGATAGGAATGTTCTCCAGGCAGCCTCATATCGTGGGCATGAGTCCATTGTGAAGTTGCTGCTGGAACATAATGCTGATGTGAATGTACATTGAAGTATCTGAGGAAGAGAAAGAGAGTCATTGATAGCAAAGAAGAAGAGGAGCAAGAAAAGGACAAGGATTAAGAAAAGGAGGAGCAGAAGGAAGAAGGCATAGATGGTGGAATTGAAAAAGGTAAAGAGGAGGGAAGCATGGTGTACTATTGGACTTCAAACTTCTTGTTTCTTGCTGGCCTCTTGCTTTATATTTTTTTGTTTTATGTATAGTATTAAGCAAATGGCCAACAATTAGTGAAAACATCAAACTGTCAGTACTTGAAAGTGAAAGTAACTCACTTGAATGAGTAATTGTCAAGACCATGCTTGGCAACAACCCCCGACAACTGCCGTCATCAGCTTTCCGAAGATCTTGGACTTATTGTTCTTTCTCGCTACACATTCCCTTTCTACTTAGTCTCTTTTTATTGACTTATTCTCTACCCTGCAGGTAATATACGTATAGCCCCTAGTAGCTAGTCTGGTGCTTCACCCCGATACACTAATTAGTAGTTATAAATACTCCTGTGCTATACTGTAGTTCCTCAGTTTAATTATCAACTTAAACCATCTTTGATCACCTGAGATCGCTTCTTTCTCTGTCCTCTAAGTCTTCAGGCTTGTCACCTTGAAACTCTCTCTACTCTAACCTTTGGACTTGTAAGTCTTGGTTCACTCCTTGTCGTCGGCGTTACTGCCACCCCGGCCTGGCTGCTACTAGATACTACTCTCTATTCTCAATCTCTGGGGACTAGCAGTGTAGCAGCGGTGTTGTTAATAACTTCACTACTGTCCCATTCAACCCCTCGCCCTCAGACACCTTGGGGCCTCTGGCATGGTGACATGCCTAAATTTTGGCTAGACGTCTATGCTGTGAATTGTGACATTTTCACGCATAGATTCTGTAAGACCTGGGTCAAAATAGGTCTTAAGGTAGGTGTTGGTATGAAGAGTTTATGTTGTAGCGTGCTAGGAGCAGGCTGGAGCTCGAAGGGAGCTATGGAAACCGCGACCGAGGACGGGAATGACCTAGTAGTGGCTGGGATTGAGAGATGTGACCCTTGGAGGGGTTCCTGTAAGGTCCAGGGAGGTCCCTAAGGCGTAGGTAGAGGAGGTAGAGGTACGGAACCTAGTAATGTTGCGTAGGAGGAGTTGTACTCGCTAGAACGTCAACATAAGGTCGAATAGGTCGTAGAGGGAATAGGTCTCGAGTGTATAAGCTTCTGAGAAGGTATACGCCCGGAAGGGGAGGTCCCGGGAACTGGGGGTTAGAGGTGGACGTCCTCGAGTATTGGAGGTGGTAACGGAGAAGCAACATGTAGTTCGACGTAGGGGGTAGCTTCGACGTTACCTAGATTGAGGTCCCAGAGCTTGTGGAGCAATTGGGGAGCTCAGGGAGGTTTTGGGGAGGTTAGCTCACCAAGGCGTTAGGCGTTGGGGAGGTTAGCTCACCAAGGCGTTAGGTGTTGGGGAGCTTTAGTATTGTTTGAGGGAGCTCAGAGACTCACTCGGATTGTTTAAACATGTAGTAAAAGCGTGTATTTGATTGTATAGACGATCAGAGAAACAGTAGACAAGAGTAAAGCGAAACTGAGATAGAGAAACAGAGAGTAAAGAAAATTCTGTATGGTTAGCAGGTACAAAGGGACAGGGACAGGACCTATGTAAAGGGTGTGTGTTCAAAATATACCAAGCTGGCGGTTGGGGACGTGTCAGAGCTACTTAAATAGGTACAGGAAGTGAACAAGGGGACATCAGAGGCCATGAGGCATGTAATCGAGATTAGTACCTTAATGGGGTAGGTGTAGGAGGGCTCCTTACGCGTGTCGGGGGAGGTTTTAGGAGTTACTGGTGTCGAGGGAAGCTGAAGATGGTAGATGGTATGTCTTGGGGAGGTACGGAGGTGGGTCAGTGCGGAGTGTGAGAGCGCATGGCTGATACTGGGGCTGTCCTGGTAGTCACCAGGACATGAAGACATAGAAAGGGAGCTATGGCTAACGGTCGAGGCATGACAGATTCGCATCAAGAGGACTGTAATTGAGACCCAGATTGACAGTCAAAGTCAATACTGAATCAGTCTAATAAGTTGAAGGGACCCTATACCCATACTACCACCAGTTGGTTAGTCTACCCATCCCCGATACTACCTTCGGATAGCAGTCTACCTGTTTGTCAAGCAGGATTATACCAGACTCGGACTACATCTGAAGGATGACTGTCATAAAGTACGCAGCCCCTATCATTTTCCTTTTCTCACCGTCTCGACGCCTTTACTTGTACGATACATCATCCCATCACTGTCAAACCCCCATTGATTACTGATCCACCTGACCCATCTTCTCCTTCTACTGGCTTCCGCCACCTTCCTTGTTCCTAAACTGTACAGTATTACATCTGTCACGAAGCGGCAGAGGCGGAGTGACTAGCGGAGCAGGAAGCGGGGTGACTAAGCAGGTCAGTGAGGCGGAGCGACTAAGCGGAGCGGAGGTGAACTGGTCCCAGATAATGACAGAGATATATTGGGTATCATAGTCATAGGTAATAATAAGTAAGCACATACCTGGTCCCAGATAATGACAGAGAGGTCAAGATAAGGGACCAGGCTGTGGAGGGTTGGCTATATATACATAATCTAGTCTGCGAGAAACAACGATGTAATACTGTACAGTTCAGGGGCAAGGAAGGAGGCGGAAGCCGATAGAAAGAGAAGATGGGTCAGGTGGATCAGTAATAGATAGATCAGTAATCGATGGAGATTGACAGCGATGGGATGATGTATTGTACAAGTAAAGGCGTCGAGACGGTGAGAAAGGGAAAATGATAGGGGCTGCGTACTTTATGACATTACCCCCCTCCTTATGACCATTGCCCTCGATGGTCAAGGTTTTGCCGCTGTCGGATGTTTTTTGTGAAAGGCCCGAACAATTTTTGGTGCCCGGCTGAGGTTGGGTGCGGGTTCCCAAGAGTTGTGTCCTGCATCGTAACCTTTCCATTTTACTAGATATTCCAACTTCTTCCATCGTACCCGACTGTCCAAGATCTCCTCCACTTCATATTCCGGTTCATCTTCATCTTCTAAGTACACCGGCTCTGGTGGTGTTGGTATTTCGCCATTGATGGGGTTACCTTTCCATGGATATAGTTTGTCGACATGAAAGACAGGATGAAGGCGGTCTAATGACAAGGGAAGGTCAAGGCGGTAATCCAGAGGTCCGACTTTCTCCAGAATACGGTAAGGTCCTAGCTGTCGGTCTCCTAGTTTTTCACTGGATAGCTGCAGGTTAATGTCCTCCGCACTTAGCCAAACTAGGTCCCCAACTTTGAATTGATGCGCTTTTCGCTTCCCACGTTCGTATCCCTCCTTTTGTTGCTTCTTTCCTAGATGTAAGGCAGCTCCAGCATCCTGTCGCGCTTCTCGGAGAATCCGTATGCGGTCATCCGCCGCTGGAATGCCGCTGCATTGACCAACCGGGATATTGAACAGGGGAAGGTATCCGTAGGTTAACTCGAATGGGGACATGCCTAGGGCCGAGTGAGTCCGCGAGTTAATCACAAACTCCGCCATGGGGAGGTGTTCTGCCCAGTCATCTTGTCGTCGTCCCACATAGAGGCGGATGTATTTTTCCACTTCCTGATTTGCGCGTTCAGTTTGGCCATTGGACTGAGGGCGATATCCGGAGGTTAGATCTGATTTAATGCCCAGTCTAGCGAGGAGGGATCGCATGAGTTTAGCTGCGAACTGAGGTCCGCGGTCGGATTTGAAGTGGAGGGGAAGACCATGGAGACGGAAGATTTCTCGGTAATAGATATCGGCGACACCTTCGGCTGTAATGGAGCTGGTGCAAGGAATAGCATGGATTTGTTTTCCATACAGGTCTGTACAGACCAAGACTGCGTCGTATCCCTGGGAGTTAGGCAATTGTGTTATCAGGTCGACCCCTACCTCTTCCCATAGGCCGGATGGTACATCCAGTGGTTGAGTCACAGCTCGTGGGTGCCGTTGGATCTTCTTGCAGGCGCAAATCTCGCATCCCTCAACGTATTTCTCCACAAAAGAACGCAGTGTCGGCCACCAGAAGTGGGTGCTGACCAGGTCAAGTGTCCCATGTAATCCGGGATGTCCAGCAGTTGGATGATCATGGCATTGACGGAGTACCTCGGTGCGTAGATTGTTGTCTGCTGGTACATATACCCGGCCCCGGTAATAGACCAACCCGTTGTCCTCCTCCCATTCAGCTATCCCATTGGCCAAGCGTTGTAACCCGTGCTTCTTGACTGTTTCCAGACCTTCCAGTACTTGTGCTTCCCGTTCTGAGGCTTTCCGAATACAATCCTCTAGGGGGTTCCGTAGGATTGAAGCGGCGATTTTGGTGAAGTGGCCAGGTTTAAGGACGGTCTGTTGCTGATTGTCATCGCTATCTGATACATGATGTACTGCCATACGAGAAAGAGCATCAGCTTGGGTGTTTACTCGGCCAGGATGGTGGATCATATGAAAATCAAACCGTGATAGATAGAGGGCCCATCGGGCTTGTCGACGGGTAAGGTCTTGTGCTGTGCGCCAGAATTCGAGGTTGGAGTGATCGGTGATAATGTCGAATGGTTGTGGAAGTCCTTCCAGGAAATTCCTCCAGTCCTTCAATGCTTCAATGATGGCAAGCATCTCCCAATCATATATTTCATAGTTCCGTTCTGCTGGCTGCATGGATGCCGATCTGAAGGCTACCGGGTGCCACTGACCATCGTCTTGCTGCTGCATGAGGGCGCCTCCCGTAGCAAAGCCTGATGCGTCTACCTCAATTCGAGTGGGCCGATCTGGCGCCCATAGAGCAAGGATTGGTGCGGAGATGAAGGCCTCTCGAAGGGTGTCAAATGCCTCCTGTTGTGTACCAGTCCAGTTAAAGCTGGTATCCTTCTTGGTTAGGTTGTTCAAAGGTCGAGCTATTCTTGCAAAATTTCAGATAAAGCGCCGGTAGAAGTTTGCAAACCCCAAAAATCCTCGCAGTTCCCGGAGGTTGG